TCTGTTAAAAAATTAAGTATTGTCAATACCTCGGTTGTGCAGTGGTACCGTATGCGACTGTGCGACTGTGCTTGGGTCTCGGCTTTGATTTCCGGGTCGGACCAAATGATTGTATGATCTGCAAATATTTGTTTCGGAGTTTGGGTGTTTCCTATGTACTCGTAAAATATGTGTGTATTTACAATTAAAAGGCATATAAGTATTCCATCAGTCAATCTAGCTTTCATAGTACAAGTTGTGCTTAGCTTGAAACTAGGTGGCGTTGTGTGTCAGATGTCCGAAAAAAATATAATCAATTTTTTTGTGCACTATGTATGTTTGTGGTAAAAAAATAAAGATTATTATTATTATTAATTAAGATTTAAAGAGAAAAAAAAACACTCGCACTAGACAGACAAGAATACAGAATATGATACAATGTCAGTGCAATATCCCTAAAATTTATACTATCTATGCAAATAAATAAAATTAAATTGTCTGTTTGTAATGTTAAAATAATTGGTTTTTCATGCTCACACACGGTTATTTGCACGATACTTATGCCTAAAAACCAGTCTGAATATTTCTTTCTAGTGTGTCTATCTGTTTATGACGGGTAGTCTTCAAAACGGCTGCACCGATTTGGATAATATTTTACTACCAGGTCTATCTATTTTTTTTCAAATGTTTTTTTTGTGCAAATAACCGTGTGGTTATTAACACGATAACTATGCTTAAAAACCAGTTTGAATATTAAGTTAGTAAAAGAACGGACACCATAAAACAGCGCGCGCGAAGCCGTTGGCTATGTCCATATGCTAGTGTTATAATATTCTGCCGGAACAATGATATTCACATCACATCATCACATCAACAGCCTTTAATAGTCCACTGCTGGACATAGGCCTCTCCTTAGAAAGAAGGTTTTGGCCTACTATACCACGCTGGCCAGGCGGGTTGGTATAGGGTTTGTGTCAAGTTTTCCGTCTTTTTGCAGTGCTGGTGTCCTGCATTGTTTTGCGCCCTTAGTCGGTAGTGACGGATTAAGAATACGGAATGTCACTACCCCAATTCAATGATATTCAATATTAAAATATTATATAATCTTTGAAAATCATTTTTTTGTCGTTTGCAGTAGAACCCAATTTTCTCTTTGGTGCTATTATTTGCAGGTGCTGAAATTGTTACATCACAAGCACTAATTCTTCTATTTGCTCCTCCGTCTTTCTTTCTTCCGTCTTTCCTTCTTCCGTTAGGATAACGACCGGGCATTTTTCACTACGCTATACAAATTTCACCTGCACATTAGTAAAAATAAATAACATTCGCTTACTTATTTACAAATATTACAATTTATTTCCAAAGTAATTATGCGTATAACCAGTTAAGGTCGATTGCAATTTGAGGCCACGGCCACAACGGATCAGCTGTTTATCTAATACATTAGCATTTTGTAGTGATACCTGTTGAAATTACGCATATACGTGTCAGTAGTTGTTAAACATATTGCTTAATACCTCCAATCACATTTTTTTTTTAATTTTCAAATTATGTATTTATGTTATCAATTTTATATCTGTTTATACAGCAATATATTTAAAAAGAGATAGGAATATTAGGGCTTTTTCTAATTATTCAGCGCCGGGTGCGACGAGCCGCCTGCCCCGAGGCGTGTCTCTTTGAGGCAAGTAGTGACTCTCTTCCATACCGCAAACGTGGCACTAATGAAAATACCCGTGAATTGCTTACTTCATATAAAATGTTTTTAGTATTTCAAATCCAGCTCCGTACGTGCCATAATGTAAGTACTCAATTCAAAGAAACAAGTTTTTTAATAACAGAATCATTAGAGTGATACCAAACATATGAACATAAAATATTGATGTTGAGGTAAAGGTTTCCTACTTAAATCTTACTGGAGAACCAAATAACCCCCCCCCCCCCCCTTCACTCCCCATAGTTCGGGGGGGGGGGTTGACTGAAAAGGCGGCAACACACTTGGCACTCTTGAGTTGCAGGTGTCCGTGGGCGACGGTAATCGCTTACCATCAGGTGAACCATCTGCTTGTTGGCCCCCAATCTATATCATAAAAGCTTTATTAATATATTAATGACAAATGGTTGCGCTGCAACGCACTTTAGTATAGTTTTTGATTGTCATTGACACAACGCTTTCCTTCTCTCATCCTTTTCCTGCACGCACCTATATCAGCAGCGAGAAAGAGAGAAGAAAGCATACGCTTGCAACTATTGGCCTTCGATGTATAAATTCCAATATGTATAAAACTAATCGCTAATCCGGCTTCAATATTACACGTGTACGTACAATTTTACAAGCGCATTTAAAATTTAAGAGATTAAATTGTAATACAATAAAGCAAAATAATGGCCAAATACACAATCCTTATCGCTAAATCCCTCAGTAAGTACTTACTAGTAATGGCTGACGTGCACATTGCACCATGTTATTCTGCATATCACACACAAATAATCGCACGGTATATTTCTCGGTTTACCACTGTTGTAATCGAATAATGGAAAGTGAATAGACGCAGTTACCTTCTCACGAGAAACAAACATACATTGCGATGCCTAAAGAGATAAATTTTTGATTTCACACGCAAATTCGCAAATTTTACCTCTTTGTTTGTAAACACTTAGTTTGGCATTATGTAGACATCTCATTCAAAATAGATTTGCATATTTTTGTTTGTTGTATAGTTGTATAAAACAATTTTGACAAACATTGTCAAATGGACTTAAACGTTTGTAAAGTAAATTAATAAATTAATATTTTAGCCATATTTTGATGTTGTGTGTAACATTATTAATAGTAATAATAAATGAGAACTTTACTACACATCTTGTACACGGTCGTCTGATCCCAAAGTAGTTTGAGCTTATATAGTAACCAGACTGGCTGATAAACATCCATACTAATATTATAAATGCGAAAGTGTATCTGTTACCTCTTTACGCTTAAACCGCTGAACCGATTTAGATGACATTTGGTATAGAGATAGTTTGACTTCCGGGGAAGGACATAGGCTACTTTTTACCGCGAAAACCGACATACACGCGGGCGGAGCTGCCGGCAAAAGCTAGTAGTTTTATATTTTTTATTTACTGAAATTATTATTTTTAAACAGACGAGCTTTCAATGGACGTCAAGAGAAGTAAATTATTTAGATTTGCATTGACTCGTCTGCACTCTGCCACAAATGATAGGCTCGTATTGTTTTTACATACACGTACATTATTTAATGTTTTAAAACTATATTTACAACCAGTCATAATTAATAATAAAGGTAATTCCCACTACTATTATTAACGAAAAATTCTGTGAGGATGGATGTATGGATGTTTCTCACACAATCATACCAGAATGGTTGAACGAGTCTGGATTAAATTTGACACTTATATAGATTATAGTTTAGAATATAGTCTTCTTTTCTTCAATGAAAAACTTTAACAAGTTAGAAATCGATTTTAGCTTAAATAGGATAAGTGTCAAGAAACTTGACTATAAAGAACCATAATATTTTTTTAACGTATGGAAAGGCCAAAATGTTTTAGTGAATTTAATTAAACAAACAAAATAATGGTCATAAATTAGCATAATATTTAATCTATTGTATAAACACAAACTTGATCATTTCGATTACTAGGAATTCTTTACAGTACTCAAAAAGAACCACTTACAACAAACATACAACACTGTTCAAAGTATTTTATGTAGTGATATATTTATAATAAGGTCTAATTAAAGTTGTCAACAAAATTCCAAACGAATTACTAATGGAACAACTTGTTTATTAATATCTTTGTCGTATCTACATATTTGCGAGCCACGTTACGAAACAAAGTAGGTGCCGGCTATACTCTTATTAAATGTCATGCAATAGTTCGATATTGAAACATGATTTGTAAGAGTAACACACGATTAGAAAGGTGCCCGTCAAAGAGAGCCACTCTCCGTGAGTGACAATGACATCGATTCGGACCTGCCACAGCGTAATGTGGACATTATGAACAATTGCCAACCATACACATTCGTGACACGGTTTGTTTTTAACTTTCCGTGTCGTTGAAATATAAACCTTATTTTAGGTTAAAACGATTTACTTTTCAAACTATGATAAGTAAAACGCAGTCATTGATCAAATTGGAAACTTGAATGAAAGTGACGATCACACCTGTTCTGCGTCTTCCACATTAAATTCTACTTAAAATATACTTTTTAGTATATTAACATTCTTTCGAACGTAACTGGTTTTTAATTAACACAAAATTGAACCTCTCTAAGTGGATACTTCTGTTGGTATCTGTTTGTATGCTGAACTTCTGATGCTTATTTCTATGACCTCATATCTCCCAAAACTTAGCTCATGTCAGTACCAAGAACAATGCGTCATTATTGGCAGTGAAAATAAATAATTGCATTAACATTCTCTTAGGTACAATTTGATTAAAAATAAAATACTGAAATTGATTGTATTTTAGAGGGCGCCACTCTATTTTTCAAATAGCCTAAATTAAATAAATCTTTTAATAAAGACCAAAAATACGCTGAGGTTTGTAAAGGTGAATTAAATTATAGTATACACCTACTCATCTCAATAAAAGCGAAGACTAATTTTTGACCCCGCTGTCATCATTAATTACTCGCCTGTCCTGTGTGTACATCAAATTGGCTTGACCACATGCGTAGTTTTATTTTATTGATGTTTTGTGTGTTGTGTTCGGTATTTTTAAATAACCATGCCAATGTATTGGTTGTAACAACCTTATTTCCAGTTTTACATAGCTGTTTTTATTTGGCATTTAAAGGCCATGGAATAAAATTTACACTCTAGAATAAAGTTCTGTTAAATATTGCACCATATTTTTAAATCATGAATTATTAATGTAATTTAAAATAGATTATAGTTGTCGTACAGCTCTTATTTAATCAACTGACGCCTTGTTCCTAACTTAGGTTGAGTTTTGGTTTCTAACAATAGAACAACATATCATAGATTATGCTTAACAAAAGTGGTAGTGATACTAATAATCCACCAAAAAGTGAAAATGTGAATGTGTCGTGCTGGAACTGTGTCATGTTTCAAAATGACGAAGACTATGGTACAGAAGTATCTTTGTCCCAAATTCGAAAACAAAATAGGCAGCGATTTAAGCTGTATTCAGCTTTGGCGTCGGAAATATCACGACCAAAAGCTATGCCTATCACACAGAAAGTGAAAGAAAATTATGTTACTGCTAAGATAATGGAGAAGAAATTAATGAATCACACTAAAAATACAGTAAGTGAGAATAAAAAAGTTTCAAATGAGGATCCTATTCCTGTCAAACCGTCAAACATTGAAATACCAGGGATTAAACCTACGGATTTTACCGATCTTGTTACTAAAGAGGAAGAAAAAGACAACGATTCTATTATCATAAATACTAGTCTTATTGAAACTTCAACTCCAAAAACAGATAAGAAAACGAGAGACGATAGTTTTTCTTCTTCTCATTACACCAAAGAGGAACAGAGTTCGACTTTTGAAAATAAGGAAAACGTAACTGATGCTCAGAAAACAGCATTATTTGAGATAGATAGTAAAGCTCTCATAAGCGAAAGTACAAATTCCATAAACTCAAGACATTCAGATGTCAGAAAAAAAACTTCTTGCCAAGATTTAGTTGACAATGAGTTGGCTTCAAATGACCAAGATTTCAAAACCTCACTTCCGGCACTGAATATAACTCAGAAAAGAAATATCTTAAAGTCCACGAAGTCCTTAAGTGTCGTGAATGAAACAAATGTGAGGCCCTCGAAATGTTTGCGTTGGAGTACACTAGATATGCCACGTGGACAGAACTCAACTACCAATTGTAGTAAGTTATTTTCATTTTAATTGCGTTTGATAAATCTAATGTGTGGTATAAAAATACTTATCAGTTACCAAATTACGTGTTTTCTACTGATTTTACCGTTCTGGTGACCTAAACTAATTTACAACAAAAGAACTGCATTTGTACATTCATCGATTACAAATAATGAATTATAAGTAGTAAGCAATCTCTCTACCTACTTTCCAAAAAGAGGTTTGAGAAAGGAAAAAAAAAACAGAAATTTGTACATCATCAGTATACTCGTAGCTTAATGGACACAACCTGAACTTTAATACTCTATAGATGTCTCTTTGACTCATTTGTTCGTTACACGTTGCTATTACGACACATTTTTGCAACCAATTCCAAATCGGCTGGTGCTGTTGCGTTGTTTCAGTGCACTGAACTGATATGTACATTTAAAATACAGCGTATGTGTATTTAAATAAAATAACAGGAAACGACCATGACATGTAGGATACGATAAAACACGGATTGTATGTGGAATCAGAATGATTTTCCTCAGTTGCAAGTGGTCGTGTTTCCTGGCGTGTGTAGTGGCATAATGGTGTATTCAGTTAGTTATACCCGTGAATCTCATAGTTTAAATCGTAGTGATAGCGGGAAATATCACTATATCGATATTTATAGTAGGGACACTAGTGATAAACGTGGCAAAATGACTTTTGGTTCATTTCTAAAACGGTGTTTGTGTTGTACATCTACTTCTGAGGATGAAACTGATTTTATTGTTGATAGTCAAACAGCTGTTGGGAGGCCTTCGGGCAGGAGTTACACTGTGAATAGTAAAGCTCCAAGTGCAACCGCAACTGAACAAATCCAGGACGTTCCGACACTAATTGTCACCAGACCATTAGACGATGAGTTTTGTGCTTCGACATCAACATTGTTACTAACATCTGAGCGATCAGCTTCTGCGAGTGACAATACGAGTACGACCAGCTACTGTTTCAAGAATGCAAAATCAACGACATATGAAGCGTGCGTCCAAGGAAACGCTTCAAAAGAATCAGTAAAGAGCCAAGGAATCGCATCACAAGAATCTATAAACAGCCAAAGCGACGGTCCTTTTGGTGAGAAAGTCTCATTCGTTCGAGAGATTTTAGCGTGTCGGGACTCTTTTTTGAAATCTTTGGAGTGGTGCGATAATTCTTTGACGAGGGGTAAACGATGTCGATTTGTGAAACCCGATGAGTGGCTAGAACTGAAGGACGATGGTAGCGAATTTTGTCTCGACTGCTTGAGGCACGCCCTGTTCTGTTGACATAAATAACTATTGCACTGCTACTAAGACTAACTTTACTAGGAACGAAGAATGTTTCCTACTTGTGTTTACTGATGACAGTTCACAACAGCCTGCTGAATAACCAATACTAGCAAAATTCTTCTAAATCTATACTAGATTATTTAAGAAAACAGAAAGTATCTTTCAGATAAACTTCTTATTTTTCTGCCTAGACTTACCCCGTTACGCGGGGTCGGTTTTCCTAATCATGCGTCTTGTTCGTGGAGTACCAACACCTTCATGTCCCTCTGGACATTTGTAATGCAAGTTATTTAAGGCCTTTCTTCCCTTTTATTTACTAAAGGATTTATTAAAAAGATATTCAAATTAAACAATACCAAACTTACCTAAATATAGAATTTTAATATTATTTATTTATTCCAAAAATAAAGAAAACAAAAATAAAAGTTAAATAATAACATATACAAAGAAAATAAAAACCAGTTAAAGTTTGATAAACATATTTACAAGGTAATATTATTCATTGTGACATTCCATCATAACTCTGACAGAAAACAATTTAATATCTTAATTTGTCATTTATTCTAATTTTGTCATTTATTCTAATTTTGTCTCTATTCTTTATTCCAGATGAGGTGTATTTGACAGACACGCCACAACAGAACCATGCAACATTGCCAAGGCGCTCGAATTCTCCGCTGCCTCATGAGAGAGATCTGCTTGACAGAGATAGGTTCTCTCTCAATAGGAGTGGACTGCAGGTAAATAAAATTGATAATTATATTGCCCTATTGTTTGCAACACATTAAGACAGTAGACATAATTTTGGTTAAACATCAGCAGGAATTTTATTGTTATTCGATGGTTATTCGATGGATTCGTGTTTTGATATTTTCTATTGACTTCTAGAAAGAAGGACTAACTTTTTAATCATATGCTTGCACTAAGTAATGTTTTGGAATATGACAAACCCTATTCCGTGTATTGGCATAATTTGTACAATATGCACATACGAGTCGAGACTTCGCCGGTTAGCGTCTTTTTAGGTTCATAGATATGTACCTTTTTTATTGACATACATAAAAAGACCCATTAACGATGTCGTATTAAGTACACCTGTCTGTCGTCACGTTCTAATAACTTGAAAACCTTTACAAACAAACTTTGGGTGTTTGTATTGTATATGCATAGTTGGAAATGCAGGGATATTGTCTCAAGCGTTGTCCATTGTATTATATTACAGCGTCTTGCAACACAGCTCTCGAACAACGAGGCTTTGCAAAACATTGTCTTGAACATCTGAATATAGTAAAGAAAAGCGTGCTCAACAAAGAATTTATATACCTCGTAAAAACAAGTTATCCGTGTGATCTTTAGTAGTTTTTATTCCAGTCAAGGTATGAAAATAAAATATAAATTAGTAACTAACTTCTGTCCGTAGCTTCACTCGTGTTATTATCGATTTTATGGATCAAAAAGAAGCCCATGTCCTATTGCAGACCATAACCAATTTTTATGCCAGGTCCAGATCCGTTCAGCCGTTTGACTGCACTAATGGCGTAGGTGTTACTTCGCCGCTTCTAACTGAGTGTTGTCTGTTCGATTCTCACATAGAACAACACTTTGTGTGATCCACAAATTGTTGCTCCGAGTCTAAGTTTTCGTTGTGTCCGTTTCATGAATGTAAGTCCCCCGCGATACAGGATATATTCCTAGTGCTCACACAGTAGGACTATATCCTGTTGTCTTTTAAAAATAAAGTAAGCAGTCATGGCGTGAGTAAGGGCCAGACCGTTCAGCGATATTTGACCGCAATAACCATGGCGTAACCGGTTATAGACATAAGAGATAGTGTAGTTAATTACTGTAATCTTTGTGAGTTTATAAACAGTAAAAAGCACGATCAAAATGCACGTTTGTTGGGCTCGGCTCATGTCATATCGCTGGCTAGCCTAAATGTTGTAATATTAATCCCTTATAAAGTGTCGCCGTGTGGGTAGATACGATAAAACGTTATAACTCAATGCCATATGCGGCCGGCTGGCCCGTTTCACATGTCTGTACTCTCGATACACAGCAACCATTGAGTAACTAGCCTTTGCCCGCGACTTTGTCCGCGTGGTAGTCGAAATCAGACATCGTAGAGAGGATACAATGAATCAAGATTATAGGTATATTCTCCATACAAACTAGCACACATTTTTAAAGACAGTTTATAAAAGTTAGTAACTACGTTTTTTTATTAGTTTTAATAAATACTGTGAATTTGAAAACGATGCTACCAAAAATGGCAAAGTTACATATAAATTTCCAACCCCTATTTTGTAAAATAAGGGGTTGAAAATTTATAAGACACACACGTCACCTAAGGAACTTTTGTACAAAATAACATGCTTCTATACCCAGCGGTTTCAGCTGTGCGTTGATAGATCAGTCAGTCCGAATCCGTCTGTCAGTTTCTTCTTTTATAAATAAAACTAGCCGAAGCCGTTTCGGAGGATTACGGGAACGAACATTGTGACACGAGAATTTTATATATAAGATGTGGTTTATCTACTTACTTGAAAACCTCTAAATATACCAATAAGATTACTTATACCGTAATTCAATAGCCATTAGGACCACAGAATATATTAAAAACGAATTATGTATATCTCTGACCGCTTGGTATCATCCTTTGTTGTCTCCAGCTCAGCTCGAAATTCACATACAATAGATAACCTAAACAAACTTTATATACATAGTAATACCACAGAATAGATAATAGTAGTACCAGTAATACCAGTATGTGTTATTTATAGTAATACCATCAACAATATGAGGATATGAAATACCCAAGTCTCGCAAATTGAAACAATTGTACTACCCCGCAAAGAGTTGTTTGATCTGATAATAATTGCATAAGAATAATCTACTATTTTCAATAGTCCTTATTCTTAATTTTTTTTATATAAGTACGAGGGGTGATCAATAAGTAATGATAATCAATATGAAACAGAACTATTAGATTAAAAAAAGTATTTTATTTTTCAACATAGTCTCCTTGCAAGTTAATACATTTAGTGTATCTTTTTTCTAAGCCCATGATTCCCTTAGAAAAAAATTCTTTGTCTTGACCCTCCCAAAATGCCTCTACTGCGGCCATCACTTCACTATTGTCCTCAAATTTGTTGCCCCGGAGGTGTTCTTTGAGCCGAGGAAAGAGGTAGAAGACACTGGTAGCTAGATCTGGCGAATAGGGAGGGTGTTCGAGCAGTTCGAACCCCGTTTCTTCAATGGCAGCCATCGCAACTGCGGCTTTGTGAGCCGGGGCGTTGTCTTGGTGAAACAGCACTCCAGCGCGCAGTTTACCGCGTCTTTTTGACTTAATAGCTTCTCGCAATCTTCTTATTTGGCCTGCGTAGTAAGAGCCTGTTATAGTGGCCCCCTTTTCCAAATATTCCACCATAATAATTCCTTCTGCATCCCAGAAAACAGACGCCATAACCTTTCCCGCTGAACTTGACACTTTGAATTTCTTCGGCGTTGGTGAGGAAGCTCGTTTCCAAGTCATTGATTGTTGTTTGGTTTCGGGATCAAAGTGGTGGATCCAGGTCTCGTCCATGGTCACAAAACGCGACAAAAAAAATTCTTTATCGGCCTGGAACTTTTGAAGATTCACCCTCGAAATGTCGACTCGTTTCTTTTTTTGCTCGTCGGTTAACATTCTCGGTACCCAACGCGCAGAGACCTTTTTCATATGCATTTTGTTGACAATGATTTTTTGAACGCTGCCATAGGAGATCCCTGTGACCTCAGCTACATGCCTTACGGTTACCCTTCGATCGGCCAACACGATATCTTCCACTTTTTTGACGTTTTCTCCAGTAAGGGACGTGGAAGGGCGTCCCTCGCGATGTTCATCTTCAGTGGAGGTTCTGCCCAGCTTAAATTCCTTTGCCCAGCGTGCGACTGTGGAATATGGAGGAGCAGACTCCCCCAATGTTTCCTCTAAGTCGCTGTGTATGTCTTTGGTAGACATTTTTTTTCAGGCAGAGGTACTTGATGACAGCTCTTATTTCATTTTTCTCCATTTTGATGTTTTCTCTTCGACAGTTCGTATTCAAATGAATGTATCTCCCGGTAATGGTGTCCTATTTATACATTTTTTTGAAGCTGAAGTAGTGGATATATAAGCAAGCAGAAAAAAAATAATTTGGGTTTTTGTGCGTTCTAGAAATACTCGATTATCATTACTTATTGATCACCCCTCGTATACAGAAACACTGTCATGTGCGATTCCCAAAGATGTTCTTTTAGTTCCTAGAAGTATATAAGTAGTGGAAATAAGCTAACGCTTATGTCTGCCTCTCCATCTCTTTAAGTGTGAAAAAACTGAAACATATAATAAACTGCAAAAAAAAATTGTAATTCCATATCTATTGTATAAAATTACAAACTTACTTATTCAGTTAGTATGTATATCTAGAAAACTCAACTTAAATGACTATATGATTCGAGATTATTCTTGCTTTATAAGCTGAACAATGTGTTCACAATTTGTAGTATATCTGCTAAAACTACCTCAGAATATTGATGATCGATGAGTCAGTAATTTTTTTTTAAGGAAATTTGACTTGTATTAATTTTTAATGTACTGATTCAAAGTGAACGTAATTTGGGTATTTACCTAGTTATTTATCCTCTTAGTCCCTGAAATTTTAGGCTTCTATGTTTATCCAGAGCAAAATTACAGGGAGTGGAAAGTCGAAAGTGACCTGGATGGTTTCGAGAATTTGGTTTTTTTTTATTTTGCTCGACTTGGCCGGGACACTATCGTGCCCTAAAATAATGACAACGCAATCTGCAATATGTTTGAAAATAGAACTGAAACGCTATAGAATCTAAATATATCTTTTAAATAAGGAATTTCATGTTATTATAAATTTCAAAAACCGACGTCCTTGTTCGACGTCATCATCAGTTTCTTAAATTTTCTTCTATTAAAAAATCTTTATTTCTATGTTTTTTTAAATTTGAATGAGATTTGGCGAGAAGCGAATCTCCCGTTTAGTCCTATTCAAATAATAAATAATAACACCCCCAACCCCCTCCACCCCCAGGGTGGAAAAAGAAAGAATGAAGAATAAACTTTATTCATCATCAACAGCCTTTAATAGTCCACTGCTGGACATAAGCCTCTCCTTAGAAAGGAGGTTTTGGCCTACTATACCACGCTGGCCAGAAAAAAACTAAACTTAAACTTTGTTATTTTTATTGCGTTTCACCGTTTTATCACAAAGCATTAACATGAATCACAATTTGTGTATATTAAATTGTTAGTTAGTATAAAGGTCTTCCGTGTATATTTATGGTAACTTGACTTGAACACGTGATTATGGAAATAATTACCTGCGCCTACGCATATAAGTACATAATAGAATAAGACGTCTATGGACTAATGGAAGTGGACTATTTTTTGTCTATTGTCTCAAAAGGGAACGTAATTGTAAGTAATAGGATTGTTGTAAAACAAAGTAGTCGTGGGAAAAAAAAATTGTTTGGTGTTAAACATTCAAGAATAACGAGCAGAAATAGGTATGGAGAAGCCGTTAATCCTGAAGATCCTGATCAGGATAATCGTCCAAATTTATCAGAGTATTGTATTGTCATCGGTTTTTGAAAACGGTCAAAATCACGATCGAAGATTCCGTTACATAGATACATACATACCGAGCTAATAAAAGCGTGTTAAAAAACCGCCATCCATAGATACTTATTTCTAAGTATTAATTAAGGCAAGGGGAGAAATACATACCATCTAATGATGATGTTTCCAGATAAAGCTTTAAAGGTTTTTTTTAATGAGCAAATGTGGTTAATAACCATTTTTATCTTAATACATACTAATTTATTTATTTTTACCTTTTCATTTGGTTCATTTGCAAAATGTCATGTAGACGCAAAGTGGTCAATTTCGTAGAATGTCCTTGTTGCAATGACTGCCTCGGAACTGAGGTCTCGGGTTCGAGTTCCGGGTCGTACCAAATGTTTGTATTATCTGAAAATATTTGTTTCGGAGTTTAGGTGTTTTATATGAATATTATGTTACATACATATTTACATAAAAATAGTATATAAGTATTCTATCAGTCAATCTAGCTTTCATACTTCTGCTTAGTTTGAAACTAGATGGCGCTGTGTGTTAGATTTTCGAAAAATATTATATGTTACTAGCTGACCCGGCAAACGTTGTATTGCAAAACAAAAAAAAAATAGGGATGGGTCACCCTTACCATTTAGGGGTATGAAAAATAGATGTTGACCGATTCTCAGACCTACCCGATGTGCACACAAAATTTCATGAGAATCGTTGACCGATTCTCATGAAATTTTGTGTGCACATCGGGCCGTTTCGGAGGAGTACGGGAACGAACATTGTGACACGAGTATTTTATATATAAGATTATTATTAGTTGGTTAAGTTCAAAATTAGTTCAGTCAGCAATTAGTCAAATTCACAATTGGTCCAATTCTTAATTAAAGGGTTGTAGTAGTTGAACCAATTCTACTAGCTTATAGAAAATTAAGCGGTACTAAAAGAATTCTTTTCACATATTAATATTCTGATATTTTGACATGTTAGCACGAGAATATAAATAAGTCTATTGTACACATTCAACTACTATTATGAAGAGGTAATTTGTTTGTATGTAGTAGGTAATCTTTGAAACTACTGAACCGATTCTAGAAATTCTTTCACTAATATGTACCTGCATCATCCCAGAGTGCTATAAATTATATGAGGGCTATAAATTATATTCACTTCGTCTATATTAGCGGGCGGATTATGAACTAAAGAGGTGATTTTGATACCGAACTATGAAGAAACTTAAGCATTAACATCTTTTGGTCTAAATACGATTCAGTTCCACTTGTACTTTAACGATAATATTGCCCACAGTAAATATTAATTTCATTTGTATTTAGAACTGAATACCAATTTTAGACAAACGCAAACAAACACTCATTCAACTCTATTGTAGAGTTGAGATATCGTATGACAGACAATGCAACCGGACAAAAACATGAAACGTTACGTTGACATGCGTTTCAGCTCAGTTGTAATTGCGATACCAGAGCAAAATGTACACCTAGTTAAAAATAAAAACAGAGTTATAATTAAAGCGTGTGAATCTCCCATTTTAATAAACTCCGTAAGTTTTTCTTTAATATTCTAATATTTAATTTAGGATTATCTGTTCCTTACTAGCTTCAAATGTTTTTGTTTTTGTTATGTTTTCTTCCAATGGATTGGGAGTTTTCTATTTTTGTGCCAAAATTCAGTAATTATATACATCCTGTACGATTCATTTAGTCACTCACGTTGCGTATTCATTTTAATGATTCAGCTGTAAATGCTCTTTGTGCGGGACTTTCCTTTACTATCCTATTACTGTCAAATGGACTAATTTAAACGCTCTGCCTAATCATAACTAATTTATCAAGAGTATACAGTCGCAGTATAGTCGCAGAGTATATAGTCGAGTATACAGTATTCTGATTATATGGAATCAGAAGTATGTAGCTCCTGCCAGGTAGGAGTAGAAATTGTAGGTAGACGTGCATCACCACAACACCAACGTCCCAATAAGTCTTGAAAGCGACTAGCGAGCTATGTAATCTGTGGAATCGTAAATAATTTTAAGAATCGGTTATTGACATAAACAACTATAGGACGCCCATTGCTGGCAATAGACCTTTCCCAATGAATGCCACAATGTGCGATATATCGCACATTCTAGATGGGACATAACACATTGCTTTGAGTGTTACATAAAATTACCAAGGAAAAATCAATGCAGAAAGATTGTGTTGAAAGCCGGAGTATAGTGTAAACATAGATAATTTATTAAATTGTAATTATTTTTTCCAGGCTCGTTCGGAATCCATGGCATCGGTATACTCCGGAGCCGGTGAAGGTACGCGAGGCAACGTGACAGTGCGGGGAGAGGTACAGATCTCATTGGTGTACAACTACCGGCTCGGCGCTTTAGAGGTTGGAGTCAAGAGGTGCCGAGAGCTGGCGCCAGTTGATGTTAAACGAAATAGATCCGATCCTTATGTTAAGGTGCGTGTGAAATTATTTTTTCTAAAAATTTAGTTACAACATCACAGGATGGATAGACTTTCCTGTAAGACCGCCATTCCTGCCTCCCAAAACTAAAACTACTTTCATGCAATTTTTAATCATTCCTTTAATCGACTATGGTGATGTATGTTATTTCGACCTGAATGCAGACCTCCTTATCAAGCTGGACCGCGTCGACTGTACATTGTGTAAATAAAATAAATATCAAAGACCGCCAACATTTTGAATTTTGTACATGAATTTGTAGTAATCTTTGGATATCAAATTCGAAAAAAGGATGTTGTATGTTTTTTGTTGTTCATAAACCCTATAATTACTTCCAGGTGTACTTGTTACCGGACAAGTCCAAGGCTGGCAAGAGGAAGACGAAAGTCAAAAAGAATACTCTGAATCCCGTGTTTGAGGAGACTCTGAGCTTCGTGCAGCCGTTAGCCTCGCTGTCCGCGCGGACACTGTGGCTTAGCGTATGGCACGCGGATATGTTCGGACGAAACGACTTCTTGGGAGAGGTGACCCTGCCGCTGGCCGACGTCGTGTTCGACGACCCCGCGCCCATGTGGTACAAGTTGCATGAAAGAGTGAGTATCTGCTCCAGAGTTTTACAACTGAGTCTTTTTTGGAATATAAATACACTAACAATAAAAGATAACTTGTACTGCCTTACTGGGTGTGCCCTAAAAAGGCGGTAACCATTGAAATATAACCTACCTAGTTCATAACTTTTTTTCGTCGTTGCGTCGGTTGGCTAGTCTTATTCCTTTTGAATTTTACTATACCTTGAATTAAGTCATACTTAGTCTATTATCTTTATTTCTAAATCTTTTCTGTACAAATAAGGCTGGCGAAAGTATTTGGATAGGTTTCAAATTAGTATTATAAAGCGCACTGTAAATAATTGCACAATTAAGTTGAAAAGCGGCATATCTCACTAATGAATTCAGACTATTTATCTCCAGACGGAACAATTCGACGAGCAGCAAGGCAGCCGCGGCGACCTCATCGTGGCACTGAAGCTCGAGCTAAATGACACGGCTCGCGCTAAGGGAACTCTGCACGTGCTCGTAAAGGAGGCCAAGAACCTCGTCGCCACCAAACCTAATGGACTTGCGGATGTCTTCTGTAAAAGGTAACTTTAAACCTTCCATTGGAAACTTCTTAATGCCTGTTCATGAATCTCTGCTATCCTGTAAAAATAGATTAAAGAGAGCCCAGTCCCTTACTGGACCTGCCATGGGCTGACTGGAACTCGTATGGTAAACCGTACGTTTAAAAAAAAACGTAACGGCAACCTAAAATAGTAAATGGAATTATAAATAAAAACAGTAAAAAAGTTTATAGGAAATGTATAAAAAATGTAAGAGTCAAATATTACTTAGCATTATAGTGATTACGATATATTATTGTTGTTGTTTCCAGTTACCTGCTACCAGAACGCGGTCGTCTTGCCAAACAAAAGACCGTAGTGTGTCGCCGAACACTGAACCCGAAGTGGGAGCACACGTTCACGTACAGGGGACTGACCTTGCAGGAGCTCAGCACTAGGGCTCTAGAACTTAGCCTGTGGGACCGCGATCGACTCGCCTCCAACGATTTCATGGGAGCCATCAGACTATCTTTAGGGACCGGTAAGTCATTAACTTCATAATAATTAATTTTGATATTTATAGTGCTGTATTTAAAGGCAATATTTTACGTTCGATTGGAACTTTCCGAATTTACACGATTTGACCTGGCCTGTTTGAACTATAGCTTTACACTTCTTTGTCTAACCGTATAAGCAATATCTCTTTTCTCCCTTTTGGTCTTTCCGTCTGTATCTATAATTACATTTCAATATACTCGTAGTATTACTATTCAATTCATAAGTTGCCCGATTGACTGCAATAGATTTGTTTTATATGCCTGATGGCGAAACATGGCGTTCTTGTTAAATTTGTATGTAACATCTACATTTACCTGTTTTACGAAATAAATGATTGATTGCTCCTGTTATGTTAAAGGGAAATTATCGTATTTGGCCAAGCGTGAGCGTATAATGCGCCTTTTCTGGACTATGTATCCAAAAAAGGCGCATTATACGCTCGTAGGTAGATAGGAGTGAATGAAATTTACACTGTGCACTGTAGTGTCGTTGTGTAATGTAATATTTAAAAAGCAAATACAATTCAAGTGGTATTTTTTTTATTGTTTATTTAATAGTAGTTACATTGAGCTTGACAGATCCATTGTTGGCTTCTTCTAATCCCCTTATCCCTTAAACTGTTATGTATTTATACAAATTGACTTGAAGAAAATGAGGTATTTTTAATTATCATTCAATGGGTACAGAGTCACTACCATAACTACCACAGTAGGTAAAGATCCTTAATTTTTGAAATAAAAGTTGCCACATTTTAATTAAAATGTAAACTTTTGCCCCTAGGTACGTACATGGGAGCCCCCGTGAACTGGATGGATAGTGTCGGCAAAGAAGTTACCTTGTGGCAGAAAATGATGCAGCGACCGAACTTCTGGGTTGAAAGTTCCTTCCCACTTAGACCCCACCTTAACAATTGAACATATTGAATAATGTAGAATTAATCTGAGGTATATTTCGACAAGAAATCTACACGGACTGTAATGTTAAAAACAGCGATAAAAATCTGTTGTGAGAGATATATCATATTGTGTTCTTTATTGATGGGTCCAGTAGGTTTTATTTGTTTTTGTGTTGTTTTATATACAGCGATCATTGTACAGACATAAATAGACACTATATATACGTCAATCAAATGCGTGATTAAACGCATTATCGTGATCTATGTCTAATTTTTTTAAAGGAATACTACTTATCGAATGTACGGTTTCAATATACATTGAAATCAAACTGTAAATTATATCTCTTTTCTATATTTAATAAAACCTTTTCTTATTCTAGTAATCTTCTTAATTATCTATCTGTGGTATTAAAAAGTGCCAATAAATTACTTCTACTCGTTAATATACAATCAGCCTATACTCTTATATCTAATAAGTATTGAACATTAAACGAAGTATATACTTAGATGCCTATTTTGATAACGTTACATTCCACGAGAATATAATTATATTAAATGAATAGCTTTAAGTGTATAATGACAATAAATGTTTCAACTTGCAAACTGCCTATAATAGATAAGCTAAGTTATGCATTTATAATAGAATAATAATGTACAAATTAAGTTTACATGAGTTAAGTTGAGCTCATGCATATTGTGATTGTAACCTCTAGGTGTTTTTTTAATCAATTTGAAGCATGAATGGAACAATATATGTATATAATAAATTGGAATACAAGAATTTATATTACATAAAGACTAAGTATAGCAGTTTGTATAATATTATATGAGACATATCTTAACAGTAATCAAAATGATTGATAGGTACTCATTTAAGTATTATTATATAAACTTTAAATATTTTTTTATATAAACGTATTGTGAATTTGGAGTAATTCGAAAATAAATATGCTGAATAAATCGTCCTTTTTATTTAATACTCTACTACTATCCAATATTGCCCTTATACAGCAGATTTCGTCTGCCACTAAACATCGGTATTTAAATGAACAGAAATGGTAGGTACTGGGACGTAAAATTCTCACTAGTTATAAATATTGCAATGCAAATACACAGAATGTCAAAGTGAAGGTCACCGATTGGTCTGACTGTCCTATTTTATAACATACCATACCATTGGCTACACTACACAAATACGAAAACTATTCCGCCAGTCACAATTACGAATTTCAAAATACCGATTTTCATAATTCCGAATGGTTTACAATTCCTAATATAACAACAGCTACGGACCCCCAACCTCCTAAGGGGAGGCCTATGTCCAGCAGTGGACTATTAAAGGCTGTTGATGATGATGATGAATATAACAACTCCGATTCATTTTCCGATCATTCATCCTATAATTCAAAAATTTCAAAATATCTATAACGTTTATAATGACTATCGTTAAAATACCGAGTTTCAATAGATCTAATCTCAAAAAGTTCGACTGAATAATAATTCGAAACACCAGAAATTCGAATTCTTTCTATTTTCTTTCGAATAAAAATATTTTCTTTCGCTGGTTACGGTTCTAACCTAACTTTACCCAAATGACTCATCAAAAATAGAGGAGATCTGGCGCTCGGCGGCCGGTGCCGCGGCCCGCTCGCTTGCCTTTGCACTTTAATGGTCACAGTTCTAACCTAATCTAACCCAAACAATTCAATAACAGTAGATGATACTTGTCGCAGGTATATGCGGAGAAGAAGAAAGCAAATAAAAAACCCGACTGCAAAAGGACAATTTAAAAGTAATGAACTAAATAAAATATGGTCATGATATACCATTTTAAAATCTTAATGATGAGCCCTTTAATTTGATGTCAATATTGCAGTATTCAAAAAAAAAATTTTTACTTCTTTTTCTCACAGTCGTCATGTTGTTTTTTTTTGCCTCACCTGTCTAAGAAGACTTGGTTTACCAAGACGAATCTAACGATATGTTTTCTATACAAATAAATAAACTTGTGTTTGTAATATTAAAATAACCGCTTTTTACTAAATGCATATGTATGTTTACACGGTACATATGCCAAAAAATTATTTTTTTTTAATTTTTGTCTGTCTGTTTGTTCCGGGTAATCTCTGGAACGGCTGCACCGATTTCGACGGGACTTTCACTGGCAGATACGATAAATTACTTACCTCAACGAAAATCAACTTCCAAACAAAAGTCGCAGTCTACTGGTAAACGTTTATGAAAGTTCTGATGAATGCTGAAGATGCGAGCTGTATGTTAGCAATGTGAAGGGTACCTAAACACAGAACACAAACAGCCTGATAGTCAGAGTAAGCAACTCAGTTCATAAATATTTTAGTGGCTTAGTAAAATTGGCTGCTTTGGCAGACGTTCGCTATGTGAAATTGAGTTATTTTAAAAACGATTACCCATCTTTACATTACAGAATAAACCTCATACTTACTTTTGTTTGTGTTTAATTAATTTCAGTTAATCATTACCTAATGAAAATAATTACTGTTTCAAAAAAAAATGTATGACGTGTTTCGGTGACAAAAAATATTAAAAATGAAACGATTTTATAGACTGTCAATTTTCAAAATCCATCATTGTTTTCTTAAGACGGATCTCGTCGTTAACCGATCGACATTCCAAATCTATGTTAGGAACGGAAAAGACATTTTGTATTCAAAGCAATATTACTGTCTGTAAAAAGCGGACGGAACTCTCGAATTCTCGGCATCATGGTTAGGATAAAAACGACAACACCTTTCAAGACTTTAGTTTCTCGAGTGTTTTAAAATGACAATAACCAATGATATTTACACGCGAAAAAGATGCGCCGACCAGCCGTGCCCCGGCGTCTCGTACGCCTGCTACGTTTTATTCAGAAAGAGCCTGCGCTATTCATATTGTGCGATCAATGTTAAGCGGATTGTGTTGTACCGTGTTTTGTCATTACTTTGTGAAGTGTTATGTCCCTCTACCAGAAATGAGGACCCTATGACCACGGGAGGTGATCATGCCTGGCGGGCTGCGGTCCGGTTTGATGTTGGGTTTTAAACTAAAAAAAAAGGCAAGAAAAAAAAAACAGCTAGCAAAAGATATAAAATCTTGACTTTAATTGTTTGCGACGGAAAGACTCGTATCTATAGCTGTGAAAAAAAATACTTTTTACTTTGCTATTGTGACAAATTTGACAAGACAAGACAAACCGTTTGTGATTGTGATCATTTTAAGGCTTGGTTATTATTGATTTTTTGTCAATGAAATAACTGATATTTTGAACCATTTGAAAATAATTTACCTTAACAATCATGATTTACTTACTACAAAGAGTTTTCCTTTGTTTGTTTTTTTCATTAACAACATTTAAAGCAGGTATGGTATATAGGGCGTTGTTTCTTTTATATTTTGGTTTGTTTATTTTATTTATGATTTTATTTTTAGTTTATTCGATAAACTGCTACCAGTGTTCAGGGACCGACTCCAATAATCCATTTCAGTGCAATGAGTTTTTAGAAAACGATGTTGATTTAGTACCGATTGACTGTACGACAATTCATAATGCACAATATTGTATAAAGCACGTCGGGAGGTTTGAAGGTGAGATAAGAACCGAACGAAAATCTCATTCTTGGGAACAGTTCACGAGAAAAAATAATTTGGGATGAGGATTAATATTAAGATTTACAAACTAAAAATATGATAAACAAAACACCTATTTATATACTAACATATAAATTAAAAGGTTAAATAACAATTTATGGGTCTAGTATAAAGCCTGGTAGTATTTTTTTCCTTTTTTATTTGTTTTACTTTGACTTCTTACATTTTAAATAGTAACTTGTCAAAATGTATTGATAGTATGCCAAATATAAATATAGGTATAGCAATAGAATGCTATCAGTGCAACTCTTCATCAAGTATGGAATGTGGTGACGGGCTCATGAACTTAGACGGTGGGATACTGAAGCCAACTTCATGTGAACATGTGTTTAATTCACAATACTGCATTAAACTAACAGGTGTCTTCTCAGCTATATAAAGGGGTTTTGCTTTTAGTTGACTTTTCATGTAGTCACTGCAGCTTCATTTTTGCATAATACAACATGTATTAACGCGTTTTATTTATAACTTTGAACTTGACATGGGACAAAATCACAGTGAACTGTGAAGGAACAGTGAGTTAGCATTTGAATTTTTCGTATGTAGGTTAGGGTTATTACTTATTTTATATTTATAAAATATAGCTATATTCCCTACATAATTATTAAGAAAATACTAGATTTACTGTTAAATAGCATCTAACCTACCTAGGTAGGTCCTAGCAACCTACATAGGCAAAAATCGAATGATTAATCACAGACAAATTTTGTCCCATGTCTACTTTGAACAATCAAATATTTCTACCGTTAGGGAGTCATACTTTGGTACATATGACCCAGCTCACAGGTGAGAGGTGTTAAGCAATTGTTTTGTTGCTTTTTCATGGAGTGAGTTACTGAAGGCGCAACCCTCCTCCCTAATTCTGGGGGGGCACAACGGTGACAATACACTTGTATCTCTTGAGCCACAGTGGGTGACGGTAATCACTTCTGCTTGTTTGTATTACATAAAATAATATAAATTGTTACTCTTTTAATGCTGATTGCCTGACTATACTGGAGAGTGTAAAAGCACTTTACGTATTTAATGGGAAAATTGAAAATAAAATAAATTAAAAGGGGAAAGGTAGATGCGTAAGAAGGCAATCAAGTAATTTTTTTAACTTGAATAGATGATTTGGGAAATGTAATCAAAATGTAGCTTGTAGATCAGAATCGCATACCTGTAAGTCAAGTTGCTACTGCTAGAAAGTCTTAAGTAGGTAACCTAACCTTATAGGGTAAGCTGTACTATTGTTGGCACCCCATTGGCATTCTTAATTTCAAGCAAAAATATTAAGGATTGATTTGTTAAAAATATTCAATTGATGCAGAGCTTTTTAAGTTTTTGAAGTGTACACAAACGAACTTAACAATTTTAAATATAAAGATAGTAAGTAAACTACTAAACTTTTTTATAATTTTAATATTTATACCAACAAATTTTTATTAAACTTGTTGACTCATGCTTAATTATATATGAAAAAAATGGTAATTAAAGGTTAGTGCCAATGACTAATCAAAGAATCCTTAAAGTGCCAATCATTGTAAAGTTTACCTTATCACATCTGCTTAACTAACACTTTTATGCACTGGAATATTTAAGTTTTACAGCACAAAGCACTTTGGGGGTTCCTACACTACACTAACTGACTAATATGGTGATAATTGCGTAGTATACCTGGGTGAGTATGTGTAATATATTTATTTATATCTATTTATCAGCTATTGAGGTATTTGTGGTTGTCAGTTGTGGGTTCAAGTCCCTCCCAAGACAAATAATTGTGTGATGGTGTGCGTTACCCCAGCAAAATAATGTCGAAAATGGTCATTTAAACTTTATAGATAATTAGTTGCTCCCCTTCTGTAATTGTTAAGCAAATTTTTAAATTTGTTTCACTTAAACTTTTTTAGTTATTTCAAAAAAACATTTCCTGCTGGAGTAACGTTTGAAACGTTACCGCAGCCAGACATTTTCTTTTTTAATTGTAATATTGAAATAAATTTTAGCTAAATAATTAGTTATCTGGACTAGGTAAATGTTACAACTTATTTGGTATTTGTATTTTCTTCGGCTGCGAAGTTATTCGAAATCCTGCTGGAGTAACGTTTGTGGGTTTGCTGGATCTCTGAAACGGGTAAGCGGATTGTAACCATCTTTTGTACATAACTTCTTAAGGATTAGTTTTAATTTGTTCGACAATAAAATAACAAAAATAATGGACCGTTTAAAAATTATTTAGGTAAGTATGAAAACACTTCAATACGTCCTAACACTTTAAATAAGACCTCTAAAGACTTACTTCAAACGTTATTCTATTGCTTGTAACTACCTTCAAATGTATACGAATTTTCGTAAGAATACTGTAAGTGACTAAAAAGTTATGATGAAATGTAGCTCTCCACGTTCACGATCACAATGTGTGCGGCCTTTTTTGGCCACCGATAAACCTGTGTGTGGATATATAAACTGAATGTTAGGCCAATAATTAGTTGTTTAGTTCAGTTGTCTACCTGTAAAATTTCAGCGTAGTACATATAATAATTTACGAGATAATTAAATAAAAGTCATTAGAAGGTGCAAGACCGTGGTAACCCGACCATGTTTAGGTGGTTACAAAAAAGCGATCACCCAGTACATTGTGCTGGCTTTTAAAATATGTAGGATATTATTTGCAAGTTTACTACGGATATGTACATAAGTGTTACAAAAAAGTACATGTTTTTTAAATATTTTTTATTTAGGATTTTTTATTGCTTAGTTAGTAATCAGCCGGGAGATTAGGTATTGTTTTGAATGCTTTTGTTTTCTCGTAATGTTTAGGTGATTTGTTTATAGTTGTTCATAGAATTGGTACCTGCGTAGTATTTGTTAATGGAAGTTTAATTTTAGGGTAGGTATAGGTAATTTAAGAAATATGAAATGAAATAAAATGAAATGATAAGTTTTGAAGAGTGTAACGTATGCGTTGTAAATAGGTATTTTGTGAATAGATGGGGATTTTTTTAAGTGATGAATCGACTTAGGCTAGCATATCGCGAACAAACTCTGTCTTGCATTATTTCTGTAATAATGTTGGAGAAAATAAAATAGTTAAATTATAATAAAGTAAATTATGTATGTAAAATTTGTAATAAGTGATATACCTACCTAAAAGTTATGATCGTTATGAAATTTCAATATTAGCATTAGTAATTAATATCCTAATCCAAGAATTGACAATTACTTAAATTGAATCGAATTAGCATTAATGCCTATTATTAGTAATTAGGTACACACTTATTGAAGAACTCTCAAGAATACGATAAATATTTCCAAAAATAGAAAGCGGAAGCGCACACGTACTTTACAACACGTACTTATATTATCTGCCTAAGGGTCAAGTTTAGTGCACTAGATGCAAATTGCAAACAATGAAGCATCCCTTCGCCCCTCCCCTCCCGCGTTCTAGCGAAGGATGTATTATCAGCGATTCTTGATTGGTTTAAATTTTCGATTTATTGCAGTCAGGTGAATCGTTCATACATGTATCTACATATTTATAATTTTAGCGGACCAGTGCAGATTTTCTGTTGATTGTAGCTCCGGTAGTTAAAAAGACTAAAGAAATTTTAAGTAAAGAAACTTGTGCTTAAGATCAATTTGGAAAAAAAAAACAAAATAAATAATAGGTAATAATAATGAATAAATATTGAATGTATGTAACACTGCACGCAACTGTACCGAAATCGTAAGGTGTATTACACTAAACATTTTAAAAGCCAGCACAATGTACTGGGTGATCGCTTTTTTGTAACCACCTAAACATGGTCGGGTTACCACGGTCTTGCACCTTCTAATGACTTTTATTTAATTATCTCGTAAATTATTATATGTACTACGCTGAAATTTTACAGGTAGACAACTGAACTAAACAACTAATTATTGGCATAACATTCAGTTTATATATCCACACACAGGTTTATCGGTGGCCAAAAAAGGCCGCACACATTGTGATCGTGAACGTGGAGAGCTACATTTCATCATAACTTTTTAGTCACTTACAGTATTCTTACGAAAATTCGTATACATTTGAAGGAAGTTACAAGCAACGTTTGAAGTAAGTCTTTAGAGGTCTTATTTAAAGTGTTAGGACGTATTGAAGTGTTTTCATACTTACCTAAATAATTTTTAAACGGTCCATTATTTTTGTTTTTTTATTGTCGAACAAATTAAAACTAATCCTTAAGAAGTTATGTACAAAAGATGGTTACAATCCGCTTACCCGTTTCAGAGATCCAGCAAACCCACAAACGTTACTCCAGCAGGATTTCGAATAACTTCGCAGCCGAAGAAAATACAAATACCAAATAAGTTGTAACATTTACCTAGTCCAGATAACTAATTATCTAGCTAAAATTTATTTCAATATTACAATTAAAAAAGAAAATGTCTGGCTGCGGTAACGTTTCAAACGTTACCGCAGCAGGAAATGTTTTTTTGAAATAACTAAAAAAGTTTAAGTGAAACAAATTTAAAAATGTGCCTAACAATTACAGAAGGGGAGTAACTAATTATCTATAAAGTTTAAATGACCATTTTCGACATTATTTTGCTGGGGTAACGCACACTGTGTGATGAGCATTTTTATTTGTTCTTTGTTTGGGTGTACTTTCTTTAAAACATAAATGTATTTAGGTAACCATAAACCATAGGCTGTACAGGCTCTGCCTAATTTTGGATCTGCAATGCTATTCTCTAAGCAAACAGCCTTGCGTACAGCGCTGTCACAGTGTCGAATTTCAAACTAAGCTGTGAATAACACTGCTGATTATTACATATAATATGCCAAGAATAGATACTAAAAGATTTTTCATAAAACAAATTGTAGCTAATTTATAATTTTCCAGGTGGAATCAGCACAAAAAGATATTGTTCGTCTTTAGATTTAGGTAACTACTGCAATTATGTGCAACAGCCTGGAGACAAACTGGAGTATAGAACTTGCATCTACACTTGCAGTACAGATGGATGCAATACTGCTACAAGCTTAAAAACTTCATCCCTGTATATATTATTAATTTTTATTGCAAATTGTTTCATATTATAACAATCCCATGACAAATTCATAAAACAGTTGAACCATGAGAAGTCGAGTTTTCCAAGTGACAGGTTCCAATATGAATCTACCTATAAATAAAATAAACACCAAATGATACCATTATGTAATTATAGTCATAACTCAGAATTATTTTGTTATGCATGTTTTATCACAACTGCGTCATCACATCAACAGCCTTTAATAGTCCACTGCTGGACATAGGCCTCTCCCTAGAAAGGAATTGCATACAGATGTCCAAATATAGCAACAGTAAAGAACTATATTTATTTATTCATATTTCTTGTTCTATGTACATAATATACATAATTTTATTCTAATTATACACATGTCATATCTGTTTTGTATATTTGTATCAGTACAAATTAATTATTTTATTTTATCAGTAAAAACACATTCCATTTAGACATTTAAGACTAAAATAGGTAGTAATATTAGATTGTTATCCTAAGACAATTAAAATCCTGGCCATTATTACTTTTTGAATCTCATTATATTGTTAGTTTTTCTAAAGCTTTGACTGACTAGTAGATAAAGTATTTTCTATAATTTGTATACCTACAATCTGATGAATAAACTTTGTATGAAATAATTTTATTCTTTATAATTTGTTCTTTTTCCTTAAATTCTCTGTTAAACTGCGATGAAAAACTATAGTACATCCTATTAGACAAATTGGTCTGCATCAGTCGCTCAAGGTCACGTATACATTACGTAAAGCTAGCTGGTAGCGTAACGCTGACGGCTCAAGTGGCGGAAAAGAAGTGCATAAGTTTAAAACAACGTGCCAAAAACTTATTCTTTGTTACATCGTAATTGCTATTTAACTATTGACCTGGTGTCGTCATCATCTCAGGCAAAAGACGTCCACTGCTGGGCATGGGCTTCCCGCAAGTTTCGTCACACCAACGGTCCTGTGCTGCAAACCATCCACTGCGATTACCAATCCGCATGCCAAACGTGGCGATTATAGCAAAACCCCTTTGGCAAATTCTATTAACCTGGTGTATCTAAGCTTAATTAGCGTGGGTTTCAAAACCGCGAGTTCGCATTTTCAGCAAGCAATATCCAAAAAATGAGTGTTGCAATTTGGATACTTTCGAAATCGGACATATGAATCTTGTCTTATTATTACTTACTGAGCGATCGATCACATACCTAGTTCGTCATGCTAAACGCTAAAATATTAAGTAACATGCATTATTATTAGTAGGTTATCTCCGAGAGTAGACAAAGAAACAAAAATTCTAGCCAAACATTTATTGAAAATTTGTGCTACACAAGCTTGATATAAAAATACATAATAATAAATATTAACACCAACTTATCCAAATACATTATTAAATTATATCAGCTAATGCACAATAATACTTTCATTTTCACTTACCATACTAAACATTATGCAATTATACTGAAAATGGAATGTAAAAATAAACGTTCAGATTAACTACCAATTTAAAACAACGCGATCGATTTAAGGCTCTTGATTTTTATTGAGTGAAGTTACAAAAATGAATGTACATCAATAAAAGTTAATAAAAATTCATAAAAAAACATATTGAACAAGAGAATAACACTCATAAGCGACATTTCATTCCAATTCACGTACGTTTATTAAAGCCATAAGTAATGAAAAATTTCATTTTCTTATGCATACCTACCTACTATCTAAGCAATAACTTGTTTAAATCAGACAGCTAAAAATTGAGAACATCTAGCACCTAAAATACTTGTAAGATGCTAGCTCAAAATCTAGTCTAATTCTAAAATTATGTACAGAAAAAAGTTCAGGTAACTTTTTGTACAATTTCTTCGTTTGCAATACCAGAGCTACGATACGTCAAATTAAATCTAGCTGTTCGTAAGTAATGATAGTAAATGTTTTTTTACAAAAAAAAAAAACAATTTAAGGTACATTATTGTGTTGTCGGACCGATCATAAAATTGCCTCTTTTGTTCCAAATTTAAATGTTGATTCATAGGTTTTCCCACCACACAAAAGGGGTTATGGTGCCACGATCTAGCTTATTCTACGATCGGAATACAACAAAACGTTGTAAAATACAAAACACAATTATAAAATAACAGGTAACACTATTACATAAATCAGACTATTAAAACGATTACTAACAAACAAAGACATCAACTTAACTGTAAAACTGGAAATAACAATTATTTATTACGTGCTAATATAAAAAGTGCCTACCGTCGAGATCAGTAATATTTTATAAACTTAAAGATCTTATTCGATTTTAGGTACTGATAAAAGTAGTAGACCTTAACTTGTAGACAATCTATAAAAGATTACATTTTGATTGATATGGGCAAGTAAATAATCACAAAATTGACTGTCAAAAATATAAGTAAATCGCAGCCCTGAATTTGATGTCATATACATAAATGTATAAAATATAGAAAATAAACCACATACACAAAGTAACTAGCAAGAACAAAACAATTTGTGACATGAACATTTAACAAGAATGTCATGGTTTTATCACATTTTTTGAATAAACAAAAAAAATACTTTTTGTCTATTTATTAAACAGTCATAGGCCTTAAATAGATAGGCCCCACCAAACATTTTTTAAGTCTGCCAAAAAGCTATGCTTACTTGCCAGAAGCTATAAGCTTAAGCTTTAGGTTTTTGGAATGATACATTTTTAATCCCATATTTTCATAATTCGATAATATAAAGTCAAATTTTATAATTTTGAGCACATTATAACATAACATTGGAATTTCCATATAACAATTACAAAAAGAGTGTTTGGCTGAAGTTCATAAGTTGCAAAGTCAAGAGAATTGTATGCTGGTATTCAATACCATCAAGAAGGAAATACTGCTTACTCCATAATGCACATGACTTTCTTACACTTGAGTCCTGTTGGTAATACCTATCATAATATTTTCCTATCCTAGTTTTATTTCTTACCTCCATATTATATGTGCAAACTTTGAGACATGTTAAGACTAGTTACAGAAAACGGAATCTGATAAATACTTAAATTAAAAGCAGACATTTAGAACGAGACGACATATGATGAAGCAATATCGCCGTATTGTTCTATATGTTAGGTCACACATAAAGCCATGCTCGTACGTTGTTTCAAATATTATGTATACTTCAATAAAATTACTGACGATTAACAACACATAGTGGGCTGTTATAAAGTCCAACAGAGCAAAGCATCATTTATTTTTTGTGGTGCCTTGAACCTCCTCAGTACCGCACGGTTAAAACTAATTTTGTAAGGTTGTTTATGCTTAAAGCAATTGCTAAATGCTTGTTAACATCAAATTGATCCCAGCAACGGTTAGAGAACGCTAATGTTTTATAGTTTGAAGATTCCTCGCTGTTCACGACAGAAAGTGCATACATAGCTTTATGTATATTAAGGCGTGATTAGGATCGATCAATCGCACGTCGGTTGCTCAACAAGAAATACACTAGATCACACAGTTGTAGGTGTGCGTCAGTTTAGGAGCCATCACGTTGAAGTCTCGCTTGCAGAGCGGCGACCAGCTGTTCGAGTTCTCGGACCCGTTGTTGACTGTTTTGTAGCTGACGCTTGACGATTCTTAATTCCTCACCTTGGCGGTTGAATGCTAGACGTAACTGTAAATAAATATTTTTACATTCAATTTCATTACTTTGTTAAATGCTTAAAAAATTTTTTTTTATCATATTCTAAGTTTTTGTCTGGAACAATCTACTTTCTTACCGAGGATGGAGGGCCGTTTTGTTTTAAGTTTCAAAAAAAACGTTTTATTGTTTATTTAACAATAAACAAGTTTATAAGGTATATTTTAAACTATTTTCTTTGAAATTTTTAGAGCAACATACCTCATGTTCAGTGCTAAACACATCGCCTTGGTTTATTTGCTTGTACAAAGGTACGGGCTCTGCATCGCCTGTTTGTTTCCCGAACATTCGCTGCAATTGGTGGAACTTGGTGTTTTGGTTCGCATTAGTTTTTTGCGACTTTTCATTCACCTGAATCTGTAAATATTTACTTGATTAGTGATTGAAATTTATTCGTTTTTACTTAAAAATTTGTGTAAAGATGATTCTAAACACGAATAAGAACAATATAGAAAAACACATTTTTTTTGGAATAGGGGGCAAATGAGCAAACGGGTCACCCAATGGAAAGCGCGACTGGGGCGCCCATGAACGCCTGCAGCTCAGGAGTCATAATCGCATTTCCGGCCTTTGAGGAAGGAGTACGCTCTTTAACTGTAACTTATTCGACAGGTTGGTAGTGCGAGGCAAAAAGTGTCTTGAAAACCGCACAGTGGTGGGTGCCAATTATCCAAGTAGTGGGGATGAAAATTTTGTCGTTTGGAACGATGGCGGAAAGTTGCGGCTGGTAATAGTCTGAAAAATTCCTAGGAGCACTCCATGATTTATCCGATAGAGAATGCAGAGCGAAGCTACAACTCTACGTAACACCAAGGGATCCAGCCGGTCGGAGATCTTTTGGCTATCGACGATTCGAGGTGCCCCTACATAGAGATGAGAACAGTATTCCATATGCTACCGGACTTGCGTCTTATAGAATTGGAGGCGATGGGCTGGAGTGAAATACTGCCTCGATCTGCTCAGCACACCGAGCTCCTTCGAGGCCAATTTGACCTGGCCCTTACATGAAACAGGGTTTGTACGAACATAAACGGGTTTTCGGAAGTCGTTACTTTGACATGGCTAGCATTATGACATCCTACGACCTACACAAGTTACAGCTTTCTTTGTACAAGACCTCAGAGTTCCTATGAGTCTTGTCTACGACTGTAAAGTAAGACTAAGAAACTGAATATACGAGTAGTAACAGACAAGAGGCATATCGAAGTGGAGATCGGTGGACATACCTGTTCGATGTCGTTGGCGTGGTTGTCGTGCGGCGGTTGCCAGGTGCCGAGCGGGCGGTAGTCGGGCGTGGTCTCGCGCGAGAGGAAGGCGAACTTCTTGCGGTTGTTGGCGTCCTGCGGCTGCAGCGCCGGCGCGTCCTTGTTGTTGGTGCGGGGCTTGTGCGTCGATATCGTTACACCTGGTTGCAAACCCGGCAATTTCATTTAAACAAATATACATTCATTTAAGACTAAACGTGTTTTAAGTGTATCTAGTAAAAGTTGCATAGAACAATAAAGTTTACTAAGTATTTTCGAGGGGCCTCATCAGTTATGAGATGTAACATTTAATCAGTATCTTTTATTAAATTAAACCAATTTCCTTACAGGAATATTGCTCTCTCTAAATAAACACACACAAAATCATATTAAATTACAAAATACATATATAATAAACAAGTCTCACTATAATCTAGTCCATACCCTACAATCTACCTGTATGGACTGGGTTATACGTTTCATAAATTTAGTATTATCGACTAATATGATATAATATTCATTTACAATTTCTGTACCTGTCTTCATACTGATGAGGAGCGGTGGGGCATTCATGCCGCTCAACCAATCTTTAGCGGTGAGGGCTGGCAGTGGGGCTGCAGTGTCTGGGTACAAATCCTCCTGTAAATATTCAAATGGTCATTTATCAAAGCATGAAGTTCATGATAGGATGATTAGTTATGTTGAATGGTTGTGGACAAATCTATACAGTTTCAGTGCTCTCCAAGTGCCATTTTGACTTGCTACTGGGTGGTAGTAAAAACCAAAGTATCATGGTTTTGTTGCTAAAAACTATTAGCGAAAGTGGAATTTTCATATTAACAAATATTCATTTCTTTTACGTTTAGTGACTATTATCAGCTTTAGTGTAATCAATAAAAAATTGGAAATAATTTCTTTCTTTTATCAAATAAATAATGAAATAATAATGAATTTTGACTATGGGGTAATTAAATATTTTAATTTAAATGTACCTGGAAACAGTCCGACTTGCGTGGCACTATCATGGAGATGGGCTCACACAAACCTCTCGAGGTGTGTAACTTGTAGAACCGGAATACTTCGCATGACGCTGTGTTCACACCTCGTTTTGGCATGAAGCCTAGGCCACGCTGTAAATAAGAATAATACTTATTTATATTATACAAAAAGAATGCACCTACTTAAGCCAATCCGTAAGGGCCTAATGCCTACCCCTAGGGGGTATAGATGTGAGGGTATGTATGTAAGTACTCGTTTTCAAGTTATTTTTTACAGATATTTTAATTATTAATATCAGAAATTAAAAAGAACATCAACCTGTACAATTTAGTTAAAGAGGAATCACTTGAATACGAATGGCGAAATAAACAGTGATGTAGGAAATATAAACTGATTACAGTCACGTATGCTTTACGTTTGAGAGACAAAGGACAATAAAGGGACCAATAATAATAAAACTGTGTGCGTGTTGTACTAAACAAACGAATGTTATGCCATGAGAGGATACTATTAATACTATATTTTTAATCAATAATTCTCTAACAATTATTTGTTAAGCATCATAAATATACAGCCATTTTTGAACTAAATTGAATTCATTTAATAGAAAAGCAAGTTAAGAAATGTATTTTGGAGCAACGCTAGAAAAGGGCATGACAGCAGGACAAGGTTTCTGATAGAAAATGAGGTAAAAGTGATCACAAATTTCTTCAGGTTCGTTACCTTGAAGATTTAAACAGGGAAAAGAAACTTGTGCTCTTAATACACATTTTTTTGAATGTGTATTTGTGCTGAATTCCTTTAAGCTACTGGACCGATAGTGACAAGGTGTAATGGAATATTTATAGATATTTTTTATATTAACTTACTTGTGGGTTGCCAGATAAGAACTGGTTAAGGAAATGAACGTATGGCGCCTCATCGACAACTTCATAGTATCGTATATTTCCATCTCCCTTGCCCGCCAGGTAGACCTACAAGTAGAAATATTTATTATAAAATATTATCGTGTCAAATATTAGTAAAAACAATTAGACGCTTTTCTGGGTTCTTTTCAAAAAGGTTTACACTAGGCTCTATAGCTATAGTTATAGCTCTTAATACAGGTTAAATATATTTTTTGTAAATACATACATGTTATGAATAGAAACATCCATATCAATTCTAGAAGACATGTGTGCTAATAACTATTTATATTTTTCTAAATAGCCGAGAAACGAATCCGCAATATCTGATGTAGGAGTCGAAAGTTTGACCAACTTGACACCTTTTCGAAAGAAATGTCTAAAATAGCAGTTTTATTGCAAAATATGCTAATATGTATCTATGCCTAGGTTTAGACTTCTAGAGGAGATATTGTACAATCTTGTACGGGTCTTAAAAACTATTATTTAACATCTTTTACTCACAATATTAGTATCATAGTCATAATAAGGGAAGACGACACCCGAAGAGCTATCGATGGTTTCACAGGCCAACGGTTTGGTGAGATCGTGTTGGTCCCACACGGCGTACTGGCGGTCGCTGTAGCGAGAGAACCCCGTCGTTAAGACTTTCCCCTGACTGCCGAGGAAAGTGCATTTGGATGCTTTTGTTCCAGAGTGGCAGACACCTTCCTGAAATATTTACATTATTTTTAATACTAATGGTGATTTAACTCTGTTCTACTAATATGACGTTTTAGTTACGATTTTAGTTAAAATATGTCCCTGTGATGTCTTTAAATGGTTTTATTGATTAAGGACAATTTTAACATTAATAAAATAAATTTGTTAAATTTATATTAACTTTAAACAAAGCCAATTCTCGTAATAAAAGTTCGGTCTCAATTCAGTTCCGATCAACATTCGATCACAACTGTCACAAAAGGTATTTTCGTAGTAAAGTAATAAACATCTAATGTTGACTGTAATGTGATTATATCGTATTGTAACTGAAAATTGAATCGTTAATCTGCTAGTCTTAGTAATACTTTACTATTTTACTAAGAAAATGACAGTCATGAGATCGAACTTTTATTACGAGAATGTGCCTTCAGATCTCGTGTTGTAATAATGAGGAGAGGCTCATTAGTCTGGTATATATTTTTATTCTGATGTTTTTGCTAAATACTCATTATATAATGAGTCATGTATATATTCTATTCCACCTCTACCATTACATTTAAGTCCGCAAGCAACCATTTATAGTCGTGATCAAAAATTTTATAGTACAATAAATAATCTGTCATTATTATCACGTTTAGCTCTGCATATATCTTTTGATTATGACAATATAAGTTAATTAGTAAGCCTTCTCTTCGAATAACGCGATAATTTATATCACTTTTAGCTAACGTAACTTGTAGTAAAAAATATGTGTGCGTGTCGGGACGCCCGACAGTAGGGTAACATAAACTAATCTGAGTTGAACTATTTAATATTAAAATTGTTTAACTTGAGAAAAGCTTAGGTTATTACTTAAATTTTATGTAAAGCGTCTTTCCGAAATACAGCTAGCGCTATGGGTTAGAGTGAGATAGGAGGAGCCTGCCTACCGCTGCCGTATGCGTGAGAGAAAGGGAAACCAGACAGACTGGCGCCGTAACGCGTTACGTAACGAAGCGGTTTACCCTCCCACAAGAAGTTATCACTTCAATAATAAATTAGGTGCTAAGTAGGGATCAAGATATTTTTAGATCTTTGAATCTAGAATGGAGAAACGATAATCAATAACATCAGTTTAATAGTTTATCTACTATCAAATGCTTATAGGTACATATAATAAATTAGTGTAGTTTGTAATAATAGGAAAAAAACACATAAAACTTATCTTTGAAGAGTTCGTTATGTATAAATGTTGCATTATTGTCGGTAGTTGCAGACGCTGTCTTTCAAAATATTAAAGGTGATATAAAATACTTAATTTGTTACATTGAATACTGCGTCAGTATTTAATACATTTTTGCAATGATACATCAATAAAAATACTCTATAAATATTTTTATGGCAACTGTCTATTTAACCGTTTTTGTTATACGAATAGATTTAATTTTTAAACATTTTTTTTTTTATCTGTGTTGTGCTTTCATATTATTTATAACTGAATTAGCACACGTGAATTAACATTTATTTATAGTAATTATTAGTTACCTAATTACAATAGTATATTACTGACCGATAATACAATGCCTCTTCTAGGCTCGATGACGCGTAGCTTTTTGTCCTTGCAAGTGGTAGCTAAGAGTGACCCATCCCGATTGAACGACATGCAGTAGATCACATCGCTGTGGCAATCTATTACTTTCACTGCTTCACCTTTGCCGACATCCCATACGAAGATCTGCAAAAAACAACTTATATGAAAGATGAATGCATTTTACTGTCCACATTCGGATACCGGATATCCGGACAAACTAGTGTATTCGTTTATCTTTAGTCCGTGTGATGGCATATATACTACAGATATAAGTATATATAAAAAAAATATTAGCAAAAAAAATTTTTAATAACATATTTTTTATTCCCTCAACAACAGAACGACATTGCTTTAACAGAACCTAATAATAAATTATGTAACAAATTACATAATAAATATTTGTTTATCCGCAAATACAATAACATTAAGCATTAATAACATAATATTATCGTGTTTACTTTAAACAATAGTTTATTGTTTAATACACTTACTACTGTTGAATAATATTAGTACTTTTATAGCAAATTTCATATTTTTATCACGTATATTTACATACATTCACCTAATCATTAAAAATGTCTTTGTATTTTTTAGACTTTGTTTTTGTATTGTATGACAAAAGCATCATTGTTTATGAAATAATAATAATAGCTTTATACATCTCACACACGGCCGTCTGATCCCAAACTAAGCAGAACCTGTACTATGGTAAACAGACCGCTGATAAACATCCATACTTATATTATAAAAGTAAAAGTGAGTTTGTTTGTTACGCTTTCACGCCTATACGACTAAACCGATTTAATAAAATATTTCAACAAATGAAAGTTATATTTTCAGCAAGTAACCTAGGCAACTTTTTACCGCGATAACCGAGATTCATGTGGGCGGAGCCGCGAGCAAAAGTTTAGTTATAGATAAATTACACTCAGACACTGAACACATAATCGTGCTCATCACACAATTTATTTGTCCTGGGTGGGAAACGAACCCACGACCTCCGGCTTAGCAGTCAGGATCACTAAAATAATTGACTTATGACTTACATCATTAAGCTGTAGTTTATTTTTATAACTTCACGAAATAAATCCATTAAAATAAAATAAGCTACAATACCAAGCCTAGGTACTTATCATTAATTAAAAAAAGACTCGTGATTACTTTACTACACATATGTGTAAATAGATCTTTTCCTGTATTAAACATATTACAATTTCACGATTTGTTCGGTATGTTATAGCCACTCTAAGATCACGGCAATCGTAAGGTATGTATGTCGGGGTCATGTTAAGCGTGTGTTGCATGTAGAAACGCTATACATTTAACCATTAATAATAAATGGACGGTATTTCATTTTGCAAATTGGAATACCATAAATTCTAATTTAGTTCTTGGAATAGAGTTTATAATGGTACAATAATTTGGTTTGTTTTAACAACAGATAAAAGGAGGTCCCAACTTTTATGTATTTAACTAAATCTGTGTTCAAAAACCAGCCAAATGCGTGTTGGCTTTAACTTTTAAGTATTAGTATTTCGTACGATAATCGATGTACGTACATTTTATAAGTTGGGGCCGACTTGTTAACTACACCTACTATCATCTTGATTTTTACCACTTTGCATGACCTTTGTTTACTTTACGACGTTGATGCATAATTACAGTTTTCTAGTACTAAAACTAAAAAACTTAACAATAGGAATTCCCTGTTGAAAAAACATTCCTTGTTAGGACTATGAAATATATAATAAGTATTATTATATATAAATGATATCCTTTTCCAACAATGAAAATGACAAATGAGCTTCAAACTGTAATTTAAGATAACAATATAATAATCGAAAAACAAGCGACACTCACGGATAACTATTAATAGTATTTTAAACATCACTACCCGTTAGTTTCCGAAACAAATAACGGAAACACTAATTGTTATTGCAATGCCATTTATCAACAGTTGATTGTTAGCAAACACGCAAATCTAAACTCAAAACGAACGCATCTACGTTTGCGTGATCTTAAGGAATAAATTTACATTTAAACATGAATTAGAGAATAAAATAAGAACTCTTCGGTACTGGGACGAGAGAATGAAAGTGTATTTATGTTTTGTATCTTTATAATTCTTACATAGTACCGTGTTTTAACTTGCTTTATTACATACATAAAATAATATTACGTACATAACATTAATGCGGAATAAACTTCGTTTCATTTGTCTGTATATATTTATAAGTTATAAGGAAATTATTTGTTTCCCAAAGAATTATTAATAGATTAATAAACTTTCTTAAGTAAATTGAGGCAAATAAACGCAGGGAACAGGTTTAGTTTATTTTATGGAGAGCTGAACGAAAATGCCCATCACATTTGGAAGCGTGTCAGAAAAGTTTGTTACATAATCTGGGTCGGACATAACCTACTAAGCACAAATAGAATCCCATAAATGGCATGGTATCTTAAGAAAGTATTGTTATCCCATGAAATAAACATATCTATAATATTCTACAGTATAGAGAAGCCGGCAGAGAGCAGGTTTATTTAAAACGCTTTAGAAATACCGAGAATCGAATAAAATCCTATTATTTAATCAAATGTACAAAACTTACATACCAAATAATCAAATCCCGCGCTTAGTAATATATTCTCAGCAGTAGGGTGCCACTCGATGTATGCAACTCGTCGCTTGTGGCCGTGTAACTCCACCAGCCAATCCGTCAGGTGCATAGACAAGCCACCATCCGGTATGTGCCATAGCTTCACCTAGAGAACAAAAAAAAAAAGATTATCATTTATTTTTGCTTTACTTTAATTAATATCTTCTTTTACTTTCTGTTACATCACACAACTGCTTTGACTACAGGAATGTGGTCCAGTTTTTTGCCCATTACACCTGTAGTTTTGATTTATCGAATTTTAATAAAATTCTGTACTTTAAAGGTACATAGTTTTGAGTTTTATTTGTTATATATTTGTGTTCTTTTATACCTACCTACTGGCATAGCTTTATAAAAAAAGTTTACTGTTTGGGTTGCATCTACAAGCGGTTTAATTTAGATATCCAATACACTAATGGTACAAATTATTAACCGGCCTCAATTGATAACTAAGATTATAAGGTTTAAAATCTATGGTTCTTAAATTTTCAAATTTGATAACATTCATTAATAATAATTTGACATGGTATTACATTCCACCGCGTTATCTTTAATCTGTACCACTAACATACATTTCCTAATAAGTTTGTTATTTTCGTTATCTTTCTTGCAATTAAATCAATAGCCGATAATTCATTACCACTCGTCTTTGAGTACAAAGTTCAGGCTTTTAAAAAAAGGTTTGTTTAAACTAGGCCCAAACTATTTTAGGCCCTTTCCTAAAATGAACTGATATCTCAGACCCCTATAGCCAAATTACTGCATGCTTATCGACTTGTTGAATTTTTAAAAAGTACAACAATAATACTTTCTAATAAAATTTTTGTCATTTTTATAGTACCACAACTAATACACTATCTTGAAAGTTTCAAATAAGAACTTGTCTTAATTGATAGGGGTCGATTTTTAGGCCTCGTCGACATTATTATGGCCAGAAATTTAAAATCTGGTCTGCATTTGGTCTGAAATCTCGAGAACAGGTATATTTGAAGAAGAATTGCAGACATGTAGCTGACATCTAAATAAATGGATTCCGCATTAAAAGTTATTAACTGTCCTATCAACCATGAAATTACGTTGATTTTGTTTGTTATTCTAGGATAGTCGAATGACGTTTAGTCTAATACAATAAAACTCACAAAAAACCAATTTCTTTCGTCTAATGTAATTTCCATGAGGCGAGTATCGATAAATCGATGATATAATATAGTACACAGAATGTGGACGAAAGTAGGTCATGCAAATATTTTATCTCGATGGGGGATCGAACCCCAACACATAAAGTATACACTTCATTACTTTAGCGCGCCAGTTCGTCACGAAGACTTATTATTGTGTTTACGTTTAGACTACATGTCAATAAACTCTTAATTAGAAAACACCGTGGCTTTATATTCTAATATACTAGTATATAAATATATATTATACATCTCGTGTCACGGTGTTGGTGGTCGCACTCCTTCGAAACCGCTCGACCGATTTTAATGATTATGAATGGTCGTAAAGAAGATTTCACCCTCCTACACGTACCCCCCATTTTTCAAGAAATTTATATGGCAGAATTCTCATTACAACACGTTGTACTGTTAACCGACTATATTGTAGGTATGACCAAAGAAGGAAACGTTGAATTATCTCCCCTGAAGCTACAATGTTCCATCACAGTAGCTTTGTATGCCTAGTAATGTTTTTACTGATAAGATAATGGGTTATAATCAAAATGAATAGATTTATGAAAAATTAAATGATAGGAAGTACGTTATATTCACTGTGTGCGATGTTATATTCTCTATTTATTTTTGTTGCACAAAAAACAAAATAATTTGCTACAAATATTTTTTTTGTGCGACAGACGTTTAAATTTAAATACAACTTATGCAATGGAGAAGAGCGTATCGCGTACATTACAGTTCACAAAATACGAAATGTAAGAAAATGATAAAGGATAAAATGGCATATGTGCAAGCTGGGTCACCTGGAGTATGAACAAGTTTAGAAATTTACAAGAGAAAAATACAAAAGTAAATAAATGTTATAAATAAGAATTGAGTACATACGCACTAAAATGTATTCACTAAAAATAAATAAATATCATCATCTGCCTACCCTTTTCCCAATTTTATTTGGGGTCGGCGCAGTATGTATGATTTTTCCATTCTACTCTGTCATGCGTCATCTCACTGTTTACTCCCTTAATAGCCATATCCTCCCTGACGCAGTCCATCCACCTCTTCTTCGGTCTACCTCTTCTCTTGTACCCTTCAACTCTCATACCTAAAACTTTCTTCACCACATTTTCCTCATCCCTCCGCATGACATGTCCATACCAAGATAACCTATTACTTCTTAACTTTTCATCCAGTGGCGCTACTTTCAGACTCCCTCGTATATACTCATTCCTAACCTTGTCCATCTGAGTCACACCACACATCCATCTCAGCATTCGCATTTCGGCTACGTTCAGGCGTCTCTCATCCGTTCTCTTAATGGGCCAGCTTTCAGAGCCATACAGGACGGCAGGTCTGATAATAGTTTTATAAATTTGTCCCTTCAGTGTTAAGGGGAAACTGGGGTCACAAGTTGTTCCCGTTACCTGCCGCCACTTCATCCATCCCGTATTGATTGAAATAAATAAAACTACACTAAATAGCTTCATGTATGCGTAACGAAATATTTTATACTTAGCCTACCTGTCAACAATTACTGTCACTCTTTATAATACCAGTCCAAATGTCCCAATAAAGACCTCTGCCCACAAGTCCCGGTTGACTGCGAAGCCACTCATACAGTAGTCTCTACTTCTTGTGGGAATTTGCCCATTCAATAAAATCTTCTAAAGATTAAGATAAGTGAATGCGCAGTCGTGAAACTCACTAACACTTCATTAAAATGCTATTTCGTAATTTAAAACTGTATTCTGTATTTTGATGAGGCTAAATACATAAGTATGATAATTTGATGACATAATTTATATGACAGATACTAAACGCATTAAACCAACCCAACCCAAACCAAACTCTCTTTATTTATTAAAATTGTTTGAAATCGTCTTTTATGGTAGACTCTAAAGTCATAGATTAACACACACAATAGCAACAAACTCTGTTGCTATTGTGTGTGTTGTCAAACAGTAAGCAAATAAATTTTATAAAAAATTAAACTTATACAAAAACTATGATATGCCTTTCTTTTACGTCTGGAAACCCCCTCGTGCCGTCACCCAACCGGGGTTTGCGGCGGGGTGGTGTATCGGAATCGGACCGAATAAAACCACACAATGTGCCATTTTGCGCCTGTAACAGGATAGATCCGGGAGCTGCTATTATTAAGACATCCGGACCCCTCCTAGCACCTGCGCGCAATGGCCCTGGTACCATCTTCGGGTACATTCTCTGGCTGGCTGGCCGTTATGGCAGGTTGAAGGGAAAACCCATCGCGTCTACCCGCGGCCACACTCAGGGCGGCATGAGGCGGTGGTAAGCTCGCCTCCGCCGCCCGGCGACGAATTGGGTCCGAGTGATTCCGGACCCTCTGCGCCGCCTCCTTCTGCGAGATGACGTCTTCGCAAAAGAACACATGTGCCATGTGAAACATGTGCCCATGAACCGTGTGACGGCCGGTAGCGAGAGATCTCCTCCGATAACTGCAATGAGGGCCCGTCGCTGCGGGGCCCAAGCCGGGAAAATTGAGAGGCGGGTACTACAAGTTTATTTATATTTCTGGTATTTATAGAATGTACATCACTTCTTTTCAAAAAGATTATTTGTTTTTATGAACATATATTACATTTTCATTTATATATTGACTTACCACTGTCATTATGTTTATTTCTTTACATTTCTGCCTCAATTAACAACGATTGTCTGAATTATAAAATGCTCGAATCGCTCTCTTATGCAGTGAAAAAATACTTTAAATGTCGGTAGCATTCCCCCACAGTAGAATACCGTACGACATTGTGCTATGAAAATAACTGAAGTAAACAAGTCGTATCAACATCAGTCAACGATTTTTTCTTACTGCGTATGCTGCTGAGCTGAGTCTACTCGATAATTTATCAATATTTGGGCCCTACTGTAGCTTAGAATCTAGTATTATACCTAAGAATGTCGTAGTGTCCACAAGGTCTAGCCCGACATCCTTAATCATCACAGTGGTTTTTAACTGACTTGACGTTTGGCATAGTGTAACGTATACACTTAGTTTTTCGTTCAAAGCAAACTGTTAACATCAAACCAATGAACAACTTTCGAAATGGCGCTGTTTACGTTTGTGAAATTAGTAAGAGTCCGTTTTAGACTAAAAAATAGTGATTTATCATCTACAAACAATACAATCTCGAGATTGTCCTTGACAGGGCAAGGTAAGTCGTTAATATATACTAAAAACAAAAAAGGGCCGAGAATAGAACGCTCATTTCTACCACAGAGCCTGGAGACTGCTCACCATTAATATCATCTTTCTGAATCCTATTAAATAGATATGCAGCAAGAAGTTCCTGTGCTTTATTTTTGATAATTATTAGGAAAAGTCGCTACGGTTAATGTCAATTTTGCTCAATAGAAGCAATAGTTTCAGCCAAGTTCTTGGTTGTAATGGAAAAATATTATGATAGCGAAATTGCTATGTGTCTGTTATAATAATTAGAAAGGTAATGCCTTACTGTTGTCAATGAAATATTATTGCTAACAAGCATGTTAGTGTCGATTAGATGTAATTTATTATAATAGGGTCCATTTATTTGGCAAGTAAGATTGTGCATAAATTGTCTTAATATTTTTCCTCCTTTTTTTTTTTTTTTTTTCCGTGCGGACATCCCCTCGGATACCACCTGTCGGTGGTATGTCGGACTCGAACCGACTAAAACCGCACGCCGTCTCGGGTACTAATAGCCGGGGAACCAGGTATACCCTAGAAAGGAAGTCCCTGGTGCCCCGACATACCTCGGGTCATCTACAGACGAGTAGACGACCCCCCCCCCCCCGTGTGGGAACCCCATGTTCCCTGTGCTCCCTGGAAGCGAGCGCGCTTCGCAACGCGCTCGCCGCCACCCCGGCCTGCTTCTGCTAGGGTGACAGATGGCCTCACCTGTCACCCCCAGGTCTTCGCTTATGGAGGACGGAGGTCGTTCTGCGACCTCCGTCGCCTGAGTCGCCTGCGATACCTGGCCCGTTCCCGGGCCTGGCGGGCCGGGAGAGTCCTAAACCTCTCCCGGTCCCGCTCCGCCGTCTCCTTCGCGAGCATAACTTGCTCGCAGAAGGAGACGGCAGAGTTCCACGCACTCTCGCTCCGCACGATAGCCGCAATCAGGCTATCGAGCGAGAGAACTCCCACTCCGATGGCCGCCACGAGGTCTCGCCTCTGCTCAACCCACGCCGGGCACTCTGCCAGCGTGTGGAGAGCCGTGTCCACGGTCTGGCCATCGCAGTGGTGGCACTCAGGCGTTGGCTCCTTGCGGATCAGACACAGGTGATCTCCGAAACATCCTTTCCCAGTGATCACCTGCGTCAGTCGGTATGAGAGGGTCCCGTGACGCCTCTCGAGCCAATCCTCCATAACGGGTCTTACCGCCGCGATGACGGCGTGCCCGAATGTTTTTTCCTCCTGCGACAATCCTTTACTAACAGGAAGTGTTAACAATACAATTTTATTTACATCTAACTTTAACAATGATTGAAAATACCGTAAGAATTTCTGGACTGAAGCGCGTTCAGAAACGTTTTCTTTGGCACCTTGCATTCTGCGAGGGGCAAACTAAACAGCTGCCGTCGTACAACTCACGTCTGCAGTACTTCAAGCACCACTGTCGGTACGAAGGGTAATTGCGGATGCATTGTTTGGATTTAAACTACTGCGTTATCAAATAAGTTGCCCTCTCTTGATTGATTTGATTAGATTTCGGGCTCCATCTAGATATCCTAGAAACACTCTTACGCCCTTACAGAAAAGTTTTGGGTGCTAACTCGTCAGTTTCCAGACTTTGCAAAGTAATCAACGGCTCCAGTGACATAGTAGATATTTATAGCAATAACCTAGGGAAATTTTACAGTACTATCGTCAACTTTTATAATAAGATTGGTTAATTTATAAATTGAATGTATTCATGAAAGTTTATTGAATTGTTTTATTTATTCATTGTACTAAGTTTCTAATTTGTTATTGACATTAGTTAAAAAAAAGACTATATTTATTTCTATAATTTAAGATTTACTTATTTAATTTTGAAACTGTAAACCGTCATAATATTCTAAGCATGCGGTGTTAACCTTTAATGAATTGTTACACTTATGTTAGCAATAACTTTGTAAATAAATTGTAAGGTGCAGTGTAAACAATTATTGGTTAGCCATAAATAAATAAATAAATTGTATCTATTTCATTTAAAAATTGGCGTATTCTACTACTACACCGTTACTACTTCACTGCGTAACAATAATATGTTTACAATCAAATTAAGAAAGTAAGTAACAAAAGTAAATACAGCAGTGTAGTAGCCGTGGTCCTATAAATAAATTACTTTTTATGACCGTTTCTCCCTGTATCCTTTCAGCTTAAGAATCTCGTGAATGTGCACAGGCTCATCAAATACTTGTTATGAGTGCAGATGTTGGAGATGATGACGCGACTAACATTATATTTTTAGATTCACTTTAATATTTCTAGTTTCACTGGACAGTATGATAAAGTTATTTCACAGTTACATTGATGGAAAACATAGTTTTATTTGGCTCGCGGTCTTGCTTTCTCTGAACATAAGAGTTTTAACGAAGACAGAGTTCAAAATTAACGTATAAGCTATTCAAACCTTTCAATGTAAGATGCAAAAGAGAACGTGCTATGGAATAATTTTACAGGATTCGTTATAATTATTATCTATTTTAAAATAAAATTAGACAAATCGGTACGTCTCATACTGACCAATTAGAATCAATGTACAGCTCGTCTCAAGGATAAGAATATCTTTCAAATAAAGTATACTTCGTTTTAAAAAATGAGCAATGCTATATAAAAAATATATCAAAAAATATTTCTATTATGTTGCTTTGATCTCCTTTAAAAGTTTCTAATTAGTTAAATTGTTTATAATACAGTATTGAAAATTGTGCAACGTTTATAAAATTATACCAAGAGAAACTATCAACACATTTTTTTTTCTCAAACGTTTGATGTCATGAAAGGACCTTAATATTGCTATGGATGTCTGGGCCACGGTAGAGTTCCTCAAATAGAGAATCCTTTGTAACGTTCATTGTGGATAAGGTAGGAAGCTTGAGTTTTCAGTAACCAAGAAGGTATAAAACATACGTATATGTAATTAAGGTATATTATAGAGTAGTTTTAAAAACTGTCGAAGACAAAGTTAGTCACTGGCTTATACATATATCGATCATGAAATATTTAACTTAGGTACTTCTAGTAGATATAAGATCTAAAAATTTTAACACAGTTTAGTATTTAACCCATAATGCAAGGAAAAACTTAGTACTTTTAGTATTGAGATTGCAAAGAAGTGGTTCTAATGTCGAAATAGTAAGATGCATTTGTTATCATTGATTTATGTAATTTAGTCAATGGTGCTAATTCTGTTGGTTGAAAACTCTCTAAACTAAACTAAAAATCACAAAAAATTTGTTTAGTCCTGTCAAAGAACGTTTCCTATTCTGAAAACGTAATATTTGACAGGACAATTATTTTTTGTAATTTTTAGTTTAGTTTAGAGTTTTCGAACAACAGCATTAGCACCAATATTTCTTATTGAATAATTTAAAGTATGTGTTCGGATTAAATACTAGAGTTATGATTATCACACATCATATCAACAGCCTTTAATAGTCCACTGCTGTTATGATTATACTCGTACTGACTTCAATTTATTAAATGTTCTATAACATTAACTACAAATTAATAAATAGTTAAAATAATTACCGTGCAATCGTCGGAACATGACGCGATGATGTTGTCGTTAAATGGATTCCACTTGATATCAAGTACTGGGCCTTTGTGACCTGTCACTCGGCTTGCATTGAAGTCCAATCGTCCCGTCTGAAAAAAGAAAACTTGAGTACATAAAGGACTAAATGCCTATGCGAGCAAATTGCCCTGACCGATTTTAGTTGTAATGATTGTTCCTTATAAAATATTATTGATTTTAATTATTTTGAACTGCTTTTTATAGTCATACCTACTTTAAAGAAAATAGCATCCAGTACAAAGTAGTAGTAAAGTATTACTAAGACTAGCATATTACCGATTCAATTTTCAGTTATAATACGATATAATGACATTACAGTCAACGTTGGATGTTTAATACTTCATTACGAAAATACCTTTTCTTTTATGACAGTTCTAAGATCGAAAGTTGATCGAACTTTTATTACGAGAATTAGCCTTCCGATATCTAAGACCTAGTGGCTCCTACAACGGTTACGAGTACATGGTCTTTTGACTCTTTTTGAACTAGTGCAGCCTCAATGTAGTTTCCACTCCTAGCTCCCTCTCCAATTTATCATCTTCCTTTGTCTAGTTTGACAAATATTACATTCCCAAAGAACATTAGTATCAGAGGTCAGCCATAAAAATCAGCCAAAACCCCTTGCGACGCATTACGTATGTATCATGTATCTATAACGTCGCAAAGAAACCGAACTTTCTGCCCTTGTTTCAATTTCGGCGAAACCAAACCTTCGGTCGATCACTAGTTTTACCAAATTACGACGGACAAGATGATTTTAACTATAGGTACATACACCTATTTTGTTTTAATCATTTTTTTATTCATTTATGTAAATGTAGTGCTTAGTTGAGTGACTAAAATGCCTCTTAATCAGTTATTATTTCTAGTCAGTTATTTTTAATGAATAATAATTTGCGTTTTCAAGTCCAAAAAATAGGCGAGTTCAGTACTAGCGTTTTTTTTTGTCTGCAACGATATTTCGTTCTTTCCAACTATAATGTTAAAATGGCTATTAAATAATAGTCGTTTTGGCGAATAAATTCGTTTCGCAGTAGTTATGTGGACGCATAAATTTGTTTAATAACTTTCGAGATGTCATAGTATTTTAATAGTTTAACTAAACAACTTTTAAGTTTTAAATTCTGCAATTAATGCAATTATTTCTATTTTTCAGCTTTCGCTTTACTTACGTAGGCAAATATGACAATCACGACACATAATCTTGACAAACACTTGTTCTGTAAAGATTACAACTAATATATTTTACTGAAACACGTAATTTACTCATTACGTGTCTATTGCCTCAAATTAATTATGATAATCATAGTATTTTAATAAATTGCTAGTCGCTTTTAGCTACGAACTCTACCGAAGCGTTAACGTTCATAATTCGTAGTGATAATAGTGTTAATAAGTCCGCCAATGTACAACTATTACTTGTGCATAAAGAATAAATAAATAACGTAGTGATAATAACGGGATTCTCTTAATTAAATTCACAATCCTATAACGAAGATATGATTTTAAAATCATATCCTATAATAAATATTGTCTACTTAGTCTTGTCCTCCTACAGCTTAAAACACATATAAATATTTAAAATGTAGATACACTATTTCAAAATAAGAATGTAATGATCTGTCAACTGTTCTGAGTATTCAACATCACATTCATTGTGTTGGGAAATTTGTAAAGATGTCATTCCTTAGATATCATTGTACATTAACAAAGTGACCGCGTTTACAAACAATTTATTGTGCAAGCGTACGCTTACAAAATATGTGTGCGAATTAAATTAAAACTGTAACGCCATGGCAATTTTCTAATTTTTACAATTACACAATTACTGAGTAGCATCAAAAAGGTATAACTCCATTGTTTCATATTGTTAATTTGTGAAAGAAACATTTAAAACTAATACCTAACCCATCAAAAATAGTAGACCACCGATATTATTATTATTAACTAATACTTTTGAGTTTTGTTTAGTTTTTCTTTTCTAATTTTCTTTTCCTACAAGAAAAAAGATACTAATTTTTTACAAGAAAAAATATACTAATTTTTAAGAACAACAAAGTCAAAGTTATGAATAGTCGTCTAGGAATGAATAAAAGTCGCTAAATACATGATATTAAATAAAAGCTTAAGTCCACAACACACAAAATGGTTTGATTACAACCTAATGAACAAGAAAAACCACAGATATTTGTGTAACCACCAAACCACGCCTTACGAAGTGTATTTTACGATCATAGCTATGTTTGGCATTGCCAAATACGCTGTTACACATTCATCAATAGACGAAATGCAAAACAAAAGAGTATTGCACTCCAAATGACTGCTGTAATTTCATTTTCATGATTCGATACCTTGAGTTATTACCACGATTACTTTCTATTTTAGTCTGTACTAAGCACTATATTGGACTCTGCCACGAACTTTTGGCACGAAGAATAAAACAAATTACTTATTCATTGAGTCCTTAATCCACACAGTCATTATTCGTCTGTGCATTTCTATCTATTACAGAGTTCAAAAGGTTGTCTGTGACAAAATCATGTTTACATTAATTGATCCGTGTGGTGACGGATTAAGAATACGGAGTGTCACCACCCCTATTCATCCCATGGGTGTCGTAAAAGCCGTCTAAGGGAGCAAACTACATAGGACAACAGCACTGCAAAGAGAAGGAAAACATGACAAAAAGCCTATACCAACCCGTCTAGCCAGTGTGGTATAGTAAACCACCAAAAAAAGTGGCCAAAACCTCCTGTCTAAGGAGAGGCCTAAGTCCAGCAGTAGCCTATTAAAGGCTGTTGATGTGATGGATTGACACTTATGGCACTTTGATAGGCAAGCATGCGCACGGCGTGTTTGATGGAAATCGGTTAGCGGAAACAGATGCTTAGAACACCAAGGGAAATACTAAGTATATAAAAAAATAAAGGTAGCAATCCAATTTCATAGCATGGCAACATCAATAAAAGACATCTGTGCTTGACTCTACGAAAGGGCATTGTTCTATCTAGTCTGATTGCCTGCTACTAGTTACTATGTTGAATTTTTGAAGCTGCACAGTCCCATTAAATTACTCAGTTTAAATATCTCTCTTTTGGTTGTCTGTTAATTTTCTGATATTTTAAAAACTTTGACGAAGTTAAGATCGTATTGGATCCCTTTTGTAAAAAAATCGTACCGTAAATCAGTCAATTATCTTTTTATCAGTCGTCTTTCAATAATAACGACTGTTTAATGGTTACACCACTATTAAGTTAGTCAATTGTCTATTTTTTATTCGGCTCCTTGTTCGAGACAAGGATTGTGCAGGTGCACCTTTGAATACACAGCTGTCAAGTTTTTTTTTCCGCCTAACACACATACTCCGGTTGCTGGGACACTTAAGATAATTAACACTAATGGACACGATCGTTAGGAGGACTTTATTGTATACTATCGATATCAGTTACAATAAAAATGTCGGTCGATAGTAATCACATGAATTTGGAAGAGAATTATCAATTATGCTATTTTTTTTGTTTTTTTTTTTAGAAGTTTTAAAAATAAATAAAGGTAGGTTTTTGTAAATTGACATCAATACATAATAAGTACTATGTTACGTATACTTACATTATCTAGAGGCAGAACAAGGAAGGCTCCTCCACCGGCGACCTCCGTCACTATGGCAACGAACTTTGGGTTGACGGCGCAGAAGTTAGAATCGTGCGCATTTCTAGTGATTTTTATGTTGTCATAGCAACGCTCACGCTTAAACGGCACGCCGTACACATGGCGAAATTTTGAACTTCTCACGCCACGGAACCATACCTGTAAGGTTATTATTTTGTCAGGTATTTGAAGAAAAATGAGAGGTATATTATAAAAGTAGTCACATCTTATATTAAAGGTAAACAATCAAACGAATTAAAATCAAATTATAAACATATCTATGAGCTAATCTTCTATACGCACAAATGCACTACATAACCAGTTACGAATAAAACCCCAAGATACTGAATACGATCAAATTATTTCTACGCATCATAAATATTCGCCACTGAAAAAAATATGTAAAAAGCAGATATATGCCCATACCCAGTACCTTTCCTAAAGTAAACAAGCATTTACCTTCCTATACTTAAATCAACACATCACACACATAACAGCCACTTAATGGTACAAATTATACCATCGTTCGATAGCAACAAAGACATTATTTTCCGCTTGTTATTTACGCCTCTCATAACAGTCAATTTGTGTATGATCATTGGATACCAATTGATGTGTCTTTTTATTAGTCAAGGTTTCACTATCGGATAACTTATTGAATAAAATTATATTAGGAAAGCATTGTGCATTATTGCATTTACCTTTACATTTGATAAGTGCGTACTGCGCAGTGAACTTATTGCTCAAAAATATAGTAACTGGAGTAACCAAACTGCAGAAATACCTCAAACTTGCTTATGCAGAAGGCATAATCAAAAAGGTAGGATTACTTGCAAGGGAGCAAGGAAAAGCAGTGTTTATCAACTAACGCAAAATTACAAGGTTCGTGATACGATGAGACAATCAAGTTTACACCCGTGTGTTTATTGAGTGAAAAACAAAAGAAAGAGTATTTTTTAAGATGTTCGACATGTACATAGCCAATGATAATGTAACATCATATCGAAGTCATATGACGTGCACGTAATAAGTGAAAATAATTTAATTAAAAAACAATCGTATTTCATGCATAATTCAAATATCGAATTAAATATTATTCCGATTCCGAGACTTTATTAATAGTTAGCAACGTTAATGTAGACCTAGTTTGAATAAAAGTGATCATATCAGTGGTCCTCGGAAACCACGCTATGCTAGCTATAATAATTCTTTTCTAAGTTTGTATGCAACTTACATATGTATGTATTTTATCATCAACGGACTAAAACACATACATATATTTATATATATATATATATATATATATATATATACACAACACTCAGCTAGTAGTGAGCGGCATGGCGACCGTTTAAACCACTACGCCATCCGTATATATGCCATTGCACTTTAACATTGCATTGCATAGTCAGACTAATAGCAGAAGACTACCATAGCTTGTCTTAGAGGAAGACGTTGCTGCTTTCAGGTATTGTTCTGGCAAGGGGGAGGGGAGCACGTTTTTAACTGCTACAATTCTTTTGGATCGATAGGGATGGTCTAGCACAGACTGACCTGACTCCTGAGAGGCTGAAGATGTATAAACTATAACTTATTTGCACAAGATTTCTGTATTCCTCATAATAGGAGAAGACACTAATTTCTATAACAGGTCAGGCGCCTAGCTCAGAAGTTAGGGACTTCACATTTTGATGTACTTTTTTATTTGAATATGTTAAATAAACAAATAAAAAAAGCAGTTACTGTAATAGTCATTATGACTTGGCAAATGTGGGAAGAGCCTATGGCCTAATCACTAGCACAGAGAAGGAAAGAGTAACTGTTCTCCTCAAAATTAATGAGCGGAGACAAAAATGTCATAACCAAAAACTTAGCTGACGTAAACTTTAAGCTTTAAAATAATATTCCAATAGTTTTCGTAGTGGCCTATAGTATAATCCTCCACAAGATCAGAGAGTAGATTTAGAAAACCACTATATAACAAAATAACCTTGATTGCCCATCGTTTAAAACTTGTTCTTTCTGTTCTGTGCTACAAACCCTAATATTAAAAATGATAGAAATTCAATATCACTAAAATACGAAACGGCTTAACGTGAGAATAGGTTTCAATACAGTTCATGATGCGTCGAGAGAAGTGGCCCGGTAATTAAGACCAATTAGAATAATGGCGATGTATTATTATTATTATTAACCGCTTTACACACGCTCTACTTTATAAGTGGACCAACACTTAATCGTTACATCCCAACTATGATTTATCGCTAAGTTATCGAAGTACAACATTAAACTATTAAAGTCATAGATTTCTAAAATATGTAACAGGAAATAGGAACTTTCGACTTGATGAGGAAACAATTAAATAACAGTATTGAATGGAACTAGTCATAGTTATAAAGTAACCGGTATTATCGATGAAACAGTGCGTAAATTAATGAATAAGGTACTAATATAGACATATTTAATAATTGTTCAATAATTTATAAAACGATTTATTAATAAATAACAAATTTGCACCTGCATTGAATTTATTTCTTTGTCATTAAAACTAGTAAAATTGAATGTAGATTCCTTACGAATGCGATTTTGATTTTCTGCTACTGTTAATTTTAGTTTTTTTTAAATAGCTAAGCGTAATCTAGCTAGTCTGAAGAAACCAACTCTTTTAAATGCTAAGCGGCAATTCGCCGCCTCTTGTTAAAGACCTAAGTTAATTATGCCTCAAACTTATCGAAAGTCATGTGAGTGCAACCTTTTTTTTATTGCTTAAACAAATAAACCTGGAAGTTATTATTATAACTTTTCGTCCGTTAATTTTGTACATCTATATTTTTTCTTCAAAGTAAGGGAATAATTAAAATTCAGAAGTCATTAACAGATTCTAATGTAAGTGCGATAATATAATTAGGTATATTTTCAAATCAAATTAGATTTTTAAAATATTTTCATAATAGCACTAAACTAAAAAAAAAGTGGTACTTAAATAATATAAAAAAGTGCAACAAAAACGAACCTGTGAGTTAGTCATGATGTCTCCACGCTACGCAGGTGCAATACCAATACATGCACTACATAGAGGCACACTCCACAACTATAAAGTTCTGTGCATTTAATAATAATAATTGTATACACAAATTATATATAAATCAGCTGCCCACAACATGATGCACTGTAACTTAACACTGAAAGATGCAAAAGAAAATTCAAAGGATGCATTAAAACAATATTAAAAGAAAAAGTGTGACTAGATGTATTGTGTCAAAAAATCTTTCGGTGAGCACTATTCGTGTGTACTTGTGTAGGGTCGGTTTGAAATGATAACCACGAGCACGTTTATGTTACGAAAAAAGCGCGTGTCTCGAACGGAGCGAGAAAAAAAGTGAAAAGACACTTGTTACAAAGTCGTTGTCGTTGTCGCCGTGGATTCTGAGAGAAATTCATTATAGTCGATAGAAGGTCTTATAAGCAATAATCTTATAATTCTGACGTAATAGTTATACAATATTCAAATCACAAGTCACCTGGAAAGTTGTTATACACATTCATCAAGACACTCCTGATGGTAATAAAAAATAAATTTGTATACTATATATATATAAATTTTACATATCAACTATAAATATACTTTGCAATAACATCACTGCTGATTTGTATTTGCTTATTGACACTGATTTTTATTCACACATTTTTATTCACGATTTTTATTCACGATTTTAATTCAATTCATTTTTCAATCACATATTAATTAAAAGCACTAAAACAGAAAAAACTAACTTATATACTTGTGTTAAAACTGTTTAAATATATTTTTAAAAAAAGCTACTAAGCCAAACAAAGAGGTACAATTAGGAAGTATGTATGACTCAAAACTAAATTATTTAGCAAAAATATTCCACTTTCAACTGAGTATGTTTAAAAGATAAGGATGTTACATGATGTTCAGCTAAGCGTAACAAAAATAGTGACTAGTACCAGCGTTGTTCAGAAGTGGGTTCTAACTTACACTTATGTCATAGTTTGATTAAATTATGATTGTTTCAATTGTATGACATCACATGTGTTGTAAGTAAATATAATTGGTTACTGATGATGTCTGTGTTTATGGTTGCTTGAGATGTTTAGATTGTATGTATACATAAAAATAAATCCTTTAATAACTCTTTATCTTATATAACTGTTTCTGTAAACTGGCATAGAACAGGTCATTTATACAGTACCAGGGATTTCCATTCTAGGGTACACCTGGTTCCAAGGCAACTGGTACCCGAGACGGCGTGTGGTTTTTGGTTGGTTCGAGTCTGACATAACCACCTTACCGGTGATTGGTATCGGAGGGGATTTCCGCACAGAAAAAAGGCCATTTATATAGAACTAGCTTTTGCCCGCGGCTCCGCTCGCAAGTATATCGGTTTTCGCGGTAAAAAGTAGCTTATGTCCTTTATCAAGAATCAAACTACCTGCATACCGAATTTCATCTAAATCGGTTCAGCGGTTTAAGCATGAAGAGGTAACAGACGGAAAGACAGACACTCTTTAGCATGTATGGATTATAATATTAGCATGGATTAAAACTAAAAAATGCATGAAGGATGCATTGTTTAATGAGCAATTTATTTCATCTATATCTTAGAATTAATAATTACAAAAATATCTACAATATACAGCCAAATGTAACACCTACTTTTATGCACATTAGTTCATTTGTGTGTGGCTAGAGAGTAAGAAAATAAATGTTTTACATATATGTTACACATTTTCTTACTAGTTTAATAAGTAATTATCAACCAAGAACCCGTATTATCGTATATATAGTATTATTAGAAATAAAAAACATAATAGGTTTTTTTCATGCTCACACGGTTACTTGCAGGATACCTATGCCTAAAAACCAGTTTAAATATTTTTTGTCTGACTGTCTCTTTGTTCCAGGTAATCTTCAAAAGGATGGGACCGATTTTGATAATATTTCTGAATGAATAATGAATTGAACCCTAGCTCTCATGGAATAATCACATACCATATTACACCACTATGGCACCGCTTTTCAAATTCCAAGTGAACGAAGTTGTGGGTACCAGCTAGGATAATATATGTATGGAACATCTATACTTAATAATACAAATGTGAAAATAATACTTGTCTATCTGTTACGTTTGTATATCTGTTGCATCACATCTGAACTAACATTGATGACTTTTGTATAGATATATTAGTATTTCTATAAAGACAAAGCAAAAAAAGGACTCGAAGAATAATTGACTTTGGAAATTAATTCTGCTGCACCAGTAAATAATGAAATATAACAAATGGACATAGAATATTATTTCAATAGTGGAAAGTGACTGACAGAATGACATACAAATATTGATTTAAAAATATGTGATATTAATCTTTATTTATATGTATATTTTTAACTGATTTAAGTAACAAAGCAGTTTGCATATCATACTGCTACCATACTTCTTCTTCTTGGCCTTTTCCCAAATCTTTTAAGTTTTCTTCTTCCATTCACATCTTTCACTAATCAGTTGCCTGGTTTTAGGCAGTCTATCAGTACTTTACATATGGGACTAGTCCCTCCCACACGCCCACTACTGTAACTCCTGTACACCAGGATCAACAGCAGTGACCCACCAACACACCGAGTTATGACACTCGGGAAATCCCAGGAAATAAAATTAAGTGTCTTTGAAGGAGTTGGAAATACAATAAATCCACGTACTTACTTACACATGTCAACATTTTTACGATACTTTGTGTTTAAAAATAAATATGTAAAATATATAGTATAGTTATTATATTAAATATCTTTACTAAACATTTACACAGTATTTTTTGTTTTACATTTCTGGTTGTTATTAAGGTATGAGTTTAGTTTTTATTCAAGAATGATCATCGCAACAAGCTTTTTCATTTGAGCATATGCCTATTCAAATAAGTTAGGTCTTCTCTCATGTTTGATAAAGAATAAATTAATTTTAATCAAATTACAGTTATCACTTAGATATGTATATGTGATCTTATTTCAATATCAAAGGACATCATTCAAAATGTACCCCAAAAGTTAAAGTGCAGTAAAAAAAACTGTGTCATCTTACGGCAAATGATCTTTTAAACATTTTTTATTATTACAACAAACATCTACAACCCTCTTTTAGACCCAAAATGGATCTCCGAAAATCATAAAATGAGCATTTACATTTACATATCAATTAACTACGAACATAATAATATTAATATTATTTAACGGGAATTAACGCGATCTCTTATTTAGGGTATTACATACCTCTGGTTTGCCTGACGTTTCGACCAGGTTGCCAGGTGGCCAGGGTGACCACGGCCGGTGCAACCTGGTCGAAACGTCAGGCAAACCAGAGGTATGTAATACCCTAAATAAGAGATCGCGTTAATTCCCGTTAAATAATATTAATTATCATGGAACGCGAAAGTTTAAAAGTTAGCATAATAATATGTAATATAATATGACAAAAAGCCTAATTATATACGATCATCATTTTAGCATGTATGTGTACTAATACCTACACATAAACACCTACGTAGGTACTTAGGTATCTAATGATGATTGTATATAATTAGGCTTTTTGTCATATTATATTATTATTAAGCGAGATTAAGTTATTCTTTATCATCATTATTTGATTTTTGCCATAGTAATGAAGTAAAAATTGTTCAAACGAACTTGTATAAATGCATTTTTTTATTATTTCTAAGTCATATAACTCATAAGTAATCGGTCTTAGCTCTTAGCCATCTCAAGAAAAAATCTTAGAATGCCATTCTCTAACCGATAAAAACATTTTTTTTTTGTTGGCCGGCACTTTTTTTTTTGGGTACTTTTTGTATGGAGCGTGAATGATGTCCTTTGATCAACTCAATAACATATATAAATAAAAATTTAAAGAATTTATGATGTAGTATGTTCACATAGTAAACATATTTAAAAAAATTGGAATGTCTACTTAAAAAGTTTAAAAATGAAAATTTAGTCATTTTTAAACTTTTTAAGTAGATATTCCAATTTTTTAAATATGTATGAAAGTATTGTCTCAATTGCAACCCAATGTTAAAAAATATCAGGCAATGTAATAAATTAGTTTTTGATAACAACTTTATCAGGTATTTTATTTGCCTTTGTCCTATGGCACTTATGGGCTATTGCAGATAGGGCAGCATTCTTTTTTTACAGTAATTTTCTTACGCATTACTTTTTACACTACACTATGATAATGCAAAATAAGAAAGTGATTGAAAAAGTTGAGGCACCTACTTAACATACTGATGTAATAAGTTGTATAAATCGTTAATGTATTGAAGCAAGTAATGTTTGATTTTTTTTTTAAAGTACACTTAATTCGAAAACAAACTGAAATTATCATTTAATGCGAAATTTACTACTTTAAAATAATTACCACAAAATTTATTTGCAAATTTACTAAGTCTCCTAATATGAACTACATATAAATAATATTTAAATAGTTAACACAGCGTAAGATCAAATACTATTTTTTAAATAATTCATACCTTTGCAGCAGGTTTGTTACACGCTCTTACATCTACTAGCGTACTCTTAGCAGGACTCTTCTCAACAATATTTATTATCTCTATACAATTTGTTTCTCTTATCGACTCATCTTTTACTGGAGGCATATCCTTAATCACTATGTAACGGCACTGATATTAATTATCTGTTATTTGATCGGAATAAAATTGGTAAATTAATAAAAACAAAGAAAGGCCCTCCTCAACTTCAAGTGAAAATCGAAGACAAGCGAATGATTTCAATGAATGTAAGTGAACACGAAAGACTGAATGGAGGAATGAATTGCTATGATTAAACCACAGACTTAACAAGTATCTTACATATTGAAAAAAGCCTAATCGTCTTACCTTATATTAACTATGGTAAATCATTATCATATTTCTTCTTCCTTGACTTATAAAAAGTCATCAATGACTATACAATAAAATGAAATGTTAATACTATGTTGTACCAACCAAGCTACCACAGGTACATAATCTAATATTTTAATACAAAAATTACAATTACGCACCGAACGAAGCGTACTAGACTTTTGGCACGAGCACGACGCACTAGCTAGATCTAGATATAGCCTTGTAGTTCTGTACTGAAATCATATTTTTATTATCATTAATTAAATAATATGAAATGCTCTTCAGTAAATGTCTTTCAAGCCGAATGCTTGGCACCTCCCCTTCATCCTCGCCGCCAATTTTTAATAACAGATACTTCTTTAATGTAGTCTAAATTAATTCCCATCCCCTTCTTCCCATTCTGCTTCAACTTTTTAGTCTGGCCACTACCTCATAGTACTGGAGTCCCTCCCTTTGCTCCTTAATTCCTTTAATATTAAAAATCTATCTGATTCTATCTTTAAATCTTCTTCCTCTTCTCTTCCTCTTTTTGAGCTGAACTATATTTCTTTAACTTTTCGGTCAAAAATCATCCTTGACTTCCTTCCTTCTTCCTTCTCCGGCAGCCAACCAAAAACTTCTCCACGTCATTGCAGAGGACTAGTCTGATTGGGTTACGCTTTATACGAAGGCATCAAAACCTTCTTCAGATGCATTTGTGGGTTCTGCAGTCCAAATGCAGATCTCCAAATTTAAAGTTACATTAAACTATAAATATTATTTCTACAACTCTATCTTTTCAGGAGAATCTATTGCCCTATTGGAAGCGGTCTCCTATGTGGAATCTCATACGCTTGACAAGGCCCTTATATTATCAGACTCCTTTAGCTGCCTACAAGAGCTTTTAAAAATCCATTCAAATCTCGCAATAATTTCCCTGTAATCCTTAAAAATTAAGAGATTCTTCATAAATGCCTATTGTCTGGTATTGAAGTAGTTCTAGCGATGATCCCCAGTCATTCAGGTATAGCAGACAATAAAACTGCGCACTCCTGCGCCATAATAGCAGCACAGATTGGATATGCGCATCCCACAATTCTGTTTCGCCCAATATCTGCGTTCCCTAGCCAAACTTGCATTGAATGAGTTCTGGAATAGTACATGGCAAAAGAGTGCAACCCTTAATTCTTTCTAGATCCTGGTTCTTCAAACAAAAACATGTTAATATGTTAGCCACCTCTACTATAATTCATTTACTATTAGGTTTTGTCAGTAGCCAGTATTTCTTGCCAAAATTCGAGTTCATGATCACTCTCTATGTGAGTGCGGTCTCGACAAAGGCACTTTGGAACATATTTTCTTCTCCTGTCCCAAATTAGTTATACCTCTGTATGATCTACTCCCTTAACATATATATCCATTAATTTGGCTTATCTCTCAACTTTAGTATATACCCCATTTGTCAAGATGCTTTACAATTTTATTTGTATAAATAAAATAAATTTATTATGTTGCCTGATACTTTGACAATCATATTATAAACCCTTTTTTTCTCATTTCCCACAGAAACACAAACAGAAAATGTAAGAATCACAACAATTCCCTCTTTGTCTTCCAAATATTTTCAACCTATTAACTAATAAATCTACTTCCCACCATGCCATTGGCAAAATCATAGATATGCGATGGAGCCATTGAATTAAAAGAAGAAGAATTCAATAATTATAACCAACTTCATAAAAAAGAGGAAATTCTCATTTTGGTTGCATTTTTAACGTGTTTTATCTCAGAATTCCATAATTTATTTGAGACAGTTTACTTCTAGTTTTGTCCCATTCAAATTTAAATTTTTTTCTTTTTTTCCTGTGCGGAACTCCTCTCGGATACTACCATCACACGCCGTCTCCAGGTACCCAGTGCCGGATTAAGTCAGAGCGTTGCCTGTAGCATATTCTCTCAAGGGGTCCTTGGATTGTTTTAGGTTATCCAGTTTATGGTGTTCATCATCATCAACAACAGTCTATAATAGTGCACTGCTGGACATAGGACTCTCCTTAGAAAGGAGGTTCTTGCCTGCTGTACTCCTCCTGTGGAACATAAGGTTCGACTGGGAGAGGAGAGGAGGAGGAGACCGTCGAGGGGACTTCCCCCTCCCCTGGGCTGGGCGTCATCTGTTATACCGACTACACTTTGGTTACAGCCAATCATCGTCGAGTGGGCAGGGCGGCAGCACGTGACCCTTTCCTTCCTACTGATGCAGGTCCTTTCCGGGCATGGCTGATTCTGCATTGATCGGGCATGGTTGAGTTCAAAAATATTTTTACACTCCGATCAAAATAAGTACTTAGATACCTTTTTACGGTCAGAAAGCGTTGTTGCGCGGAGCTAGTAGCATTTGCTACTCATGCTACGCGGCTAATCCGCCACTGCGGGTATCCCGATGTACCTCAGGCCATCTTCGGCTAATAGATGAGCCCCTCGTGTGTGGGAACTCCGATGTTCCCTTCCTGCCCCAATAAAAATACCCTAAGTGTGGAAAATTAAGGAACAAACAATACTGTTTATTATAATTCATTACGATGCAGGTGCATTGAAAACATCATTATCATCATCATCATCAGCCTATCGCAGTCCACTGCAGGCCTCTTCTATTGCACGACTTTTTTAAAGTAGGACCTGAAGTATTTAGAGCAGGCAGCATTTTATTTATTATTGTACCTGGAGAATAAGTCATAGCAATAAGGGTACTTCAAACTTTTCTTAAAATCCCGTAGTGGCAGATCCAAGGCTGCACTTTCCCGAGGCTAACTATGGAGTTGTATGTCAGAATCAAGCTGACAACACGGTACGACTTCACAAGTGAGTCTATTCAGTTGCCAACCCCCACGCCAAAAAAGTGTTTATGGCTCTGAATCCACTAGCAGGCATCGCCCCTGCAGCAGTCCGCAGAGAAGTAGCCTCCGCCATAGAAAAATGGAAACAGGAAACTGATGCTAGACACCCATTGTATGGCTAAAACCGGCAAAAACCATGAAAAGGCTGAAAAGTCGAAACAGTTTCCTTAATATAATTAAATTAGACATAATTAAATAGCGTAATAAGTTCCCTCAAGTTCGTCCACCTGGCAGAATAGCTACCTCCAGGAGATAAACTCCCCTGGCCAAACTTTAAGCCAACCAGGTTGGCAGATCTAAGGACAATCTGTCAAGGTGGGGATTATCGACCCAAGCGCAAATAAATGCGACTGTGGCGCATCTTCACAGACAATTCGTGTACGCTTGGCTTTACGTTTAATAAAGTATTTCGAAGCTTATAAACGTTTTGCAATTATTTTCGTACACCGATCAATAGAGGTTATTATTATGACGTTATAAAAATTTATAAGACATGTAAATTATGAGAATGGTTAGTTTTCATTTCGATTTTTGTTTTTTTCCGCCTCCTTGAAAATGCCGCCCGTGTCACACTATCCCACACTCTACCACCCGTAATCGGCGGCCTGAGTCCATTGCAAGGGTATCGGATATATCCCAGGAATGAAGACCCCAAGACCATACTTTTATACTATACTTGAATAAATTATACTTGAATAATACTTAAACAAACTTAGGTAGGTATAAATTACTAAAATAAACCTTAAGTAGTTACATTTTACTTTTCGTTCACACGTAGTTTCGATTATGTCAAAACATGGCATCCATCACAAATTTACATAATGTGAATTTAACTTGTGCTGTAAGACATAGGATAGAATTTGTCTCCATTTCTACGGTAAAGAAGAAAAATTTGAAACTAGTAGTTATTATGTTATTGCCTTCAAAATAATACAAAATGTACTACAGCAATATGCATAAAAGACTGTCCCTAATCCGATGAGGCTTTAGAGGAAGCCGCAAGCAGTAATCGATAAAGGAAAACTTTTACCGAACTCCTTTAAATGTTTTCTATGTTCATACTTATGTATCTATATCATGATCATTTTCTTCTTGGAGTATATTTTTTTAGGCAATCTACTACCTACCTATTAAATACGTTATAAGAAAACATTTTATTTATACCTCATTGTTACCATTAAAGTAGGTGTTACAGTATTACACATACACATCAACATCTATGACATACAATTTACAAAGATCGGTCCTGTTGCTACATTGGATGAACCAAAATAATTTAAGAAGACTGCGGTAGTTAGTGCATTCAAATTTTTTACTAATCCGATGACAGTATTGTGATTATCTATTAATAACTTCTATTTTGTCGCAAGCAAACTTATAAGAACGATAACACTTTTAGACAGAATGAGTAAGGAGCCTTTCTCTTAAGTTGCAGGTGTTCATGGACACATGTTCACACAAGGAGGCTGTAGGTATATGGCCTCTTTCTGGTTGGCATATTTTACAAACAAAATTGCAGCAACAACATTATTTGTTTCGTTGTAGTCTTGTGATAATGTTTTTCACTCGTCGAAAACTGATCTGGAATCAAGTTTAGACCGGTTCGCACGATATAATATAGTATGAACGCAGCTCGCAGGGCGATAACCTAATGAATGATACATACACACAGCCAATACAGCCGTACATACTTACAATACGTAGACCGAAGTCGGTCGACTCGTTGCGCTCTGTCCTGTGTACGATTGAATGATACGAGATCCGAGTTAGAGTATTACAAAACAGTTATAGTATAGTATCATTCATTTAGTCAAAGCGCTTGGTTGTGTCATTTCTATTATTATTTAAAAAGTTAAAATGCCTTCAAAAGTGCACAATTTCGGTGCTGGTCCGGCTAAATTGCCCGAAGAAGTAAGTTTATTTTGTGTATTTTTAATATTTCTGTTGATGTTATCTTAATAAATTTGTTCTTAAAAGGAGTTTTGTTAAGGAGTAAATAAAATGTTGTTTTTGTACTCAGGTGTATGAAGTTATACAAAAGGAGCTAACAAACTTTGAGGGTACACAGATCAGTTTATTGGAGACAAGTCACCGATCTCAAACTTACATGAAATTAAATACTGAAATTCAAAATGTTGTTAAGAGGTTATTGTAAGTAATAACTATAACCCTTTTAGTTTTGGGCTCATTTTATATGATAATGTAATATTGTTACTTTCATATAAGTAGGCAAGTACATAACCAGTTTAGACTATGTGAATTTAGTTTTACTTTACATGTTTATTTTACATCTAAAATTTTATTTTACATTACTTTATTTTTAATATTACTTAAGATACTTTTTTTTAAAAGAACAATGGCAGAAACATATTTACCTAAATCTTAAGCGTTTAAAAAATCGAGTCACAGTAAACTTAATCAAAAAATTTTCTATGATTTATCATTACACCACCATGTGTTGTATAAGTCTTATAAAAGATAAGATATTTTTGAAGATTTTATTTGACCTAAGTACGTAATGTCAGATTCGCCATCACGTATAACTGACTAGGGATGCGTGGTGGCAATATTATATTATGGAACAATTTATCGATAATCGATTCTTATAGCTTTGGCTGAAATATTTACCGAAGGTTCACTATTATGATTATGAATTTGCTTCTGCCCACGTCTTCACTTGTACGGTAGAGTGACTGAATCAACATAATTAGAAATGATTTAAAATATTTTTGACTCTCTTTAAACGATTTTAAACACACTAAAGAAATAGAATATAGTAACGTTATTTTCCACTACACAGTGTGACGAGAAAAATACATTGTCATTGATAACGGCACATAAATAGACATACATCGATATTTTCAAATTGTCGATACGTCGTCGTTTAGTACATATCTCTTAATCTGTGGTATAGATCCTGTCAAGTTCCGGACTCACCACGTTTGTTATTTTATTTTTGTTTAATTTAATGTTAAACTCGAATAGATGTTATGCTTTTATTTTTTTTATTTCATATACTGTAATAATAATGAAAATAATATTTTCGGCTATCTGACACACAACGCCATCTAGTTTCAAACAAAACATTAACAATATGTTAGTACTTAACCTCGAAACATTTAAAATCCAATATCTTTTTTCCTAGACTTCTTTCGCAAGTAATTTTGATATGAGAATGGTCAAGAATAAATTCTCAAGTGTTAAGGATTTTTTGATATTTAAACGCTAACATTTCAGTTCAAATAAAATTATGTATGGGGACCTGCCATTGTCCTTTATATTACACATATTATTCAAATAATTCAAATGATTAGTAAAACAGCAATTCCTTGACTGATTTAGTAGGTCACGCCAGAAACTATTACGATACGAAGGGTTATGGACAATTGACTGCACATGCAATAAGAGGGCCTTTCTTGCCTACTGACTAGGTCTGGCGAAGCGTCCTGTTTCTTTCGGAGAGACCCTGTATCAGAACAGTAATAATCAGTGCCTTGCGTTTTACGCTTTAGTGTTGTGTCCTCGTGTAACGATGTGCAAAGCTCTTAACCATGGTCGTGGTTCCTAGGAATTTCATTTGAACCGGATTCTAAGCAATACGGTTAGTTCGTGCCTATGGTTAGCGAACATAAGTGTTAGCAATTAGGATCGCTAACCATAACCAGAGGTTGTGAGTTCAATTCCCACTGAGATCAAATATTGTGTGATGAGCACGATCATTTGTTCTGTGTATGGGTGTCTTTATCTAAAATATATACGATACTAGGACACAGTATAACAAACAATGCGTAATTTTCTACACACATGAGGCAAGAATAAATTATAGTAAGAGCGAACTATAAAGTAAGAAATAATTTTCTGTAAAATCATTTTCGTTGTAAAACCAGGGTGCTAAATTCGCTTTTTTAAGATAAAATGATTTTTCTTTTTGAACTTTTAGAAAAAAAATCTATTTTTCGAATGAAATAATGGAAGAATCATAAACTTCGCTAAAATAAACGTGATTCAATAAATAAAGTGTACGACTATAATTCCTACAACTATTCCAAGCACATAAAAATTTCGCAAAATGCCTAGTGATTTTCCTTGTTATTATAGGCCGTTTACACGCATGGCGAGGCTCGACAAGTGTCCACATACACAAGCGTAAACGGAGTGTTTGGCTCGACTCGCGCATGCTCGTCGTCGATCGGTACTAGTGTCGGTTTTTGATCACAGATCAAAGGAAGCTCGCGGAAAGTGCTTGCGACGTATTTACACGTTGGCGCGTGCTTGTTACCTACTCGCGCGTGCTCGATTTGATATCACAAATATTGTAGTTAAGCAGTCGGGAATCAACATTAAGTCTCAATGCTTTACTGACTGTGCAGTTTAGTTGAGCAGTAGGGCTAGAGAATATTTTTTTGTTTAGTTTGGTGCCGCCGTTTATATTTTGAATAAAAATATGTCCACGTCTGCTATGCTTGCATGTCCGGAACACAATAGCACACTTGCAAGCGTGTAAATGGCAGCGTTTGTAAAGGCTCGGAGCTGAGAACGTTTGCTGAGCCTCGGCACGCATGTAACCTAGGCATTAGTTGTTATTGAATGTTTTTTGAAAGGTGCATTGATTTGAACATATCTGGCAACACCGAAAGTCCGCTCGATTTTTAAATGCATGCTTTGCTGCATTGCTTTGCTTGTTTGTTTTGTAAATAAACATCATCAATAACAAACAGAAAATTTCAATTTTAGAAATGTCCCGGATAACTACAAAATTCTATTCTTGTCTGGCGGTGGTACAGGTGAATTTGCCGCCGTACCACTTAACTTGATATCACGAACTGGCTCAGCCGACTACGTTGTTACAGGTAAGTCTTCACCTATTTTGTATATTTTCTAAGTTTGCAATAGACCTGCCGTAATGTATGGTTCTGAAAGTTGGCCCATCAAGAGAATTGATGAGAGACGCCTGAACGTAGCTGAAATGCGAATCAAGGGAGTCTGTAAGTAGCGCCACTGGATGAAAAGTTCAGAAGTAATAGATTATCTTTGTAAGGACATGTCATGCGGAGGGATGAGGAAAATGTGGTAAAGAAAGTGTTAGGTATGGGAGCTGAAGGATAGAAGAGAAGAGGAAGACCAAAGAAAAGGTGGATGGACTGTGCGAGAGAGGACATGGCTAGGAAGGGAGTAAACAGTGAGATACGAATGATAGAGTAGAAGACTCATACTTACTCTGCTGACCCCAAATAAAATTGGGATAAGGGTAGCCAGATGACGATAAATTATACTTCTAGATTTTAATACTTTGTTCAATTTCAGGCGACTGGTCAGCAAAGGCTGCTAAAGAAGCTAAGAAATACGGGAAAGTCAACTTAGTACTACCACCAGGAGGAAGCCACACTGGAATCCCTGACCAATCACAATGGAACTTAGATCCTAATGCTTCATATGTGTATATTTGTACTAATGAAACAATTCACGGTATGAAATATTCAATCAATAACCAATCATTACCAGTTATGTTTTAATTTATTCTAAAGATGGTGAGAAGATCATTTTAATTTGTTCTAGGTATTCTGAGTATATGGACTATTTTTATAAGTGTTTTTTTTCCATTTAGTTCAATTTATTACAAATTAATGAGTTTTTATATGTACTAGAGATTGCTTGGTGGTCAATTTTTTTAATAGAATTAATTAAGAATTTATTTTTATTTCATTAGCTGGTATAAACTGAACTCTTGTTGCAGATACCTATATTGTATAAGCATGTTTTGTTTCAAGGTCTTCTTCAAATATTTTATTTCAATTTTCTTATTAAATGAGAAACAGAATTTAATCATTATATTGTTAATAAGATAAAATAGCTTGTCTATCTAGGTTCTAGAAATAGAAATAAAATTATTAAAATAAAACTCAGATATACAACTTCTGTCTATCTTTGCAATTTGTATGAGTACTCATATATTATACTACTTTGCACATTAATATTATTACATTAGTTTTCCATTCAATTCATTCTATAAGGAGTATTTCTTATTTTATGAAATGGATTATGATTGATATGACATTATTATACAATTTTAAAACTCTTTTCATCTTTATCATATTCAAGTTTGCAGCAACTTGTAATCGGAGGAAATACTGGTTTAGAACACACATAACTCATTAACATAAACCAATATAATAGTAATTATAATGTCCGAACTTAGTTAATAAACATCATATTTAAATATTTAATCAAATCCATCTGATAGATTCCATGATTTAAAATGCAAATAAATAAACTCTTTACCTTGTTAATGTAGTTCTACAAGATCTATTGTTCATTGAAAGAACAGGAGTAAATCTAATAAAAAAAAAAACTGGCATTTATAATGCTGTGCTTTTCGATAAGAAAATGAAATAGGCAGAAGATCTTTGTTTTTATAACTTCTAGACTACCTTTTCTGCATTAATTCTGTCATGTATCATGTCATGATGGAATTCACAAATATTAAAAACTTCTTTTTCTTGGTTTAAAAAATTTACATCTATTATATGTATATGAAAACAATAATATTGGTTGTATCACAGTAGCTACTTATTATTCTGTTCTAGAGCTTCAAATCTTTAAAGTAGAACAATACAAGTACTAATATGTATTCTGATTTTTCAGGTGTGGAATTTGATTTTGTACCGGACACTAAAGGTGTACCCCTAGTTGCAGATATGTCATCAAACATAATGTCAAAGAAAATTGATGTCTCTAAGGTAAGATGATTAGGATTTATGTATTTAGTTAAGTATAATTCACATTAAATCGCTCCGGACATAAGCCATGGCATATGGGCCTTTTTTTATTGTTGACTTGGTGGAACATCCCTTCGGATCTCCGGCTCCTCGGGGACGCAGGAGCCAGGAGTATGTGGTGTTTCCACTAAAAACTACCCTGGCAGCCGGTCTCAGGCGATCTGCTCTGGGAAGGACCCGGACCATGTTATTTCAGGTCCCCCCTAGCCAGGTTCTATCCCGGGGAAAGTAGGCTTCCCGCCGCCTATCGGCCCAATCAATGTGTGTTTCGCCGCCGACGTCCTCTATGCTCGGGATCGGCCCTCTCCCGATCCAGTTCAGCGGTCTCTTTCTGGAGCATTACAGCTTCACAGAAAGAGACCACTGCGCCCCAGCCCTGCATGGCATATGGGCCTAGGTGGTATATTTTACATAATAATATATTAAGTAATTCATTTCATAATGCGGCCCTACGGTACTACCGTACAGCGCAGGAATTGCTCTGAACACAGCCGAGCGATTTGGCGTTTTGGCTTATCGCACCCAGCACGCTTTAATGAAAATCCAAGTAATATTAAAAATGCGAAAGTAACTTTGTCTGCCTGTTATACTTCCACGGCTTAAACCGCTGAACCAATTTGAATGACATTTGGCAAGGAGATACTTTCATTCTTGAGGAAGGACATAGGCTACCGGCCGTTTACCGCGATAACCGACATACAAGCGGGCGGAGCCGCGTGCAAAAGCTAGTAATCTATAAGTGTATTGATTGATTCTTATTATGACTGTAAATAAAAAATTAACTGTAATTCATTTACGTTTGAAATTAAATAATGCAACAAAATCGAATCTTATTTTATGTGTTGAATTAAAAGGTTATTGTTGTGCATTTTTGTAAATACGAATTTTAAAAAACACTAACTTTTTCAGAATCATTAATTAAAAAAGTATATTATCATTACAGTTTGGTGTCATATACGCTGGGGCACAGAAAAACATTGGTACAGCTGGTGTGACTTTAGTTATCATTAGAGAAGACTTGTTGGGTCATGCATTGCCAATCTGTCCCTCAATTTTAGACTGGGCTGCTAATGCCAAGGCTGACTCGATACTCAATACTCCACCTATGTTTGCGTAAGTATTATGCTTTGATTTGAATGATACTGAGGAGGCATTGTCCGTATAGCGACATAAAAATTCCAATTTCCAGACCAATATTCATCCCTTGGGTGTCGTAAGAGCCGACTAAAGGAGCAAACTGCGCAGGACCACAGCACTGCAAAGAGAAGGAAAACTTGAAACAAACTCTATGCAAATCCGTCTGGCCGTTATGGTATAGTGGGTCTTCTTCCTAAGGAGGAGCCTATGTCCTGCAGTGGACTATTACAGGCTGTTGATGATTAAAGAGGCATTTATTTAAGGTTTCACTGTAGATAATGTACATAGAACAATTATATATGTGGGGTGGTGAAGTCGCCTGCTGATCAAGAGGTGACCAAGGTGTTCTTCCTGGTTTACCTGGGTCGCTTACAATAGACCCTTTTGTGACTCAACAGCTTAATTTCAGTCGGTTCGATTCCGACGTATAACTTGACCGTTATCTCTGGTGAGAAGATGTCCTGTGGAGGTTTTCACACAATAAAAAGTAGTACAAACAAGATATTCAAAGATTGGTGTACCTCCTGTCTAAACATTCTCATAGATCTAATTTGATACTGTTATTATGACATTCCAAAAAACACATCCATTTTATTCATTTGGATTGATTCTATAAAAGTATACTCATATATTATACTCGACTTTCAGAATTTATATCATGGGAAGAGTACTCCAATGGGTGGAACGAAACGGTGGAGTAGAGGGCATGGCTAAGAACGCCTCAAAGAAGGCTTCCCTCGTATACGACATAATTGAGAACTCCAAAGGTTTCTACTACGCACCTGTAGCCAAAGACGCTAGGAGTAAGATGAACGTGCCCTTCAGGATTGGGAACCCAGGAAACGATGCGTTGGAGAAAGAGTTCTTAAAAGGCGCTGAGTCGTTAGGACTTATTCAGCTGAAAGGACATAGGTAAATATTTATAGATATTCCTTTTTTTTTCAAAGAAATCAAGGTCCTACAGGTTTAATAATTTTTCTGATATATGTACCTGCTTTTCTATGCATAGCTATATATAACATATATTTCACAAAGATCGGTTGATACGGCCTGAAACAAAAAAATAATAATTGTTTTTTGTATTTATAACATTAGTTAGGATATAAATACTATACTTTAACAAAACAATGTTAACATAACATAAAAGTATCAAACTACGCCATGTTTAAATGTCGTGGCTAATTTAAATAATTAACACATAAAAACATTAGACCTCGTTCAGTCACGTGGCCGTTTCGGGGACAATATTATCCTTTTTTCTACTAACCTTATGTCTTATGCAGAAATTTTATCAATAGTAAATACTTTTATGGATACAATAAAAATCCATAAGTAGGTTAAAATATTTAATATCTCTAATATTTATTTAACTCTGGTCAAAATATAGAGTATATTTAATTAGAAATAATTTTCAAAATTTAAAGTAAGCCGGCGCCACGGCTAAACTTTGGCAAAATCATTTGAATAATAAATATCCCACAAATGTGTATGCGTATATTATGTTTGTGTATAAAGACGTTATTGAGTTAATATATTCTTTACTTTGTGCCTAATCAATAAGTCAAACTCCTACAACGTGCTGTCTTAAGTCTTCTTTTATCAATATCGCCTCATTATTATCAGTATATAAATATGCGTATCAGTAGTCTGAATGCCAATTATCGTAATAAAAATTCGGTCTTTTATGACAGTTGTGAGATCGAAAGTTGATCGGAACTGTATTGTGACGTCAAGTTATTATTAATCTCAAACCGTATCAGAAAACACTAGTAATAATAATTAATATTAAACTCATTTAGTTATATATAGTTTTGTATGATAGCCTTATCTGATTACCTTGATCATTCTCAACTTGAGGTAGATTGAATAAATATTTGTGCTGTACTTGTATTAGAAGTAGGTTTGCCACATTTTTTCAGCTTATAAGGGACAAATTCTTAAATGGTCAAAAATACGGCATATCAGTTTTTTACCCGGGACAAATAACAAACAAAGTTATTTAATAATTTTCTTTATATTTATTAGTGCTATGTTTTACAGCCTCATGGAGAATATGGAGCAACGAGATTTAATAATGTGTTCATTTTAAGACAGTAAAAGTGTATAAATTGAATGGTTTTTGCGGAAGTTTATATTCGTATTATCAGCGGAAAATGCTGATACTCTAAGATGATTCATTGTTCACCAGTGTGCCTAATAATAATTTTGTTACTTCGATGCGCCCTTGCATTCTTTGAATAAGCGGTTCTGAATCCCTGTATCGTAGTCAAAGTATCGAATGCACACAACATTTTACCGTAGATCGATCGAGGTCATAGTAAATAATGGAACACCAATTCAAATACGGGTCAGTCCCGCCGGGACATTTTAATCGCCTAAAATACGGGACGTCAACAGTAATTAGTAGAGTACAGTACACACGTGGCAACACTAATTAGGAAATACTTCATTCATAATATCGTCCTTAGTCAGGTTATCATTTGACCTTTATTTAATATGGAATACATGGACGCACTTTAATTTTAATCTATTAACAATGGCAGTCATGCAAGATATAACAGTAAATTATATTCATACTTTTTATTTTGACGAGTGATTACGTAGAGGTTCGACCGTAATTCGTTCTGTTATAATTATTGATAACAATAAAGCTTCGAAGATATGAAAAAAAAACTGCTATATTTATAGCAGTTAACAAACAAAAAAAATATTTTTATGGGGCCATGCATAAGTTACGGTTACGTTACACGAATATTGACACCCTTGCCCTTGACAAACGTCCTTAATTAATTTTTTTATTCATTAAAATTTAATTAAGGAATGCCAAACAATAAATTATATTAATGATAAAAGAGCAAGAAATTTCGTTTACAGACAGAGGAAAAAAAATACTGAACTGTTTTATATTTGCGTCTTAATATTTATTATTTTATCCATGTGGTGGATTAAGAATACGGAGTGTCACCACCCCAATTCATCCTGTGGGTGTCGTAGGAGCCGACTAAGGGAGCAAACTACGCAGGACACCAGCACTGTAAAGAGAAGGAAAAACTTGACACAAACCCTATACCAACCCGTCTGGCCAGCGTGGTATAGTAGGCCCAAACCTCCTTTTTAAGGAGAGGCCTATGTCCAGCAGTAGACTATTAAAGGCTGTTGATGTGATGTGTGATTATCTGTTTTATAGGAATGTCGGTGGTATCCGTGCGTCAATATACAACGCTGTTACTGTAGAGGAGGTGGAGACTCTAGCCAAGTACATGAAGGAATTCCAAGCGAAATATTCCAAGTAATTTTAATTTAACGATATTATGTATTATGAAATGGCGAATATTATAACACTATTATAATTATATATGCCGGCTGTGCAACATCTTGTTTTTAATAATAAATTCAGTTTATATTTAAATTATATTTTATTTAAATGCCCAAATTTCGAATAGGTTAATTGTATTTTTGTATTTGCTATGAGAAAAAAGTCGGTTTAACTTAGGTATTTTTAAAGCTTGCCGAAGTATGAGCATGGTCCACTGGCAGGTAACGTTTTGTTTATGATATAGGGATGAGACGAGCAGACGGGTCACCTAAGAGTCAAGTGCGAGTTTATTTCACTTTTACTCGATCGTCACGGCGACGGCGTTCGGCGTTGTGATTGGCTCGCGCTGAAACTTCCACCAATCGCAACGGTAAACGCGTTCGCCGTCTCAGACCATTTGTGCATGGCTCTCCAACGTTTAAATGTTTGTGTTAACACAAATTCCTTGTTGGTAATTTTTCAGGAGACACTTAGAACTTTATTATACTTTTTGGTAGATACTACTGATCTAGGAATCTTACTCTTTGAAATAAAAAATCGTTAGCTATTATTTGTAATAGTACACAACCTACAATAGTAATAACCTACAATATCAATAAATTCCCCTATTTCTGGGGGTGAGGAGGGAGGGGGAAGCGGTAAAAGGCTTAAGTGTCAGGTGTCCAGGCGGCGGTATTCACTTACCATGAGGTGAAATTCGAAGCGACTCATAAATTTACATAAAAATCTTTAATCATTCCACAATAAGCAGATAATACAACAACGATATGAATTTCATCATAACATAACAACTATTAAAACAATACAGTTTTATCAGCTATTGTTTTTGTTTTGACTGATAATACGTACACACGCAATGGAAAATATAACTTTATTGTTTATTATATATTCATTATTGTGTTCTGTCGCTAGGAGTGACGTTAAGCTGATAAGAAATTATAATACGCTAATGATAGTGCCCAACAAACATCTGTAATAACAGATGATGATTACATTACGTGATGAAATGGGTGTCGAGAGTTGATAACAATTTTTTTTGACTGCATACTTATTTACTCCTTAGCAGTTCCCTGTAAATTCTATATCTTATTATTTATTGAACATATTTTCTCTATCTGCTCATTGTTTTAAATACATACTAGCGCTCCACCCCGGCTTCGCTCTCATACTAATCGTACTAATGCGGTGTCAGTGTGAATTAATTAATTATACCATTATTATGATTAGACTATATATACTACATGACATCTTTATATACAGGATTTATAGGCCCGCTCTGCTCCTGTCGGCGATAGCCGCGTTGCCCCCGCATTTTAAATCTCTAATTTCTACTAAGATATTTAATTTATTGATATGCTATTTAAGGAATAATACTCTATTGTTCAAAATAGCTTCGTAAACTACCCATATTTTTTTGTAAAAAGATAGAAATGGTTACTGTGGTTTATCCTTTTGATATAGACATATACCATCGCAGACTTTTTTGTAGATCTTTTTAAGATATACAATTCCGTAGTACATTATTTTGATTTATCTCGTAAGGTTAAGTCGGCGTTTGCAATGTAAGCGCACAGTAACATCTTTTTTACGACAAATCTTTCAAATTCTCGGATTTTCTCTACTGTAATATGCATGTATTATACATATAAACCTTGCTCTTGAATGGTGATCTTGACAATGAAAACCGGATTAATCCGTTGCTTAGTTTAAAAGATCTAATCGCACAAGATAAAAAGTAACTTCATTTTATATTATGTAAAGATTAGTGTTATATAAGCACTTGCTTAAGTTGAACCTGCTTTTGCTGTCTTCCTCAAGAAGAATTTCCATCTGATTGATAGTGCCAAAGATTAGCCTCGTTTAATAAACTAATTAAAACATTCTTCAACTCTTTTATATTAGTATAGATTACGTTCAATTCTTCGAGATGTAGGTACCCCTCAACGAATCGAGCGTAATGAGATCAGAGGGGCTAGTGTGTGAAGAGAGTGTTACTTATTTATCCGCGATTTTGGTTAGACAGAGGCGAATTAAACGCTTACGTTTTGCCGACTACATTTTTAGTCCCATTTATGTAATAGGGGCCAAGTCGATTACCATCACCCTGACACAAAGTACGAGTTTTCTATTAAAATGCCAATCATTATTACTTTGAAAAAGTTGTATATGTAATCTTTCCATATGTTCACGATATATACATCCCACCAACCACTGTTTTTCGATTGTCTTGCCGGCAGATTATATACATTGACATCTAATATACCTACTTAGCGGTTACTAACCTCTTCGTAGTGATATCGGTGTGGTTATGTAATTGATGATTGCTTTAATTGATACACAATTTTATTTAAACACTGATCGTTATCGTTGTTAGTTTTTAAATTGTATTCCAAATACGACTGCTGCTATTTATGTATACGTCTTATTGCTTTTCAAAATATTCGCCGTTATGATCGATGCTGTTTTGCATACGTTGGAACTAATTTTCGTAGCACTTTTTCCATTCTGATAGTGGTATCTCTAAAAGGTGCATTTTGAACGCATAAACAGCCTCTTCACGGTTCGAAAAACGTTGACTATGTAATTTATTTTGCACGGTTGGAAATAAATAGAAGTCGTTGGAGTCAAGTCAGGGCTGTACGGCGGATGACCCGTTAATTCAATGTTTTGATTAAATAAATACTAAGTTGTTGAAGAAGGATTCTGCGATGTCGGTTATTCTTTCTGATTTCTTCAAAGACTCTGGCAAACAAATGGTCGTGTACCATTCAGAGTTAACCGTTTTACGATCCTCTAATGGCACTGTAGCCACTTGTCCATTTATACCAAAAAAACCAACGACCACTTGCTTCAAAGTGCTTTTTGAACGAATGACTTTTGTTGGGTTCAGCTTATGTTGGAACACCCAAATCGTTGATTATTTCGTTTCAGGATAATACGCATATATCCAAGATTCATCACCTGTATAGAGATTATAGACAGCTTTTGACACACCCTGATTGTACTTTTGTAACATTTTTTTACTACGTTACTACGTTTTTGGTCTATTCTCAGGTTGTGCGGAATCCAACGTGAATTTTTTTTTTTACAGGTAAATTTTCGTGTAATATTTTATATATACTCGTCATACTTATTCCTAGAGACGCCTCTATCTCACGATATGCAACATGACGATCTTGCATTATTAGTTCCCACACAGCATCAATATTTTGAGGTACAACAACAGATTTAGGGCGACCTTCTTTAAATTCGTCCGTGAGCACAGACCGCCCTCGATTAAACTCACTACACCAGTGGTACACAGTTGGTTTTTATGGTACTTCGTCCCTAAAAGTCGTAGTGAGTTGATCGATGCATTGTTTTTGAGTTAGCCATTGCCGAAAATCGTGATAAATCATAGCGTAAAAAAAATTCACGTGTTAAATCCATAGTGTTAAAGATTTTCAAAACGATGCCACAAAGGATAAACAAATGACAGCTACATAAAACGAATTGTATTCTTCAGCAAAAGAGTTCCATTTTTAAATGTTAAAATTATTTTTTTAATATTGTTCTGTAACTGGCCAGTTCCGGATACGTAAATAGCAGCCCTCGTAGTATTAAATTTTTCATTAGTATGTTATAATTGCTTATTTTAAAATTTGTTATTAATTTCTAATAATTTAAGAACTATTTTTACTCATTACTTTTACTGTTCACCCGCAACTCTTAAGAGTCCCTCAGAATAAGAGGGGACATGTGCCTCATTCACTCTGTGAAATACCGGTTTTCTATAAGGCCGGCGTTTCATTTTGGTCGAGCCGGCCCATATCTGCCGAAGCGAGGCTTTGCTACGGGTAGTTCACAAATTTGGTTCCATTGCAATTCATAATAAATGGTTACCCATCCATAGACTTACCTGGCTAAGATAGCTTATCTTTGCCCCTTAATTTTGCCCCACTCCTAAGTAAAAGATGGGTATGCCCATGTTTCACATCGTTAATTTTCTGAAAGAGCTGCGAACTAGCTCCGATCGAAGAAAGCAACATAAGAATTGACGCCCTTGAGGCAGTGGTATCACTACGTTATCACTATCTAGTTATTAATAGCATTAGTATGCTTGAACTAGTGTTAACTACCTTATCAGTTTATGTCTGTATTGATAAAGTGTTACTAAGATTAAGAAGTGCGAGTAATGTTTTTACGGTTTTAATATAATTATACAACTTTTAGTATTAAAATAAGTTTTGTTATCAAAACAGTTGGATGTATGTTTTTAGACAGATTTTTACCACCATCCCTATTCATCCCATAGGTGTCGTAAGAACCGACTAGGGAGCAAACTACGCAGGACTAGTAGGCTAAAATCTCGTTTCTAAGAAGATGCCTATGTCCAGCAGTGGACTGTTAACGGTTGTTCATAATGATGATGATAAGATATATGAACTGCTTTTTAGAAACGGTTCATTTTACACATTTATTTTATCCAATTGAGACACTCACATACTTGATCAGAAGTTAATAAAGGCAAGATGGTAGTTGCGATGACAAAATAAATTTTTACAAAAATATCATCAATATTTTTTCTACAAAGATGCGCAGCACGGTCCTACTAGTATATTTTTGCTACGACATACTTAAATTTTATGTTTTTGATGTGTAAAACCTTTTCACTCTATCTCTTGCAATATTTGAAAGTAATTCCGTTAAAAGAAACTGAAGTGTGTAACAGAAAACGGGGGAAACCCGCGCTTTTTCATTTGACAAATGAGCGCGCTTGATCTTATGTGATGTATGATAAAACGAGCGAGTTGGCCGTCAGATGGCAGATGTCTTGACAGATGTTATGCAATTTAAATATCGATGATCCCTATTAACTTGTCATACTTTATTTATTTTATTGAACATTATGGCTATTTAGATACGTAATCGTAATGTTCAATAAAATACTTAACTGTACATACCATAGAACTTTTTATATTAATTCTATTTATGTAAAAAAATGAAAATTAGTATAAATTTAAATCGGATATTGTTAATAAGGAATTCGCCGTGGTCGTCAGTGTTAAAGGGATAATAAATAAAGTAAAAAAAAATACAAATTAAATATACGTATTAAATTTATTTCGTTAAAAGTTTTGTAAAAAATATCTTTATAAAATGTAATCACTAATGTGGTAATGAATTGTGATGGACATTGACCACCCTGAATATTCTTCGAGTATTTATTATAATATTCATTTAGGTACGTACTTACATACATACGATACATGACACCTACTTAGACTTAGTGTAATACTCTCTTACAGTTATTTGTTATTGATGCTATTACGGTCCTAATATTCAATGTTAGGCAGATATGTATTCACTATAAATTATGTCAACTTAAACATACTTTAATACAAAATGTATATATAATACATGTTATTAATCATTTATCTTTATTTCCATATATTCTCGTGATAATAATAAAATACTATTCTATACTTTACACGGCCACATACACTGTCATTCATTCACTCATATATTCAAATTATAATTATACAGTCCAGTTTATTATACAAAACATAAACCGTTCATTTATATTACCTAACTTTTTTTACATTATTAATAATTATTGTTATATAATCATTACTAACATAAAAAGAATCCTTACAGAAATATACAAAATATTTTATAACATATATTTACAGGATATATAAAACGGAATGTTGTTGGAATGTAATTACATTGTTCAATTGTTGATGAGCCCTGCTTCGGATATGGCAGTGTTCGCCTTAACTTACTTGAGCATTTTGTTCGATGATTATTATTTTAGAACATCAACACATTCACTGTTTTGAAATAATATATCTGCCTTAAGGTCGTCCACCGACAGCGATGCACGATATACATGCTATATATTTTTATGAAAAGTCTGTGTTCAAGAGCCAGACTCATTAAAATGACAGTACTTTAATGCAAAAGAAAGTATGCTTGTTTTTAGAGTTTAATTATGTGTTTGACGTGTTGTAGTGTGAGCACGGTTTTCGAAAATTTCGTGGTTTGAATTAACAAAGAATTATACGTTACTGTGTCTAAATTATAATTTTGTGATTTTTTCGGTCGAAAAAACGAAAAATTATAACTGAGGCTAAGTCTTTGATGTAATATTACTTCTTTCATGTAAATATGATTGGCGGACGTTAACACTTCAGCACAGTAGTCATTCCAAATTTGAAGCGATTATACAGCGAATGTATGTGCATAAGTGTAGGCAGACGGTTATAACTAAATTTAAAATTTCGTGACAAAGTTTTACTATATTTGGTGGGGCTGTAATTTAAACAGTGAGTGTGTTAATACACGTGTTTATAACTCTAATCTTAATAAAGCTAATAGAATACGAAATTCTACAATAAAATTCATGATTCTCGGTTGGTCGCGATCGCATTTCTCTATATACTTAGTATACAATAATTATTGTTGTCGGGTGCACCGAGAATTGAAACTAGTACGAAGTATTATGTAAGATTGACCAGAATACGACAAAACGCAGTCCTTTATTACACCTACTGACCTTCACTGTCGCTGTCACTCTTATCTGTAATACAAAATATTAAGATTATTTAGGTTTCATCATATTGTTTAAAGCGTAAAATAACATGCTCGTCCCAATGACCGATAATGTTGTTTGTACAAATATGTACAGTTGCTAAATACTGATATCTGATGATAACTTTTATTATTTTATCGTTTACATTTACGCACAATCTATTGTCATATTTGTTTTATCGACAAGGTAAGTAAGGAAATAAACAAGTGCTATATTTTAACCTAAGCACAGTTGTACGAGTACCTACTGTTTGTTATATGACATTACATCAGTCTTCTGTGATCTGTCATCACGTACGTCATTTAAACTCAATTAAATGTCAGAGTTTATGTAGAATAAGATAGGCAGTGCGTTATCGACGTTAATCAAAATACTTCACTTAAAATAATGTGTGATGTTAATGTCTCTGTTCTTCTAAGTTCATCTTATTTCTTTAAAAAAAGCACAAATCCTGTATTAGGAATATATCCTGTGTCGCGGGGGACTTTTACAAATATAAATGAAACGGATATAAAGAAGCCTAGGCTCAGAACAACAATTTGTGGATCACACAAAGTGTCGTCCCATGTGGGGCTCGAACCCACAACACTCAGGATAGCAGTGAGCGGCGTGGCGACCGCTTAAACCACTACGCCATACGTGCAGTCGCATCTTCGCAGTCTTACCTTACTTGCATTAGTAATATGTTTATTTAGAAAGGAAGCGAAGTCTTATTATTATATTTCTAGATTAAAATTTTAAAGCAGATCGAAAATATTACAAATGCGAAACTAAAAGAGCAATTGGCTTACTAGAAGCGGCTTAGTCTACCTTGCAAATAGAAGTAGTGAATATTCGTTCTTTTTAATTCATTCCGAGCATTGTTTTCTAACAGAAATATAATTTATCTTTGGTAATAGTCCTAAAATATTATATTATTTTAAACAGGCATTTTTTTTAGTTTAAGTTATGTCTATCATAACGTCAAAAATTTGAATATTACCAGTTAATTGTTAAGGGATAGTTACATTTTTAAACATTTATGTGTTGCTAACAATGATCCTGCAGCAAAAAGAACGAATAATCACGCAGTAATATTGTACAGGCGGACTAATATTCGTCAACGTGACCGGTAGTAAGTATATCTACTGTTTTCAAAGTTGACACCATTTACTGCCCTGTACGGTGCTACCGTCGCGTGCAAAAGCTGCATTCAGAAAAGTAAAAGTGCGCACTAATCTAAGTGCAACATAAATACTGACCTTTCTTACCAGGGTACGCGTGCCTCTTTAGTCGGTCGTACAGATCTTCTTTTGTCCCATATATACTCGCATTGGACCTTGCTAAGCTGTTCATTTTCCCATTCATTCCGTTATGAAGACTCTCTTTCATGTAAGTTTCATTGTAGAAGTTTGGCATCTCCCAGCCGTCTTCTTCGTCATCGTAGTAATGTGCGTATGTGGAATGGTGTGATGGGGCAATGGACTCCGCGTATGGAGTGTGGGCTCCGTAATAGAAGTTTACTTGGGAGCCGTTTTGGTCTATAGCTGGTGTTAGAGTCTTCTTTGGTTCTTTCTTCTTTGTGGACCTGTACAAAGATTTAGGTGAATGCGTTTAATAATCAGTACAAAAGCGTTGTAATTTGAGTATTAAGTTTTTTATTGGTAAAAGGGTGATTGTAGGGCAAAGGCTTGTGACATAGTTCAGTATTTTAACTATCTAAAGTTACAATCTCGCTCTGCTATTCTTGATAGGTCACCACGTAAGAATAAAAACGTATGCATCGTAGTTTTTTACTGTCTTTCCTGGTCAAGGAAACCATTTAGTGTTTTAAGTTTAAAAACTTGTTGTATAGGCGTAGTTGGGACTCACCTCGCACAAATCATCCAGACAAGTAGTACTAAGAATATAATAAATATCACTCCTCCGGCAACCCCACTGGCTATGTACGCAAACTCGCTCTTCTCTCTGCAATGACGGCCAGTGAAGGAACCTGTGCAGCGGCAGGAAGGTTCTCCCCGAGCGTCCTTGACACATTCACCACCGTTATCGCAATATTCATGGCATACATCTGAAAATAAAACAGACAACCAAAAATTCGTTATTTCATTAGTAAAATTTTACACTAAGGTAATTAGGAGACATTGGTCAACTAGATTCTGTTATACGGCTCTTTAAACCTGTCTCTATTGCTATTGCACAATTTATAAAATGTTGAGCGGATGAAGGAAGATAATTTCAATTATTTATATATCCCAATAAACGACCTAATTAATGTATGCTGTTTTAATAGTATTAACTAGAAATCTTCGTGTAGTTTATCGCTCCTCGTAAATGTTTCCATTTCACTTCTAACGTACTCTTTCTGCGCCTTAAGTGGATGCCACCTCAATGGGACGTTTTGAATCTTCTTTCAGTAGGTTGTATATCTTGAGGATATTTAGTCTTGGTTTTAGTCTTTTTAGATCATAAAAATAATAAATATTGACTCAGTGAAATGCTGTATTCATTTATTTCTCACTTACCTGTGCAAATTTTTCCTGTACCATTGTAACCCGGTTTGCATTGACATTTAAATTCACTTGTCTCTGGTATCAAAAGACAGTAAGCATTTACATCGCAATGCATCTCAGGGCCGCTCATTTCGCATGGGTTCGTGCAGTCAGTTTCTGATGTCTGTAAAATACAAAAAAATTGTTAATGATTTTTGAAGTGAAAACTTCTTTAGCGGCGTTGTACACTTTTTTTGTAATGGGTAAAAAATGTTAAACTCGGGTCAGGACACGTGACCTGATCGAAAATTCGTAAGACCTAAACTTCTTTATCGGCGTAGTACACTTTTTTGTAATGGGTAAAAAATGTTAAACTCGCGTCAGGACACGTGACCTGATCGAAAATTCGTAAGACCTAAACTTCTTTATCGGCGTAGTACACTTTTTTGTAATGGGTAAAAAATGTTAAACTCGCGTCAGGACACGTGACCTGATCGAAAATTCGTAAGACGAAAACTTCTTTAGCGACGTTGTACACTTTTTTTGTAATGGGTAAAAAATGTTAAACTCGCGTCAGGACACGTGACCTGATCGAAAATTCGTAAGACTCATTGTTAATATTGAAGTTTTCACTTCTGCCGGCACTCCCGGAGTGCAAACCGTCGTTTTTTGTGTAGTTATTGAGTATTAAATAAAATATTCTTAACCAATCGAACTCTTGAATTGAAAGAACCAAACTCTGTTTGCTATCCATTCCAAGCGTGGCGAGAGAGATGAGAATAATCTAACTTGTAATTAGGATCGTGTATTCAGAATATATTCATCAGTGTATATTGATTTTACTTACAGCACCAGGTCCTCGGGTGCTTGTGTTGATTGGACACGGCATGCAGACAGTTTGCTGGGATTCTGATTGATATGTTCCTTTTCTGCATTGCAGACAGGTGTTGAGCGTTACATTAAGATACAAACCTGAAAGTTACAGATGGCATATTGTTATACGTTTATGTCAAGCATGTGACCCACTACATTTCTTTAACAGATATAATGGAATATTGGAATCAAATTCAGATAGAAATTTAAATAGTTCACAAGCATTAGCACAATACCTAAAGCACAATACATTTAATTGTGTCAAATTATAAGTGTGAACCCTTGTGAACTGTATAATTTTTGTGACAATAAAGATTATTATTATTAGAAAACTTTTGAGGATTCATTTTATAGTTGATTCCCAATCTTGTAAAACCTGCCAGAAACTTTATTAAGGACAAAATATTCTTACCAGGTCTACAGACAGGTAAAGAGCATTGATCAGCAGACGAAGCTCCATTTTGAGGGGTAGTCGTGCCAGGGGGACAAGGAGCGCATGCCGCTCCAGATCCATTTGCCCGCCATGTGCCACGGGGACAAGGTTCACACCCACCGTCGTTGCTTAGTTGTTCTCCTAAAACATGATTTATTGCAGGCAAGTGAGAAAGGTTTTTTAATATAAGAATTAAAAAATCCAAAAAAGTACTTTTATCCAATTTACCAGAAGGACAATCGTCTCTGCACTCAGCTGCTGAAACAGCTTCAGTAGCACGAGTAGTTTGACCTCTAGGACAAGCGATGCAAGAAAATGCCCCTTCGCGTGGCTGGTATGAACCGTGGCCACACGGACGACAAAGATCGGCTTCAGCATCGTAATATTTCCCAGCAGCACACCGTTCTGAAAAATGCTCACGTTAGAAAGGGAATATTTCAGGTTAATCGAAAATTTAAGGTAAGATGTAAAAATCTTTACCTTTGCAATCAGCTGCACTACGGGCTCCGCTCGCTTGAGTAACTCCAGGTTGGCCAGCTATAGCTGGACAAGCTATGCATTGCACTTGTCCAGCCTCAGATTGGTAAGTGCCTAGTGGACATGGCTTGCAAGAATCGCTTGCTGCGTCCAAGAAAGTACCGACCGCACAAGCGACTGTAAACAAATATGATATGTTTAAAACACAATTGGATAACTATAATATTCAGTGAATATTATAAAAATACATACCACAATCAGGAGCCATAACAACTTGTCCAGGTGGACAAGCATAATCAGATTTTAAATTCAAACTGGCTGGATCAGGAACAGTGTTAGGAAGAATATTCCTTACGTCGAATTGTTCGTCTTCGAGAATTAGTTTTTCAAGTAATCGTTGCACAGTAGAACGTTCGTTGTTACCGCCATGAATTACTGGATCGCTAAATAAATTATAAAACCATTAGTTTATTACAGTTTCACAGTATGAACGGTTATAAAAAATTACAGAAAATCGCCTTTACAGGCGTAAACTAAATCATCAAAGTACTACAAAAGTAAATAGCACATTTGTGTAACAAGCGCTTAAGTGCTACTTCGAAGCATGCAAACAACTTACTTGACAGACGGGAAAGAGATCTCAACGCTGTACGTATCGCCCACTTGACGACCCTCCCTACTGCTTCGTGTCCTAAGTGCGAAATAAAATACATACATGCATTTGTGTTGGAAGGTGTACATGCTTTATACGTAAAAGAAGCCTAAGTGCAAATAGATTCGAATGCCTCTGTAGTTTTACTACGTTTAAATTGTGCGTGATACCATCTGCGTACCAATTGTGTTATGGCAGATAACACATGCTCTAATGTGCTTTACAGAATGGAATTGTCATTTTTAAAATGTGCGTTTACGCCAGCACCTGTTTGTTTACTTTCCTACCTTTATATAATTGAATTGCGACTAGGATAGTGAAAAGGTATGCTTACTCTTCGACAGGAATTATAGCGTCTAGCACATATGTATCTTCAGCAGCTACTGCGGGAGGGGTTGATACTTGTCTCGTTTGTCTAACGTTAGCGCGATGGTCGCACTTAACCTTGATATCCAGTTCTTTACATTCGCGGGTACCTGTTTGAATAAAGAATGTTGTTTACGTTCAAAGATTTCCACAAATAATTTTAGTTTGTTGGTAGTGTTTAAGTACTTACCGTCAACAGCGTAAGAACAGAAGTTCCAGTCTCTGTTCAGTTGGTTAATAGCAACACGAACTTTCTGGCGAAGTACTCCCTGACCAGCGTCGTTGCAGAGTACTGAACTTGGGAACAACATTGAGATTTTGAAAACTCGTTGAGCGGGCGATGCAGCTGTAAGAACACATATATTTTCATATCTCGAAACATGTAATAAATAATGATAAGGACTGTATGTTTTTTTGTTAAAATTTCTTACGTGAACATGCAGGGTAGACCAAAGGTAAAGCAGGATCAACGGTTGGTCTCCAAAATCCTTCGGCTCCACATGTGTAGAATGGTGGCACAGACTGTGAGAATCTTAGACCGTCTCGGCAAGCTATCTCGCATACTTTAAATTGGCCGCCGGCACCCCAATCGCGACAGGATTGGTAGCCACCGAGTGGGTCAGGCAATGGAGGACAAAATTCGGCTAAAAAAGTACAATAGGTATAATGTATAACTGCAGTCAAAAAAACGTATATGCCTATGTAAAAGTACTTAATACTGTATTTATAACTTACCTAGTACTGTAACCTTGAAGGTACAGGTGGCGGCGTTACCCGCAGCATCATATGCAATGTAAGCAATATCGTAAGCTCCCCATGCAAGGTTTTGTCCAGGTCTGTGTCCCGACTTCTCTACTTCTTTAATGACACCAACATTATCACTGAATACAGGTTTATCCCAATTGACAGTAGCTGAACCGTTCTTTGCGATTACCCAGAGGTCTCCAGGACACCGGTCTACTCTTGGCGGCTCTTTGTCGACTTGTAATTTTTGGCATTTTGAACCATTGTAACCATTAGGACATACTCTTTGACCGCAATGCGATGGCACTATTCTTTCTACTCCTCCAAGAAGGTCATCGTAACCTGCCCACGTAAGGGCCAAGCCATTATATAAAACAGGCTCAGTTCTACAGTCACGCACTTGTTTTTGTATTTCATTTGTGACATCAAGAGCATGGTTCCATATTTGTACTTTAGTCAAATGGCCTTGGAAACCTGCTTCAGTGTAAGCCTTAGGATTGTCAGATTGAGGCTTGCCAAGTGTTACCCAAACACTGCAATAAATGATTAATTAGTTCAGTTTCACGAGGCTAGGAATTCTTTGATAGTTCATATTATCATTGTTGGAATATTGTACATTTATATTAGCAACACTGTGTGCTTTTTGACACACTTATTAATATGTGAAGACGGTCGGTTAATGTTATCTGCGTGGGTATAGAAATATGTGGTTGTGAACAATTGGGAAGTGTTTAATTGCTTAATATAGATATCTCAAGAGTATATATATCTATATATATATAAGAGATTTCCACGTATATAGCCACTCATCACGATATCTCTGGAACCATTAGAGCTAAAGACTTGAAATTTGGTAGGAATATTCTTTTCACCAAGTAGAGGTCAGCTAAGAACGGGTTTTAAGAAATTAAAAAATAATAATAATTTAATAATGTAAATAGCAAAACAACGTTTGCAGGGTCAGCTAGTGTCTAATATTTCACAAGTGGATTTCTAATTCAAAAATAATAAATAGTAAAATAAACTTAACATTTATTTTGAATTATTATACAGGACGCCAATAGCAATCCTGTTAAATTAGCCTTCTAATAAATTATAAAACTTACTATTGTGGTAGTTTTCGTCCGCTTCCATAGCCTTCAATCTTGCTTGCAATCAAACCTTCAGTGATGAGTGTTAATTCGCCGCCGTTATTGCCGTCCCAAACTAAAGCGACATGATGCCATTGCCCGTCGTTTACCGTTGCGAATTCACCGAAACTTAGGTAAACATCCTGGAGTTCCGGGAACAGAGAAACTTGAACGCCGTTTGAGTGAGCTTGGATAATTTGTTTCCTATTAAGTGCTATGTGAGAGTTACTGAAAGAGACAAAAGTTTTATGGTTATCACAAAAATGCGGCAGGATTTATGATTGGCGTGGCATTTTATGGTTATTACTGGACATCAAAATATTACATACCTAACACTATAAGCTGTGAAGAACACTCCGCCTTCGTCTTGTTGTGTATACTGAACCCACATCGCTATAGTTAGACTATCAGCGAATCCTGTATCAAATGGTACCACTTGAGCGGCGCTTGAACGCACCGGGTCACTAAAGTAGAGATCGTAATCCACACTTATTGCTGCAATAAATATAATTATGTTTCAGAGTTAAGCCACAAACGATTTATTTGTAAAGAAATATAAAGAACAAAATTTACTTTTTCTACAATCATCGCCTGTGAGATTGAATGGACATTGACAATAGAAGCGGCCCGGTAAGTCGATGCATGTAGCGGAAGGTGGACATGAGTTTTCTTTACAATCGACGATATCCTCATCACAGTTCTTGCCTTGGAAGCCTGGTGCACAAATACAAGTATAATCTTGGCCTTGGTCTATACAAGTTGCTCCGTTCTGACAAAGACCTGCCTCACAGGCATCGAATTCGTATTGGCAACCAATACCGGTGTAATCGTTTGAGCAAGTGCAGTTAAGGCCTGATCCAAAATCTTGGCACTTGCCACCGTGCATACAAGGGCTTCCGATACATCTCTCAGGAGCAGTTTCACATTGTTTGCCATCTGTCCCACTAGGACATCTATTAAATAGGAATAATAAGTATTAGATTGATTAGATTTTAAGGTCCTGTAAAAATCTTAACTTTTGCATCACTTGATTAAGTTAAGTAAGTACCTATAATTAAACATTTCAGATATTTCATAATGACAACAAATGTGTTTGTAAGAGAAAAATCTTAAAAAGTATTAAATTGATTAATAATTTGCTCTAAATAACAGCTAATTACTTACACGCAGAAGAAATCTTGGAAGAGATCGATACACTTTGCGTTGTTTTGACAAGGCCTGTTCATGCAATTGCCGATATCTTTTTCACAGCGTTTGCCGGTCCACCCAGGTTGACAGCCACATTTGTAACCTCCAATTTCATCTTTGCAAGATCCTCCATTATAACATGGGTCTGAAGCACAGTCATCGATATTGGTTTCGCACGTCTCTCCTGTAAATCCTTCTCGGCACAGGCATAGGAATTTGTTGTCAAGATCAACGCACTTTTCTGTACCGGCGTTGTTACAAGGTTCTGATAAACATTCATTAATGGCAGTTTCACACTGTAGTCCTATATATCCTGGCCGGCAATTACATATAAATCCATCTATTTGGTCGACGCAAGAAGCACCATTCTGGCATGGATTAGATGAGCAGTCGTCAATTGTATGTTGACATCTTTTTCCGGTGTAACCAGCTTCGCAAATACAGTTAAAATCATCGACGCCATCAATGCATTGACCTCCGTTTTCGCAAGGTGAAATAACACATTCATTAATATTGATGTCACAAGAAGGACCAGTCCAGCCGGGATCACAAATGCATTGATGGACGAAAAGCTTGTCAACACAAATTCCATGTTTGCAAGGTTCATTCGAGCAGAGATCAATCTTTTCATGACAACGTTTGCCTGTAAATCCGGGTGGACACGCGCAACTGAAGTCATTCACTAAATCTGAACAAGGTGCACCAAGGAGACAAGGTTTTTCGATACAGTCATCAGTATTAATTTCACAAAGTTGCCCTTCCCATCCAGGCAGACATTCGCATTTGAATCGTCCTTGTTGTAGGGCAATGCAAGAAGCACCATTAGAGCACGGGTTTCCATTAGCCGAGCAAGGATCAATCTGAAAAAAAAGGTGTTTTTTAATTTACATGTATATTATTATTTAAAGGAACATTTATTAAAAATAAAGAAATACGTACTGTTAGATCACAATCGACGCCTGTATATCCAGATCTACATAGACAGGTGTAGTTGTCATAACCTGGTTCATCTTTACACATAGCTCTTTCAGGACAAGTATCGTTTCTACATTCAGATCTTTCTTCTTGACAGTTAATCCCTCCGTATCCTGTTGGACAAGAGCAGCGGTATCCTTGTGGTAAATCAGTGCAAGTACCACCATTGTAGCAAGGTTGACTTGCACATTCATCAATGTCAATTTCACATCGCCGTCCTGAAAATCCGGCTGGGCAGTAACATTGAACTCCATGTCCCTTAGGTACACATAAACCACCATGTTGGCAAGCACTGTTTGAACATTCAACTGGCAGACATTCTTCTAAACCTGTCGCACCAGATCCTACAGTTTTCATGTTTGTTGGACATTCCATACAGTTTGTTTGTCCAACGAGGTTCTGGTAGAAGTTTCTTGGACATTGGGAACATGGTGCTAACCCGGTAGGTGAGTAAGTTCCTGGTGCACATTTAGCTCGGCATTTGTCTCTTCCAGGTGCAGCTGGTTGATAAGTGAATGTGTTCACTGGACATGCTTGACAATCTTTGAAACCTCCTAATGGGGGTTCATTAGTGTAACTATTTCTTGGACACTCTAGACAAGGAACTAAACCGGTAGGGGAATAAGTTCCGTATCCACAAACAGGTATGCAGTCGTTGATATCTTTTGAGCCTTCGTCCCTAGTGAACGTTCCCTGAGGACATTTAAGACACGATCCTTGGCGAGCCTGATTCTGGAAGAAACCACGAGGACACATTGTGCAAGTCTTTTCTTTAGCTTCAGCATAAGTACCAGCAGGACAATGCACTGAAAGTAAAGAAGAAAAATTAATATTATTTCATATTCAAAAACGATTTTGGAAGTAAAAAGAAATAATGTCTATACTTACAGCATCTTGGAACGTCATTCGTGTCCATATTTAATACTTCACCGACGCTGCAAGTAAATCCTTTCGTAATTGAACTTCTTATTGCTCTCAGCGGTGGACACTGGTTACCAATAGATGAGACGTTCAACACGGGTTCTATTAGTGCACTAGCGTATGGCACAGATAAATCAAATATTAAGTTTAAGGTTGAACCACAAAGATCATAAAGCTGTGTCTGTCGGATAGCTGGTATTATTGCTAAAACGAAGTCCATTTTTACTACGTTTTCGTCAAGAAGAATTGGGATTACGTTCACAAAAGTAACATTTATATTGACATTCACAGCAGAACAACGTTGTGATAGTCTTTCATTTAAGACGTTGTCATATTGTGCTACTAGGTCCTTATATTGTGGTAAGCAGGCGTTAGAAACAGCACCAAGGGCACGATATTGTACAGTAGAGACAACGTGGTATGCGGCTTGTTGGGTATCTGAAATAGAAAAGTGGATATTTTAATATTATTCTATTGTTTTACTCAGCAGAATAAATTATCAAGTCTCAAATAGCAACTTATGTAGTCACTTACTTTCTGAAACACAATCGGGCACGACAGCTGAAGGCACCCATTGACGTTTATTCTCACACACAAATGTCTTTACAGGTTCTCCATCGGTGAATCTGAAGCCAGGGCTACATGTAGCTATACATTGAATTCCTCTGTCTCCAGGTAGGCAGTTCATAGCACCATGCGCTGGTGGCATAAGTTCCCAGTCCACGCAGGGAGTAGCTTGAACTGATACCTAAATTAATAAATATTATATTTTAGGTGAGCAATGCTTTATTATAAAGTAAAAATATTTTTTATGATAATATCGTCTTACTTGGAAGTTACATTGTGCTCGATTGCCATTTTTGTCAGAGGCAATAACAGTAACGTTTTCGTATCCGCGGATAGGAATGACGGCCTTTTCTGGAATAAATTTGAGGAAAACTTCTCCTGAAGCATCTGTTGCATTTATTCTTCTTCTAGTTTCATTAAAGTTAACTGCATAACTATCTTGTTTGTCAACTAATTCTATGACATAGCTCTGTGGACAACTGAGCTTCGGTGGGGTGTAGTCTGGTACGGTGATATTAACTTCACAAATAGCAACGTTTCCATCGAAATCAAAAGCGACATAACGAACAACCATATTGTGGAACACTTGGAGAGGTGTTTTGAAATGTTGCGGTGTAACCTCTAACCTAGCTATAGCACCTGAATTGTCAATTGCTGTTGGTTCAGTAAAGTTAACTGGTAGTAAACCACCGTTAACATCAGTTTGTACGACCACAGGTTGTTGAGGGCAGTTTTGAAAAACTGGAGGCTCATTATCTGTAAAAAAATATGAATACTGAGTAGTCTGTGGTTTATTAATTGTGTATGTGTGTGTGTATGTAGGATTAGCAATATAGATATTGTAACTCAGTATTATCTGTATATATCTTGTATACGTATTTCATTACTACGTACACAAATGTAGATTTACATACAAACATATTTTTCCGTAAACCTATTTTTTGCTTTTTAAAATACACTTAAAATATAACATAATATAAATTATAAACGCAGCATGTGTAGAATTGATAGTAAATAAGTAGGAATGACACGTGTGGCTACTTACCAACACAAGGAGAATATCCATAATCGTAACCCAGTAATGGTTCTACAGACGGCTCGTCACAACCCATGAGTTCAAATTTGAGACAAGCGTTGTCCATGAAGCTTACAATACCCAGTATGACAAATCGAGCTTGTACATATTTAGGCAAAGTGATCATAGCCAGTTCACCGTAGTTTCCTGGGTCTCTCATCGTAAGATTGAAGTTAGGGAAGTACACTACATAGTTCTCATTTTCAGCTTGCTTATAAAAGAATCTGATTTCCGTAGGTCTACCAACAATGTCAGAAGTAACTACACCCTTTACGAGAATAGCTTTGACTCGATATACTTTGCCCAAATCTACACTAACATACGTAAAGGCTTCTTGCTTGCCACACCAACCAGTTACTGAATTGAGCCTTATATTTCTAGCTTCGTAATTAGGTCTTTCAGAGGTTGCATTTATTGCAGAGTCAGGTATCCTTCCTGACGCTAACCCGAGAGGTCGGATAATTTTGCATTCTGGTTCACGTATACAGGTAATCGGCCTGGGGTTGATCAAAATGTATCCTGGTCTGGAGCAACCAAACAGAACTTCCGATCCCTGTTCATAGCTTCTAGCAATCTGGTAACCATCGGCAGGTCTGCCTGGATCTTCACACACAGGTCCTTCGCATCTTAAATCACCGAAGTCCCAAACCCCGTTTGCTTGGCATCTGACTACATTGTCATGTTTACTTGTTTGACCAGCCAGTTTGAAAGTGTTTTGGCAACCAAAGAAAAATGAACTTTGGTATTTGGTATCGACATATTGCCCGTATTCAGCGCCAGGTGTAGGCATTGGGATGCCGCAGTCTTTTCTAGGGCATTGTGGTTGAGCTCCAGAAAACCAGTAATCAGGTAGACCCTAAACAAAAATTTACCAATGCTTAAATAAATTCTTGATAAGTAATCATATTTGTTTAAAAGTACCTTTTTACAGGTATACATTTTAAAGTAGCTTACCGGTTTGGGGTCGTACACGCATTGTCTGAATGATGCTGTTAGTGTATTTCTTAACTGTTTCCCAGGTGATGTACAAGTAATTGTGACATTATCCCTGTAAGGAACGAGTACACTTTCAGGGTCATCTCGTATGACTTTCAACCCGTCGTTCTTGTCGTCAGATAAAGTCACACATCGAGCATCTGTAATCATAAAAAGATGTATAAGTGCCTTATTCGCATACATTTTTTTATATATATATTCGCATATATTTTTTTAGTTATTGGATCAAAGCATTTCTTTCCTACTTACATTGACATTCGGGTACAGTGCCGTTCCATGTTCCACTTGATGTGCACAATAGTGAAGAGAATCCAGACATGACAAATCCAAAGTCGCATTGGAACTGAACAATGTCTCCGAAGTGGTAGTTAGTCTTTGTTGATAATAGTTTACCGTTCTCTGGTGGTGTCAATTGTGGGCACATAACGGGTACACAAGATTTGTTTCTTTGATAAGTGTCACCGTCTCTTTCACCAGTCTCTGAATTTTCTATTGCAAAACCAGCTGTTCCATTTGTGGAATAAAGCTCATAGCCAAGATTGCAAGCGCATGAATAATTACCCGGCCTGTAGAAAGATAGTTGACACACTTAGTAAACACAAAAAACACGGCACTAAATACCTGTTAACATGTTACATAACAATAGAAATGTACTTACGTGTTTATACATTTTTGTTCACATCCTCCGTTATTTTCAGTACATTCATTGATATCTGAACAATCAAGTCTAGCACATCCCATTACTTCCAGCTTAAGACAAGGTGCACCAACGTAGTCTTGGATTTTGAATTTGACGTATTGTGCTTCAATGGGCATCGGCAAGTTTAGTACCGATAAAGTTGGTTCTAAAATGCGGAATTCAACAGCCGTACCGTCAGGGTTGGCATAGTCCTTGAATATGTCAGTTAGATCGTTGGTATATTGAATCCTTAAAGCAGAAGTGAAAGCGATGTTGCCGTCGGCACGCATAACACTCATTGTTCTGAAACCTCTGATGATAGTAGGTGCACGTAGGTCAATAAGAATCCAGTTAGCACCAGCTTCTAAGTTATCACCGCACCAACCACCCCCGTTGTTTAATCGGACCATCTGGAAAAAATTAAATTGATGTTAGTTGTCTCAGCAAGCGTTGACGTAAAACGTAAGTAAATATTTATAAGTTATACTAACTCCTTTGGAATATCCAGATTCTGGTATCGATGTGGTTATCGACTCATCGGGAATAGCGCCATTAATTAATCCCAAGTCTCCTACTGGTCTACAATCTAAACTTGGTGAGAAGCCCGGTCGGCAAGGGCAGTAGAATCCACCCATAGTGTTTCTACATTGGGTTGAGGCAGAATCACATTGACTGCTGGCGCATTCGTTGATATCTTCACAAGTAGGAGGATTATCAAATTCTTGGTTTGGTCCACATCTAAGCACACTTGGGCCATTGAGTTTGTAACCTGATGTTAAAAAAAAAAATAACAGTTGGTAAATGTAAAATAGATGATTATTCAATAACCATGTAAGGGATACATGATCTTTTTATATATATTTCAAAGTTTCAAAATTTTAAATTTATTTCTAAATTTAATTTATTTAGAAAAAACACAGATATATCGGAGTAAATTACCTTTAAAGCACTGCACACGAGCTTCATCTCCAAACATGTAAATCCTGGTTTGATCAACAATATATCCGTTCTTGATTTCAGGGAATTTGGGACATATTGCTTTTGAACATGTAGGCACGTCTCCAGACCACGTTCCATTACTCATACAAAGCAGAACAGGTTGTCCAGATCTCACGTAGCCAGGTTCACATTCGTATCGAACAATAGTACCGTAACTTCGGCCACCTCCATTCAATATTGTGACATTGGCGTGCGGAACGTCCGGAAGGGCAACGCATTGTGACGCTGAGGAAATAATTTTGTATTACAGAATTTCATGATTGTTTTTTTTTAATTTATAAGGTTTGCAAGGTTTACATGTCACTAAGAAAAACTTACCGAGACAAGTAGGCGTTCTTTCCCATCGTCCATCAGACAAGCAAGATATTTTTTCGATAGGTTGTCCAGTCGGGAAAGCAAAACCGGCATAACATTGATATGTAGCGACACCACGGTAAGTTACGTTTGTAGAACCAATTGAAAAACCATTGTCGATTTGCGGGACAGGACCACAATAAACCTCTGTAAAGTTAGAATAAAATCGATAACCCTTATTAGCAGACTTTCGAGTGAAATCAGCTAAAACATTACATTCTGTATATTCGCCAAACTGCAGAATTGTAAGTTAAATAAGTTAAGCTAAAGGTATTAATAGTACCTACTTATTAAGTACGATGTTTTTAAAAGTACGCTGGAGTTTTGGATTGATTTGGATTCATACCTTGGCAACTGGGAATGTAAGTCGTTGACCATTGTCCTCCATCTAAACATTTTGTCGTGATGCGAGATTTCCCTGTGGCAAATTCTTGTCCAATAGGACACGAAAATGTTATGACTGTTCCAAAGGCGGTATCTCTGTTTGACGCTAAGGCACCAATACCGGATTGTAAAGGTGGGCAATCTGAAAAATAATAATTACGTGATATTTAATTTTTATGTATGTGGAACCTTTAGTAGCATTTAAAACGTCCATTTCCTGTGTAAATAAGTAAAGTTTGGTTCTTACCTGCCGAGAATGTCGCCTTCCAACCAATTCCATTATGCAAAGCATCAGACAGAAATCGTATCAGCATTTCACCACTAGAGGCAGTTAGAGTTATCCTGGGTTTTACAGTGAATCCGTTTTCTGAATGTAATCGCAAACCATTAGTACTCATTCCATCAAAAACTTGCACTACATCAGTTGGATGAATGCTGAATTCATCGAATTTTAATGAAAGTGGTCCACCATTAGGGTTTTTGATTCTATATAAACATTCTTGATTATTCGGATATTTCTTAAGCGAAAACGCAGGGGATGTTACAGTCCCATTTGATGCAATTATGGTTGCTTTGCAGCCTTGAGAATATCTCATGTTAAATCCTTTTTTGGAATCGCCGAGACTCGTGCGGAAATACATGTATAAATGGTTGGTTGTTGATATTACTACTTTCTGATTTTCCTCACCGGGTCCCGTTAATCTAGCCAAAACTGCACTGGATGGTGTGTTACCATCCTTGACAACAATATAATCTCTATTCATACCTAATTCCAAATCTGCGATTTCTAATGAGACTATTCTGCCTGGTTGTGCTTCAATAACATACACACATTCTAAACCACCAGGGTAACCATTTGGATAGCCAGGCGAAGTTAATACTTGACCTTGAGGAGTAGCTCTAAGTATGCCACCGCAGTTGGAGGACTCAGTTTTCCATGATGCACGAAAACCTTTTCTTTCTACCGAACCATCTGTACTAAATTTGATGATCATAAAATTAGAAGCGGATACGTAAATTTTATTCGATAAATCTTGTTTTCCTGATAAAGTTGCTAAATTCACAGATTTATCTTCGGTTCTGCCACCGACCAGAATTTGCACAGTGTCGAAAGACTTTTCAGTTTCAAAATCTTGGAACTGTAAAACGATATTTTGACCTTGTGGCCCTTCAAGAGTCCACTTGCATTCGCTAAAAGGAGGATATTTGTGAGGATAATTTGGACTCTCGACTACATCACCGCTACTAGCCATGTAGTAGTGACATTCGGAAGCACAGTCCATTTCATCGGAAGCATCTCCACAATCGTCTTGCTTGTCGCATTTGAAGGCTGCGTTTATGCATTTTCCATTAGAACAATGGAAGGTTCCTAAAACAAAAATTTTCATGGCTATTGTTTTATACTAGTAACCTTAACAATGAACATTAATTATACTAATTGAGCATTCAATGACTTGATTAATTAAGAATTGTAGGTATTGTATCCTTACCGGCTGGGCAAGCAATAGCGCGACACATGAAAGGTAGTAGCGTTTCACAGGTGGTAAGCTCCCAAGACTGGCTATCGGACGAGACATGTACATCCACGCATTCACCGTCCTTTGGGTTAGGTTGTCTAAGATCCCAGAAACCAGCGTACTGAGATACTAAAGCTCCACCAGCCGATTCGAGGGTGTTCGTTCGGAGATCATCAACAGTCGCGAGTCCGAGCCAGTAGTGGTTGTTACTAGGCGAAGAAGGCACCATACTAGCTGTCATGTTGTTTTCGCTATAGCTATCTACAACCATTAGCTCGCTTCCGTATCTGCGAAATTAGTACATTGATTATTTATAATACTTAGATTATGGTTTCTTGAAAATATTTCATAAAACTAATCAATATTACCTTCGACATAATTCTGCCGATTTCTCCCACGAATGCCTGATGTTGAAAAATTTGTAACAGTGTAAGCCTTTCAACTCCCACCCTGAAAAAAAAAGAAAAGCAGAATATTACAACACAATCATTTTTACATAATTTAAGTTGGTACATGTTCTGTACACTGAATACCATTTAGCGACGAATGAATAATTTGGTTTTATAACAGACTGTGGTTGTCATGTTGACTTTATAAATTACTAAATGAAACACGTTTGTCAAAGTAAATATAAACGTATATAAAGGCTTTCTCAATTCAAAGGGCTTTTATAGAGATTTTCACTTTCATTTGGGTACACCTTTTGGTAAAGCTTATTGGATATGAGCAAAAAACAATTTGAGATGATACTCAAATAGTTTATTAAAAATTTTACAAAAAATGTATAACGAGCATTAAAATAGCGTCTGCTATGGTCACGACACACTAATATTGGCTAGAGGGTCACACTTTGAGGAGATGCTTCAGCTCACCGAGCAGGGAGTGGCTTGTGTTGTGAGCTGGGCCTGAGGGTGGCGCCTCAGATATGGCGATATGGTTCCATGGCCTACGTAAACGCCAGGAAGCACTCAGCTCAAGCCTCTCGGTGGGTGACGCTGTAGTCCAGGTGGGCCGATACATAAAGTACTTGGGCCTCATCCTGGACAGTTGGTGGAGCTTCGAAAAGCATTTCGAGCGATTAGTCCCCCGAGTGTATACGTGTGTCACACGTTGGTAGCGGATGCGCTGCATCGCCTGCTGCCAAATCTGGGGGGACCACGGGAAGAAGTTCGTCGCCTCTACATGGGCGTCATGCGATCCATGACCCCCTATGGGGCACCCGTCTGGTCTAATGGCCTGACCTGACCTGGGTAGGGAGGAACGACTGTGTCACTTACCGATTGACTCAGGTGCTCACCGGGCACGGTTGCTTTTGTGAGTATTTGAATCAAATCGGACGGGAGGTCACGGCACAATGCCACCATTGTGGGTTCGACAGGGACTCCGCCCAGCACACGCTGGAAGACTGCCCTGCATGGAAGGCGGCGAGGGGACGTGGCAGAGGTCGCTAGCTCCCAAATCCAGTTGGGGTCATGTGGTCCCTGCACCCGAGACAGGTGACACTCCGGTGCGGCCAGGGTGTCGTCTATTGTGTAGAGCGGTGAGGGGCGAGTCCCAGATACATTCTCCGTTTCTACAACGGAGAATATGGTCCGAAAAGCATTCCAGCGTAAAAAAAAGTTCTTTCTGTACCCTAATGTATATTCTAAAATATTAGCACTATGTTAACATCCCTGTGAACCCGAATTTAATTTAATAAATATTCTCGTCTCGTCTCTTCTACCATAAAAAGTATTCCATAAAACACGCTATATTTTACGCAATTACGTGTAAATTTGGTTCATATACAAGTATCTTTGTTTGTTGATATGCCTTGAAGCCTTTGTTGAGCTATAAACGTGGGGTAGTGGATGTGAAGGCGGGGTCGTGTTTGTAGAACTTGCTTTGTATGATTACACTATGTTAAGACTCGGGAGGCCGTGTCAGTTTCATGATTTAAATACGAATTTATAAAAGCTACATTAACGTCAAAGTTAATTTATATGAAAAAGCTACAAGTACTGTTTAATGTAACTTATTAATATAAACTTTTATGTGTGTAAATAAACCTTGTGACTAGTTTTTGTAGACATTGAACAGGTTGTAATGTGTTAAACTAAGAAGCCTTATAATGGCGCCATATGCACCTCTATTTTACTCCTGTAGCCAAAAAATCCAACACAAAAAATGACAAGTATAGCATTTGGTAGCAAACAAGGTGTTCTATTTAAAAATGGTATTATTTCTAAGTAAACGATCCAAAAGTTTTGGTTAGTTTATAGAGTACTTATCTAAAATTTTTTTTACAACATTTTTTTGATATTCCTAGTCGAACATTAAGATGATTATACTACTTAGTACTTAATTTATATTTGATTACCTTAGAAGTAGAGGTTAGTGCCTTAAGGGATATATCAGAACTAACCCAATAGTATGTAAGTATATATACTATGTTTATATGTACTAGGCAACTCTTAATGAATAGATAATGATTCCTCATTAAGTGGGTGTCAAACCGTGTCCGATTATAATTTTAAACTTTTTTTCTTTAATTATGACTTTCACTTGTTTTGTAAATTTTTAAATAATTGTCTGCACATTTTTTTTCACTCAAGTTAATTTCACTTATTTGTCGACTTCAATCCTAATCAAACAAACGCAGTCAATAAAGGAAGGTTTCATGATCAATTATTTCTTGATAAAATGATTTGTAAAATAGATACAGATTGGTGGTGGTTGGTGGACAGAACAGAACAGATTGGTAAAATAGATAACAGAATCAGAAAAGACCAAAGTGAACAGTTCAGTAACTTCGAGTTTAGTGGTCATCATTATAAATACGTTTTATTGATATTTCATGTCCGATCTTTACTAGGCAAAGCTAAATAACCTGACGAGGTACATACTAATAAACACACTGATTATATTTTTAAATGCATACATGTTACAGATAATATACATACATACCTACTAATAATTAAAGACATAAGTAAAACGTCATTTTTAAAGTAATAGAAAGCCTTAAAACACATGTAAAGGTTGCATTACATACATTACTGCTACTACTGTTATTCTTTATTTTTTCTTTTTAAAAATGAAGGTCATTGTCTCTGCTTTGTAGTTAATATAAATTTTTAAAATTCAATATCGGCACTTTAGCGCGTAAGATAAAAAAGTAAATTGGCATAAATAGAGCGTGCGTTGACGAGCGATCGCGAAGACTGTACGCTTCACCGACCCCGCAAACACGATGCAATGCATTTGACCCACTTACTTGTATTCACGGCAAAGCAACTGCAAAAGCATATTTTATTAGAACGTATACATTTACGTTGGATTTGGGTAGCACCACGTCCAGGCTGTTATGGGAATCTTGTGGGAGGCCTATGTCCAGCAGTGGACGTCTTTCGGCTGAGATGATGCTGATGATGATACATTTATCTGTCTGTCTTTTAATTCTATTGAACGGTCACAGACAAAACTGTTAAAATCAAATCAAATCAAATTATCAACATCGGTTAGCAGAAGGTCCGAATATTTTATTTTGGAGTATCTCTAACGCAATATAATTATTACTATTACTAATGATAATTCTATTCCTTAAATAAAGTTTTTTCAACTAGATAAGTTGAAGCTTGACATCTGACAAAATACTATCTGCATATGAGAAAACTAGTGACGAACTGCATAAGCGCCATTGGTTTTGTGGTTTACTGTACGTCTACTTTTTATTGCTCGATATTGGATAGAGCGATATTGGCAAATATGTTTCAAACTATCTCTATTTGTATCTAAATTCGTAGTACTCTTACGTTGTTTACATCGAATATGGCTTCACTTTTTTGCACAAAGTATTTTTGGACTATTCAAATGGGTTCAATCTATTTTATCTTGCTTGCAGTGCTTCAACAATATTGTGATCGACACAGCTATGTCATATCAATTCTTTTATATGTTTCCAAACAAGAAAAATAAAGAAATTGATAAGATTGAATGGATTTAAAGATATACCACACTACTCCTAGACTATTTCATCTTTCGTCCATATCCTTGATTATCAATGAGAAAGAATTTGATGTAAGGTTAGATTATTTTTGTTACATTTGGAGCCAGACATCTACGTTAATTAATTTCTCACTAATCAACATAGCATGTGTGCGTTGGTAATAGATCTTCGTCGGAAACTATTCGCAGTTCCCATGTCGACAGACTCGGATGACTAGCTTTGTAACTGTTCAATATCGACACACAAATGTAGCCTCTATACATCGGGTTCGTCTCAATTCGGTAATACTAAACTTCTTCAAAATTGTTAAAATAAGGAAAGTTGCGTGTCAAATTGATTAGGCACATATACGTTGATAGTTATGCATGCTAACAATGTTCGCAAATAATTTTTGAAAGGTGTTACGGCATCGTCATTATTGCAAAATCTTTTCTGATTATTATCTAATCAAAACTAAAAAAAAAGTACTTACGCCTATCTACATTAAAGAGAGAAAATTCTTAACACAATTGTAAGTATATTATTCTATTTGCCCCTTTTTAAACAAATTCCACGCATGAATAAGTTCTCTTTTTGAAATAGGCACTTAAAGTTTATAAAATAATAATAATATCTTCAGACATCTGACACACAACGCCACCTAGTTTCAAACTAAGCAAAGTTTGTACTATGAAAGCTAGATAGAAGAAGAAAAATGTAGAGAAGAAGTAGAAAGATTTTCTTTAAAATAATATAAAATAATAGAAACTTTATGTTGAAATGGCTACATTCATCTTTACGTATCGAGTTTACTTGTCATGACAGTTGAACATAAGTTTCGTATTGCCAGTATAAACTGGCAATTACCATGTAACAAATAGATCAATGAAATTTAACAACAAATCCAAGTATCCAACAAATCCAAAGTATCCAAGTGTTCATGAGAAGGTGATTAGCGTAAATACAAAAGGTTTCTTAATACAAAATTTCAAACAAAGCAACTGTAGTCCCCACGCAAATAATTAAGTACAAATATAGTTAGGCATACAGTGGCAATGTCAACTGGTCGCCGACACGGTGTCTGCCTATCAATTGTGTCGAGTGCCTCTTAGCGAGGCAAACCTGAACCCTTTGAAGGATGTACGGATATGCCTCTGCACCGGAGATTGACTTAGTGCATCAGAATACGTAGACACGAATCTATTAGAGCAAACATTTTGTTATTGACACCAGATACGTTCTTAATAGCATCTGGTATCCAATTTTGTAAACAGCTCTGACTTAAATGTTTGTTATTTTGTGTTTCGTGTTATTCTATTTAAGTTTACTTCTAACTATTTATAAACAAAGTGATATCTGTTATCATTATATATATCAAAGAAAATAGAGGAAAAAAAACAAAAAATTGAAATAGTTACAAGTTTACAATAATGAACACATTTATACTAATAATATAAAAAGGTAAAGTTTGTGAGTTTGTGTGTTC